TTCTTTTGTTAAGTGATTTTTAAAGTTTTATGATATTCCACCATATGGGCTTTCTTGTCTAACCTCTTAAAATTGAGCATTTAGACTGCTTCTAATTTTTCATTATCATGAAAAATGCTTTGAAGAACATGTTAAAATGAAAGTCTTTGCATACGTTAGAATACATTCCTAAAGTTTATACTATTTAATCATCTTTATATGGTTGAAGTTTGTGGTAGATTGTTTCAGTAACCATTCCCTTGTGTGTAGTCCCTTCCCATATTGAATTTGGGTTTGGTCACATGGCTTGTTTCAGAAAATGGGGCATTGGCAAGGACAGGCTAAAAAGAACTGCCTTTTTGTGTTGCTGCCACCATAGAGAGTCTGGGCTAGGTTGCTGGAGTCCTGTGGCACAGCCATTTGCCAGCACCAAACCACCAAACGTGAGTGTAGGGGAGCAGAATTTGCCACCAAAAATATGTCTCTAAGGCATAGGATTATTGTAGTCTGGGTATTTTTAAGAAACAGTGGACATAAGAGAAGCCCTGAAAATTAAGAAGAAGTTTAACCAGAAGTAGGTGGATATCCAATTGTTCCAGCATCCTTCATTGAAAAGACCATATGGTGGAATATAACTCAGAAAATCAGGTTTCCCTCTTTCTAGAATCTCTTATGTAATTTTTTTTCTTTTTTGTTGTGGGTTGTGGTTGGTTGTTGAATAACTTTCCTAAGTTTAGTGAAGAATGTATTTTTTGGTTGATCCTTACAATCTCTATTTCTTTTGCTTAGTAGTCAGTTAGTTGTTTGATATTTTCTTAAATGGCATAGGAAATTTAGCTCTAATTAGCTATAAGAATCTCAGCAGTGGTTAGAGAAATCAGCTCAACCTCCAGGTCATGCAAAATGTGGCTAATCCAGGCTTTAAGTCACAGCAACATGTCTCACACCAGAGCCTTCTCAGCGGTTAACCATGGCTCCGGGATGGAAAGTTTGTCTGGCTGAGTTAATTATAGATATTTTATAAGGAATAGGGCCAATGAGTAGAGATGTGGAGGTGGGAAAGGTTTCCTATTTTAATAGCTTTGAATTGGCAGTGACACAGCAGGAGTCAGGGTGAGGGAGGGAAGTCGGTAATCACTTGGGTGGGGGAATCACTCAGAATCCAAGAGAAGTCATTGCAATCAAGATTTGAGCTGAATCATTGAAGAGTCATTTAGACTGTTCCTTCCTCTTTTTTTTTTCTTACTTTCTTGTGTTATTTCCTGAATTCCTTTTGATCATATCTTCAGAATGTCTAAAATTGTGTGTATGCATGTATCTATCTATATATGTTTTCCTATACTTCTTCAAAAAATAATGATGCAATTAATTTAGTTTCCTATCTAGGAATGATAAGGATATCAGTTAGCATATACCTAGTTGCACAGGAAAGAATAATGTGCCGTAAGTAATAAAAGCAATTATTTCACATTATATGAAATTTGGAAGCATTTCATTTCAGGGTCAGTTCAGTGGCTCAGTCATATCATCAAAGTTGAGGCTCTTTCCACCTCTCCATCCTCCTATCCTCAGTGTGTGGCTCTTCATTTTTCAGTATTGAGTGCCAAAGTAGATAAGTAAGATCAATGTATACATCTCATTTAGATAATTATAAATTACAACTTGATAAAATGTGATTAAATGGTCTTATTTCTATAGAGGGAACATAAACATTTAAAATATATATTGAAGTTACTCAACTCACTACTTTCAACTTTTGTCCCTATGATCATCTTGAAGAAACCATGCTTTGAAGACCATGATAAAATTTTATATGTGTCAAATGTTTTACTCTAAATAGTCCAACAAGTGGTGCTTGAAGGAGTTCCAGGAGCCAGGCCATGACAGAGGGTGGGGACAGACTGTTCACTGAGCAAAGGGGATCTTGTGCTCTTTTCACTGCTCCATTCTATCTCCCTCTGAATTGAACTAAACTACAGAAACTGTATCCTTCTACTCATTTTGCTTTAAAAACACAAAACTACCCAAGGAAGCTTTGATTTAGACATCTTTTCCAGCCACAAAACACAGCTAATTATATTATGTCAATCTGGCTTTTTACAACTTACATTGATTTCTATGGTGGTGATGATCAAGCTAAAGAGTCTGTCATTGGTGTACATGTGCAAGACTTCCCCTGAACTGGAGTTCCAGTCATGGGCTGACTGGGGCTCATTCTACTGGCGTTGAAAACCCTTCTTTGTCTGTCTACACTTACGTTTTACTTATTTGTTTATTGCTTACTTTTTGCCCCACGAGAGTGTAAATTACAGAGGGCAGGGATTCTCATCTGTTTTGATCTTTCCTACATCCCAAAGGTTAGAGCAGTTTTGGCACATAGTAAGCCCTCAAAAAGTAGTTGGTTTAATGGGAGGACAGCAGGAAATGTAACCTTACCCATTTTCAGACCATAAATCGTAAAGAAAACTTGCCCACTGCTGAAACAAATTAGAAGTGATGAACTTGAGACCCTCTTCCCCCAGGCCTGTCAGGGCCAGACTGAAGGAGAAAAAGAAGATGCCATTAACCCTCCAAAGGGCTCAGGATAGGTTGCTACTTTGTCCTTACTTTTCTCATCTACAAGATGAAGTGGTCGGATAAGAAAAACAACATGTCCTTGAATAACATCATTTCGCCCAATGTATTTCATTACAAAGTTGATGAGGAGGAAAAGATTGATTTCCAGACAGGGCCTCTGTCTGTGTGGAATTTGCACATTCTCCCGTGTCTGCATTTTCTCTGGGGACTCTGGTTGCCTCCCACATCTCAAAGATGAGTATGTCAAGGAAATGGGTGTGTCCTCATTGTCCCAGACTGAGTGAGTGTATGTGCGTGTAGGGAGTGGTGTGTGTGTGTGTGTGTGTGTGGTCCTGTTCAAGGGGGCTCCTTCCTGATGGGTGGGGCTGCTGAGAGAGGCTCTGGCCACCCTGACACTAAACTGGGAATAAGTGGGTTGGAAAATAATGTTTTTATTCATCTTTCTTTTTTTCTGTTGTTGTTTATATTTTATTGATTTTGTACAGAGAGGAAGGGAGAGAGATAGAGAGTTAGAAACATCGATGAGAGTCATCGATCAGCTGCCTCTTGCACACCTCCTACTGGGGATATGCTCGCAACCAAGGTACCTTGACAGGAATTGAACCCGGGACCCTTCAGTCCCCAAGCCAACGCTCTATCCATTGAGCCAAACCGGTTTCTGCTATTCGTCTTTCTTAAATGAATGTGCAGCTCAGATTTATTTCAATGTTTAGGTGATGTTTTTATGACCAGAAATATGCCCCAGGAACTTCACTCTTGTTTGTATCAATTAGTCTATGGTAAAATTGGTTTCATTATACATTGGTTCACTTAAAGTCCCAGTTTTCAAGAAACTATTGATGATGTTAAATGAGGACTTAACATTGTATCTGCAATGTTTCCAGCTCTAAAATTCTATGCTTCATCTTCCCCTAGGTCTACATGCCATACAAAGGAAGTCTTAGGGTGCTAGGACCAGCAAGATGCTCCACTCTGGTTCTGAGGTAACAGTTTTCTCATTAGCATTTTTACCTTTTAGCAGTCGTCAGTAACGGCCATAACAAAGATAGAAAAATTCTATTGAGAATTTTCTCCCAATCAAATTTATAATCCTGCAGCTGTGCTTCCTTTTTGGTTTTATAAAACAAAGGTCTTTTTTCTGGGTCTTAATTGGTGTCAAATAGGACATTATTACTTTTATTTATTTATTTATTTTCAGAGAGGAAGGGAAGGGGAGAGAGAAGTAGAAATATCAACGAGAAAGAATCATTGGTCTACTGCCTCCCAATACACCCCTCACTGGGGATCTAGCACAGAACCTGGGCATGTGCTCCAACTGGGAATCAAACCAAGACCTTCTGGTTCATAGGTTGGTGCTCAACCACAGAGCCACATCAGCTGGTCTGGATGCTACATTTTAAATAAAACTTTTAAATTTAAAAATGTGTCCTTATTTGTTTAAATTGATCTGATTTTCTGCAAACTGAGAAGCACTGGCCCACTGAGTGCATTTCAGAGCACAAGTGGAGGAATTGTTAGCATTGGGTGGTCAGGAGCATTGGCTCTGGACCTATTAGTTAGATGCCCTTGGATGGATTATTTAGCTGCTCTGTGTATCAGTTTCCTCAATAATAGCATCTAACTTCTAAGGTTATTGAGAAGCCTGAATAAGGTAGAACAAATAAAACTTCAACTGAGCCAGGCACCCAACATGGGCTTGACCATTGTTGGCTGTTATTCGTCACAGAAGGCCATAATAAGACACACTTAGGCAAGGGTTAGCTCAGGCAAGGAGAAAGATAATAATAATAATAATAATAATAATAATAATAATAATAAAGAAAAAAGAAAAGAAAAGAGCATTTTGAGAAAATGTAAGGAATAACAAAAAAAGAAGAGGAACAGATATGGGCAACATAAAACCATTGGATAAGCTATATCTGTTTATTTGACTGACATATCTGTTAATCTGAACCTTTTAAAAAATCATTAATCTACTCACTCAGGACTGCATCTGAGGATGAAGTAGGGCTTGAGGTTATTGACTATTCAGGCCAGGTGCAAGGGTCAATGAAGCAGGTTATCTTTCTTTTAGGTTATCTGTCTCCTGGAAAATCTGGGGACCTGCAACCTGGGATTTTCCAAGAATAATCTTTCTAAACTGAGGGCGAAAGTTTAAAGATTTTGTTGTTTTGTTTTGCCTTGTCATATTTTTAAATAACTTTTTAAAAATAAGAATCTATGAAAAGAAGAGTTAGATATAGCCAGAATCACAGTACTTTTCCCTGAGACCCCCTTGCCTGCAGCTCGCCTCTTTCCCAGGCAAATCAGCACTTTCCACAGCCTGTTGAACCCTCAGAGCATTTCCCCAGCACACTCCGTGTTTGGGGTTATTACTTTGAGCATGTTCAACCTTTTCTTAGATGTCACTGAACTGTGCGTAGGCTGGCCTTCAGGGCATTGACCCTTAAGCAAATAGACAATGTTCCCGAAAAAGTTTGAATTCTGTTGAATGCTTTATAATGAACACCGAAGTTGGAAAAACCCTTTGACTCTCCACAGTGGAGTTCATTGTTTCTTCTGGCCTCCTCGAGTTCACTTTCACAGGTAAGCTACTTATAATTTCTACAGCATTTGAGGCCTATATTCTGCAAGTTCATTTCCTCCAAAGCTCACTGTGTGGGGCATTGTGTTTTTTATTTACTAAAGGATGGCCTCTTGTCATGCGATAAATAATATGACTTGCAGAATAATGAATGATTTCATAATATTATATACAATACAGATGACTCCTAATTTATAGCGATGTTATTTTATGAATCAATTCTCTTGAGAATCTGTGGTGTATGGGGATGTGTTGTACAAAAGGGGAAATAGAGTGAATAATCTACCAAAAATGAAAATGCCAGTGAAATTTCTTAACTTGGCTTTATGAAAGCATAATTCTGTTTGCATTGATAACCACAAATCCTACCCCAGAAAACTGGTGCTGGTTTAATAAAAAAACTATACTGACTTCCTTTTTTTTTTCTTTCTCCAACACCATGCTCATTTCCTCATTCTCCTAGTTTTTAATAATTTAGATACTGAAAAATATGAGCTCTGGATACCTGGCCAAAGGGGAAAAAGTTTGTTTCTAGAGTCTAGTTTTAGTTTCCCTAGCTAGTAGAAATTACATGTTGCTGATGATTTGAATGCATAGATCAAATATCATACACATTTAAGACTGGGAATTAAGTGCGCCTTTTCTAAATGTTCTGAGGGAGGAATAGCTTTCTAGACATTTTAGAGGCACATTAAAGTGATTGTACCTTAGACTCTTAATATTGGTTTCTAATAGTGATTATTATTCAACTTTTAAAGTATTGACTTATGTATAGGCTCGTGTTTAATAGGGGTTCTTTCTATGTGCAGGTACCCGCCAACCTATCCCCACAAACCCTCTACAGCTCCAGACTTAGTTACTCCTGGGCTCGCTCTGTAACTCTGTAATGATCTCCGAAGCCTCCATTTCCCTGCTGAGGAGTAACTGTTTACACACCCCTCCCCCACTCGATTGTAAGCCCCTTGAACAATTTGAGTTCTACCACTAAGAGTAATGGTGACAAATATTTTCTGATGAATGCTGGGAGTGAATTAGGAAGTAATTTAGGGGGAAAAATTTTGCCCACTCTGGTTTTAAAAGACACTGAAATTGCTTAAAATGCCCGCATTCCACTGTAGGAATAAGTATTAGAGTGCTATGCTGCTTTGTGAAGATGAAAGGGCTATGCTTGGAGAGACCAAGGAGAGCAGGCAGTAACTGCACTGTTCAACCCCACTTTCTGGATGAGCTAGTCCTCGGTCCTCCATCTCAGCTGTGACTCTGGGAAGAAAGGACGTTTGTGTGTTCCTGTGTGTTCCTTTCCCTCCGGACTATAAGGGCCCCATTTTTATTCCATCTCTGGACAGTGTCTCCCACATTGTTGACACACACCATCATCCCACAACCTACAAGATAACATTTTTTCTTGCTCCTTAGTATAAGGAGCTCTTTTCTTCTTTAATGATCCTTTGGAAAAATTAATCATTTGTTAGGTTTGATGATAACACAGGAGTCCTACCTACATCCCTCAACAGCAGCAGTGAAAGATGTTCTAAAGGCTATTTATTTATTTATTTATTTATTTGTTAATCTTCACCAGAGAATATTTTTCTATTGATTTTTAGAGTGGAAGAGACAGAGAAACATCGATGTGAGAGAAACACATCAATTAGTTGACTCCTGCACAAACCTGACTGGGTCCGGGGGCCGAGCCTGGAACTGAGGTACGTGAACTTGACTGGAATTGAACCCGTGGCCCTTCAGTCCCTGGGCTGACACTCTACTGAGCCAAATCTGCTAAGGCAAGCGATTTTTAAAAAAATCGAAATTTGTGGCTTGGAAAGTGACTTCCAAATTCAAGAGGAGCAGGAGCAGTTCCGCTTTTCTCTCTGAGCAGCTCAGGGAAGGGGAGTTTGTGGAGCTCGGGACACAGGGGACAACTTTATAAGAGCCAGGAGAGTATTCACTCCACTCCTGAGCTGGCCCTCTCCCTCGCCGTCCCTCAGCTCCTCAGTGGCTGTCAGGGTTCCTCCTTACCATGTTGGTCTGGATGTGGAAAATCCTCAGCCTCTTCCTCCTGAATTTAGTCTAGGCAACACCAACATGTTTTAAAGTCAGTATTTAAGAGCAAATGGAATTGAAGGAGAACAAATCTCCCCACTCCATCCCCCCCCCCCCCCACACACACAAAAAAAAAAATCCTCAAAAAACAAAACTATCTCCTAAGTGACAAGAACCTGCGCACCATTGGCTTGGCTGTGTCACATCACACAACCTGTTTCCTTTGGTGACCTCAGGCACTTTGGCTATGGAGTGATTTGAACTATAATATACTCCGGGCCTTAGTAAAGTTGGGGGAGCCTCTGCTTGATCTGGGGGGATTTCTGATCTTCCCAACATGATTCCCTGGTATCTCTCTAGGTGTGGTTCCCCTAATCTCAAGCCTTATCAGAGTTTTGAATTTTTTTAAAAAAATATATATAAATGTGAACAAACCCTTCTTTTACCCGAAAGCCTTTATTAGTTACCATTGTCCTTGAGACAAGATCCCAGGTCCTTAATGTTAAGGATTACCAGGTCTCAAGGAATCAACTAGGTACATCCTCCAAGGTTACCCCATCCGCTTGTCTTGCTAATGTCCTAAGGTAGAAAACTCTTTGCTATGTCTACCAGTAAAGGTCAGAAAACTGTTCTTCAGTGTGGGTTTCTGTGTGGATAGGATTACACATTTTATCAAAGAAATTAAAACCTTTAAGCCTGGATAATTAAACAGAAGTACATGTAGAACACAGGTTATACAGTACATGCCATTTAGCAAAGAGAAACACTGGTGTTGGCATAAACAATTAAGAATTCTTGGGGGATTGCATGATTAGGTGGCTAAAGTCTGCCAATCAGTGCTTAGAAATCTTGCTTTCCTACTTTAAACTTCCATATTCTCAAATTTATTGAAAAATATATTTTTCTAAAAGATCCTGAAATTTGTTCTGAGAGGTTTTAGGGACATCATAAAAATTTAGAGTGAAAAGGAAAGAGCATAGTATCCTATTTTTAACACTGAGGGTCTTTTTGTGTTGGTTAAGATAAAACTAGGTTATTATAAATTAGAGTCCCAGTGCACGAAATCGTGCACAGGTGCAGTCCCTAGGCCTGACCGGCGATCAAAGCACAAGCATCTGGTGTGAAAGAGGAGGACCCAGCTGACCTCTGGGCCCTGGGAAGCACCTGGGCCCCTGGGCCCCCACGCGCCCCCCTCTGCCCGAGTCATGGTGCCCAAGTCCCCATGCAGAGATGTGGTGAGCACGGCTGGACATCATGGGCTGAGGTGAAGCGTGGGCCCCTGGGCCACCCAGTGGTGCTGCATGGAAGCTGGGCAGGCAGCATGCTCTCTCCCGGCCAGCCTTGCATACCAGTTCCTGTGCGAACCCATGGGGAGCCTGACCAGCCCCTGTGGTCCCGTGGCTGTGGCCCGGCTTACCTGGAAGATGCTATGCAGGTGTGAGGTGGGCTTCTCCCAAGGACCTGGCACCTGAGCACTAAGGCTTCCCTCTCCTGCAAACCCTGGCATCCCGGGGGGAGGGCAGCAGAGGGAGTGATAATGAGCTTGCGTGCACCCACAAAGATAGTGGCAATTTTTGTGATTCCAACTTTGGGAAGATGCAATGAGATAACAAAATTACTAGAAATACCAAACATCCCTTTCTCTTGCTAAATGAATGACTGCTGTTTCTTTAACCGACCCATAAAATTACTCTGGCTTTCTGACAGCTTCCAATCTGGAGCAAACCCCCACTTCATTGGACTCTCTCCCAAATCATCTAACTAAAGCTCATGCCCTATAATTGGTTATTCCTAACAACCCTCCTACTGAGACACCCACAGTCCCCCCCCCAATCCATTCTCTCTCACTGTAACAAGTAATAAATCCAGATTCTTCAACTACAGGTGTGTTCCTCATGGTTTTTGGCTGAAGGGTATGGGAATGCTATGGGGATAGAAATCCATGCTCTGCATAAATTTTTGTCTGAAAATATTACTTTTTAATAGTAAAATAGATATTACAAAAAAATCATTGCATTCAGAAAGAAGGAAAATGTAAGCAAGCATAAAGCGAAAGCTAATGTACAGAATTGCTGAAGGCACGGAGAGGGGAAGCAAAGAGAGTAGTCTGGTTGATCAGTATTCTCTTCCTTAAAAAGAGCCTGACTTACTACAAATGACCTTAGAAGGGAGGAGCAAGAGGTGTGTGTGTGTGTGTGTGTGTGTGTGTGTGTTGTGGGGGAGGGGAGGAGGGACTCAGTCACTAAGCTTGAAGGGCAAAGGGAACTTTAGCTACCTTCTCCATCGGTGCCCAGATTCATTTCATTTCACACCATTCCGAAAGTCAGATTTTAACATCACCACCACTCCCTGACTTGAAATATGAGAAAATATGGGCCTGGAGAGAAGTTAAAAAACATACCCAATAACAGAGTGAAGCCAGGGCAGTACCAAGATCTATGAGACTCCAGAGTTCATGGGCAAGACACTACACCAACGGCTTCTAAATACTGCCAAATGTTTACACACCAGTAGAAAGAAAGCGTTTAAATGAAGAGTTCAGCCAGGAAAGCTATCATAGGAGGCCGAATTTTTAAAAAATTATCTTTTTTAAAAAAAATTATCTTATTTTAAGATTAAGAGATGCTATTATAACTATTGTTAAAGTTGTTTTAATATTTTCTCATTATCAAAGAGTTCCTTTGCTTTCTGAAAAACAATTTTTTTTGTTAAAATTTCAGAATCTATAGAACCAGCAAAATTTTCAGTCTCTGAATGTAATCTCTCTATATTAAAATTTTGTTGATGAGTAAAATAATGTTGAATGTGGTTCATTTAGTTGTTTTAGTTGTACTGACCTCATAAACTACTTAATTATATCATGTTGATAGTACTTTGATATTATGTAATGAGAAGAGTACTTTACTCCATGGTTTTCCTTCTCAAAATACACATTTGTCCAATCTGAGAAAATATCACTTAATATGATTTTAAGGGACATTCCACAAAGCAATTGCTCAATACTCCTCAAAACTATCAAGGTCATCAAAACAAGAAAAGTATGAGAGACTGTCACAGCCAAAAGGAACTTAAGGAACTATGACGACTTAATCTAATGTCTTTCTTTTACATCCTCACAACACTTTGCACTACTGGATAATTACTCTTCACCAGTATTTCAGTGAATGGTTTTAGTACTCATTGCTGGTCATTTTCCTATATTTATTTATTGGCTTGCAAAATAATGATTTTTCTAATTTTATAGAATTTTAAGTCAGGAATGGATATTGCTATTATTGAATATTTTTTCTGCATATATAAAAATGATCAATAATTTTTCATTGCATAAGAATTAACATTGCTCAGATGTTTTCATAAACTGCTGAATTATAATTAACATATCTTATTTAGTGAATTTAAATCTATTTTGAAAAGTAATTATAATTTTTTGTGACGTCCTTGTTTGTTTTGATGTCAAGGTTATACTTGTTTTATAAAATGAGCGGATAGCGGCTCTTCTGGTTCACACTGACTTGCTGTGTTTACGGAGGAGCACTGAGGGCTCCCTACCAGTACTGAGTGTTGTTGGTTGGATACACTGACTCATGAATGTTGCCAATTGGCTTTGCCCTTTTAGTGGTTTTCATTTTTACCAATAAAAAAGAAAAAAGGAAAGAAAAAAAGGAAGGATGAATAGATAAGCAGAAAGTATAGATAAATAAAAAACATCTATCCATTCATCAGCCTGAGAAATCCATAATCAATGATTTGTGTTTATCTTTCCTAATAATTAGACTCTTTCATGGAGTTTTTAATCACTTAAAAAATCTGCTTTTGCCTGGCTGGCGTGGCTCAGTGATTGAGCATGGACCTGTGAACCAGGAGGTCGCAGTTTGATTCCCAGTCAGGCACATGCCTGGGTTGCAGACTCCATCCCCAGTGTGGGGCAAACAGGATGCAGCCAATCAATGATTCTCTCTCATCACTGATGCTATATATTTTTAAATATGCTTTGCATGAGAGTGTTAGAAAAGGTTATTTCTTGAACCAAGTTGTTCTTTCATTTGGCTACTTTGGTTCAAAAAGTGATCATTATAATCATTCTTTTCTTTTCTTTTATAGGGTTACTGGCTACAGATTGCAATCGCCATGACTGACTCGGTAATTCTTCGCAGTGTGAAGAAATTTGGAGAGGAGAATCATGGTTTTGAGTCAGATGGATCATGTAAGTGGCCCTTTTCTCTCACTGCCTATTGCACAGTGACAAGTTAGAACAAAAGTGGAACAAACTAGTGAGGTTTCAAGGGGCAGAGACAAACCACCAACAATATTTAGAACTATCACCGAACATGTTTCTCACACATGAATGGGTGGTTCTCCCTAGAATCCATGTAATGGAATGTCTGAAAGTGTTAAGGTAAAGATGTATAAAGTATGGGTGAGGGAAGTATCTATTAATATTAATATCTGTTTCCTAGAGAGAGGAGGGTTGTTCCAGCATTGGCTATGATTATTAACTTTATTCATATATTGTAATAATTAATTATAGCAGTAATTATTTTGTGAGCACTGCTTCCCAAGAGGAACTGAACCAAGACTATGCTGGCAGAATGGAAAAAGGCTAGTACCTAGCATGTAGTGAGCACAGATGATTCTAAGCAAGTTTTACTGTTATTATTTTTTAAAAATACGTTTTTATTGATTTCAGAGAGAGGGAGGGAGAGAGACAGAAACATCAATGATGAGAATCATTGATCAGCTGCCTCCTGCATGCTCCCTACTGGGGATGAGCCCACAACTTGGGGATATGCCCTAACCAGAAATTGAACAGTAACTTCCTGGTTCATAGGTGCAAGCTCAACCACTGAGCCTCGCCAGTCGGGCAAGTCTTATTGTTTTAAACAAATCTTATAATTTTACAGGAGAAGAAACTAAGACTTGAATACACTTTTTAAAACTTGGCAAAGATCACATGACTCTTAATGGAGCCATAACCCAGTTCTGTTTAATTCCCAAACCCAAGGTATTAATCTCTATCTGTACTATAATGCCACTTAACTCTTAATTAAATTAAATTAACATGCCAGGAGGATCAGGATGTGCTGCTCATGGTAATGGTTGACATTAGCACCTTGGGTTCCTTTCCCTATGATTTCCATACTCAAACCCTTTTGCTTCCTACCCTCCATCTGCTCTGACCTGTGCTGGGAAAGCAACATGCAGATCAATCCCACAGCTTCTTCTGGTATGCAAGTGGCAACAGCATTATATAGTCCGGTTAATTTGTGGTCTAAATTCTAAGTGGGTAAATTCTGATGTTTCTAAAGAACCAAATAATAAATAGATATTTATTTTTCTTCGTTCAGTTTAGAAATGTTGGTCTCTAGTTGATATTCAGAAGATACAAATATTTCATACCTGAAGAAAAGTCATTCAGAGATGTAATCAAGCCTGCAGCCCTAATCCTGAAATAACATCTTCTTTATGTATATGTATATGTACAGAAAGAGAGAATAAAAAAGGAGAAATAGCAAATAATCATTTTGCTATGTTACATCAATAAAAAATAATTTATAGGAATGGTGTTTTTCTAGAGCAAAATTGTAAATGATTATGTTGTATTTAGTCATTAACTGCCTTGTGCATTGTTTTTATTCTGACAGATAACAATGAGAAGAATTCACAGTAAGTGACTATTTCAACAATACATTTTTTTTCTAGAATAAGTTCACAATATTCCTATGATACGCACAAAGCAGAGGAAATATTTTTATGTACATTGCACTTCCTATAAAATGGTATAAATAATCCATTATTTTCCTTTTTAAAACATTATTATAATTTGATTTCAAAAACCTTTTGGAATATTCCTTCTAGACTAGGTCTAAATCTCCCCTGTGTATTCAGGAAAAGCACAGAATTTCCAACCTAAACCGTAGGGAAGGTGTATAAGTATGATTTTGTGAGTACAGGGGAGGTTCCCAAGCCCAAATTCTATAAGCAAATAGCAGATACCTAAAACTTAATCATTACATTTTCCTCTTTAGTTTAGGAATTTAAATTCTTGTATAAAATAAATTATAGTTAATCATACATTGGCATACCGATAAAATTAGATGGAGTCTAATTTAGAAGACATTTGGGAGGTGCCAGGAAGTTTCTGAAATAAAGGTGATAGAAAGGGAGAGGTGGAAGGTATTTAAGTAATTTTAAGTAAGTAATTCACGGCAGAGGGAGGTGTTGGGTGTGGTAACATTATTTGGACTAGAAGTGGTAGGACTAGCCTGGGCTTAGAAGAATGATACTGGGTGGGAAAGAGATAAAAATGGGTGTGAATGTAGCTGAAAAGCAATGACAGAATGACCAGGAAGTTTGAATGAATTCTTTATTTTCTATTTTTATTTATACATTTCTTCAGTTTACTCTTTTTAAAATTGAATTAATTGGGGTGACCTGGTTAACAAAATTATACAGGTTTCAGGTGCACAATTCCATAATACATCTGCTAGTACCGTGTTTCCCCAAAAATAAGACATCCTCCGAAAATAAGACCTACTTACAGATTTCCTTCTGAGTGAAATATAAGGCATCCCTCCCAAAATAAGGCCCCCCCCTAGGCTAAACATGAGAGATTTGATCCACTGATTCTGAAAGAAATGGAGTCACAAGAAATTCACCAGGAAATTCAGGAATTGGATTGTTATGATGATGTTCCAAAAGATGATGACATGATTGTCATTGAATAAATGAGTAAATTCTTGATACTGTAGGATTCACAGTTTGTCTGGTTTGTGTTGTCAACTACCGTACTACCGTACCGTATACAAGTAGTAAATTTCCTTTATTTTCATTTAACAATAAATGTGTACCGTATTCTTCTTCATGAAAAATAAGACATCCCCTGAAAATAAGACCTAGCGCATCTTTGGGAGCAAAAATTAATATAAGACACTGTCTTATTTTTGGGGAAACAGGGTACATACCACACTATGTGTTCACCACCCTAAGCAAAGTTTCATTCATCACCATTTATGTTCCCCCACCCCCCACTCCATGCCCTCTTCCTCCCTTCCTCCCTCTGGCAATCACCACTCTTGTCTGTGTCTATAAGTTTTTCTCTCTTTCCCTTTTCTCGTCTTCAGTTTTTAGAGGAGATGTAATAAAGAAGAATGAGAATATAAGAATGAAAGTTTGATAAAGCTGCTGGGGGGGACAGGAACAATCTCTAGAGGGGTAAAGTACATGAACTAAAGCTGGAGACCATTCTCATTCATTCATTTCACAAATATTAATTAAGTGCCTTCTAGATGTCAGGCATTAAAATTAGGGCTGAGGTACAGAAAAGAACAAATTAGGCAAAAAATTCTGCGCTTGAGGAGCTTACAGCTTACATCTTAGGGAGGGACACATCATAAACACCATAAGTAAATAAAATATATAGCATGGTAGCTAGTGATAATCTATCAGTTTATTTCCACCAAGGAAAAAGTAAACATGGAATGGAGTTATGAAATCATGTGGGGGAAAGTTGAAGTTTTACCAACTTTGGCCAGAAAAGGCCCCATTGAGAAAGTGACTTATGAGTGAAGGTCTGAAGAAGTAGAAAGAATTGACCAAGTAGATAAAACAGCATTCTGGTGGGAAAAAATTGCAAGTGCAAATGCCCAGAGGAGGGAACAAATTTGGCATGGACAAAGGTCCACAAAGAGGCCAGATGGCTCAGGTAGTAAGAATTGGCATGCAGTAAGAGGAGACAAGGTCCGAGAGCCAGTTGGCCAGACCATGGGGGGCCTTAAATACTACACCAAGGACTTGGTATTCTACTCTGAGCTGGAAGGGAAACTCAGGATAACCAAATGCTAGGCATGGCATGAAATGTTGGCATCAATTCACTTGGTGGAGATCTTGTCTTCAGCCAGCCCAGCAGCCTGGCTTCAGGAGAAGATGGCAAACATTCAGGATGGATACAGAGATGAAGTTTCCAAGGAAGGTTTTGGGAAAAATGATTGAGGATGATGTTGAGAGCGTAGTTTAATTGGCAGGCAGTGGGAACTGGGAATGCATGGGGAAGGAAGCAAATCTTTATGAGGTTTAGCAATTATAAGTAAATGGAGGGCTTAAGGGACTGCATGTCTCAGGTGAGATGACAAATAGTTGTGGAAGGGAGGAGGAAGTGAGGAAACAAGATGCCTGGGCTGGCCCAGTATGCGATGGAGTAGAGTAGTTCCTGGTGAAGGAAAGGTCCAGGGTGTATCCATGAATGAATGACTCAGCTGAAGTAGAGATGCTTGGAGTTGAGAAGATCAAAGATGGGTTAAGTATAACTTTCTGAGAAACAAAATGAGTAAGAAATACTAAGGAAATATAATTTAATGGGAAGTAATGGAGTTTAAGGGAAACTTTTCATCGCATCAACACTATTTAATGTAGTTGTAAAATGTTTTAAGTGCTAGAAGGAAGTTTTAAATCAGATAATCTAACCACAGGAAATAGGTCAATATGACATTATCTCACTTATATGTGGAATCTAATGAACAAAATATGTCCAGTGGTACAGAATAACAGATCTCAGTGGGGAGAGAGTTGGAGGGGATGAAAAAAAAAATTAACCTAAGAATATATATCCATAATGCATAACCCATGGACACAGACAATAGTGTGGGCAAGGCCTGGGATGGGATGGGGCTTGTGTGGAGTGGGGCAAAAAGTGGGGAGGGAAATGGGGAACATCTGTAATACTGTCTACAATATAAACAAAGAAACAAACAAGCAAACAAATAAATAAATAAATAAATGTTTTAAAAAAGAAATAGATCAAGGGTTAAGACTGAACTCTAATAGTTATTTATTAGTATAACTGAGAGTATGGAGTACTTTCTAATTTCTCTCAGTGCCTTCAGAAAAACATCATTGAATCTCTCTTGAACATGAAATATAGCTATACTGAAATCTCTATAAGAGATAAATCCGAAGAATAAAAGCTTATTTATAAGATATTAGTTTTGGCAAGAGTTTCTTAACAGTGGGAGCTTTTTTTCTTGCTAAAAAATAACTCATTGACTCACCACCTAGGGAGAATTTCTCATTGTTTGGGAAGGATGGTCCATAAATCCCTATTTTCTCTCTTCAGGTCACAAAATGAGAAGAAAGGTGACAGCAGTCCAGTTGGCTTCTTTCAATTGGTAATAAGACGGTGCTGACTTATGACATAGGCTTTGTAACTATGAATCGTTCAGATCGTGGAGGAAGTGTTAAATCTTTAGTCATTTTGGCAGGTTTTTAACTACAGTGATTCCTTTTTCAGTCATAAACTTTGTCTATGTGATAACGTGCTGACTAGCAATTAGAAATGTATTGCTAATTAAACATACAAATCTTACTCAGTAGATCAAAAAAGCATCCTTGAAAATAATCACTATGTTCATAATTATTATTTTAGTAAGGAAAATCATCACAGAAATCATATTGTGCATATTTATTCTTATGACAAGACTTTAGAAATAGTATAATATAAGTATTTTCTCTCCATTGTTCATGATGAAGGCATTTATAGGCACAAATAGGCATTCTTCATTGCCATTATCAGCTCTAGGAGCCAATGTATGTTATTGCTGAATGTCCTACATGCTGAATGTCCTACTGATACCATTGCTGAATGTCCTACTGATACATGTGCACAGTGAACTTTGTACACATGCCAATGGTATCAGTGCTAGTGATTGTTTCCCTCATAAGTTTGTGGACAAATAGCTAAATAGGCTTCTTTCAACTGGTAATAAGACTAATAAAGTCAGCTCTTGAGATAAAGAAAAGAAATAACATGGACTGACAGTGTAATAGTCTAATGTTTCAGATAACTGCTATACCATTCATTTTGATATAATTAGTGAGAACTCTGTTATTCAATATGATGCTCCCACAAAATTTGGTGTTGAATACTATTTGTCAGAATCTAGTAATTAAAATTAAATAGTCCTCCTACCTCTCCTGCTTTTCACCCATAGATGATATCTGAATCCTTTGTTTTTCAAGTTTCGATTTTCTTCAACGACTGACATTTGGCTGATGTTTGTGGGAGGTTTATGTGCATTTCTCCATGGACTAGCCCATCCAGGCGTGCTACTCATTTTTGGCACCATGACAGATGTTTTTATTGACTACGAGACTGAATTGCAAGAACTCCAGATCCCTGGAAAAGCGTGTGTAAATAACACCATCGTGTGGACCAACAGCTCCCTCAACCAGAACGTGACTAATGGAATACCTTGTGGGTAGGCTGCTATTTTTTACTTTTTTGTTCACATCTTAAATTGTAATTAAAAATGTGTAGAGGGAACATATTGCCATGTTCTGAGCTGGAATGGTATCTAATGTAGAGCACACAGAAACATAAATTTACCCACATTTTTACAAATTACACTGCCCTGAGGTTCTCCTATCTTACCAGGTTTTAAAATCCTAATAAAAAACATATTTGGAAATTGCCCATTAAATGCAACATCCAAATTTAACCACTTTGTGGTGTATAGGTTTAAGGACGGGGCTATCAATACTTAATGCCAAAAGATGATCCATGGATTTTACTTGAGTCCAATGTCATGTCTTAGATACAAGATTTCCTTTTATTTTTTTTTTTCCTAGCTCTCATCCATTCCTTAGTTTCTGTGGTCATGGCTAATAATCCCCAACCTTTTCTGTATAATGGGAATTTTATTAGTATGCCAGAGGCCTTGAAGTAGGGGCCACTGGTCTCAGTGAGTAGTTGAATTTCATGGAAGAGTGGTATGGTGTCACAAAACCATGAGGATTAGCCAGAGCTGGCTGTGCTACTACTGTTTTCTTTGTGATAATCCCAACAGCTGCCTGGTAATCAGTAGAGTTCGAGTACACAGGTTGACTCACTGTTTTGGACTTTGCAGCCTGCCTCCCAATGCCTCAGGGACAGAACAAGGTCATTTGCACGTATGAACCCATATGCTCAGGTTTAAGAACAAAGAGCTGGGCACCTCCTGGCTAGAAAGACACTTGAAATGGCCTTCCTAAGTGAATTTATATTTTTCGCCTTCATTTAAAAAGTTTTAACAGGCTTGATTCCAGATTACGAAAAACCCTTCTAAATCACTCTGTCCATAACATTATTTACTCTTAACGGCATTTTATTCATTCACTCATTTAACCAAAATTTTGAACATAATTTGAATACATATATATATATATATATATATATATATATATATATATATATTCTCCCCCCCCCCCCTAAATTTAGAAGACTCAGAACAGTTTGTATGAAAGAGGGACTATCTCCAGTGACTATCTTTTAAGTCTTTCATTAACGTTGAAGGATAGAGATGAACTGCTTTTACAGAATGAAATGACTACAAAATGTAAAATTAACCACTCCCCCTTAAAAAAAAATGCATTCAGACTTCTTTATTATGTAAATAGACCCAAGTCCTTAATAACAATTATGAAGAAAAAATTTTCAAGGGAAAATTCCTAAAAGTATATCTTATTATGTTTTAAAATTTGGAAATAACTATTAGAAGGACCAAAACTGTCCTGGCTGATTTTGCTCAGTGGATAGTGTTGGACCTTGAACTGAAGGCTCCCTGGTTCAATTCCAGTCAGGGTTATATACCTTGGTTGCAGGCTTGATCCTGGACCCCTGTTGGGGTGGTACAAGAGGCAACCAATCGATGTGTCTCTTTCACATTGATGTTTCTTTCTGTGTCTCTCCCCCTTCTACTCTCTTTAAAAAATCAATGGAAAAATATCCTTGGGTGAGGATTTACAAATAAATAAATAAATAAATAAATAAATAAATAAATAAGTAAATAAATATTAGAGATATATCCGTGACACCAAGTGCTCATAAATATTTATTAGATGAATTAAAGAATGAATCTACCTTTATTCTGCACCACCAACATCCATTAGAAAGGAATTCACTGTGGATGTCCATTACTTGGGTTTTATTCACTATTACTGGGTCATGTACTTCAAGGTGAGCAAATAGTGAGAAGCAAATAGTGGTTTTCAGAAGTTCACTGGCTTTAGCTGAGTCCACATGATACCAAACATGTAAAAAAATCATATGATAACTCAGATTGTGCAGACCACACCTTTCTTGGACATTTTTTTTTTAACTAGGATCTCCTTTGATGAGCTAAATACTTTAATTGTGAATTATTATGGTCCCTGACATTAATACTGTTGCACCTCTGAATTACTATGTTAGTTTAGCTTTCATGTAGTAAGATCACTGACAAAATGGAGCTGGGTGGGACAGAGGAAAAGGAAGAGGACATTTTCTTCCTCAAAGTAGTTAATATGCCTCCCAAATTACCCAACTCCTTGCAACTTGTTTTCTTGAAAAAGTATATCATTAAAAGTCCAATTTCTCCACCTATTATAATAGGTCTATCAGTCTTGGGCCATACAAGGCAACTCAATGATTTTATCAACATAAGTATGCATTGTTTAATAGTAGAAGCTAGTTTTTCTTTTATTATATTGGTTTCCATATATCAATTATAATCTATTAGATGGAATTTATAGGCTAAAGCCTTTCAAGTGGCAATTAGTGAAAAATGCTGAAAAAGATTACAGAACATTAGGCCTCCTGATTAACTTATCAGTTTTTACACTTGGATAGAAGTAAATGGCATTTTGATATTTGGACTTTCCTTTTATCTTTTTTTCACCTTACTGTTTGATTATTCTGAGCAAATAAATTCTAAAAAGCTAATGAAATCATGGAAGTGACATATTGTCATTTCTGCTATATTCTGTTGATCACACAGACCAACCCTGGTACAATTTGAGAGGGCACCACAAAACAGTGTGAATGGTGGCTCCAGCACCAGCTGTGGGTGTGAGCAGGGCTGTGCTGGCAGCAGGTGCAAGAGGTGGCTGCTGGCCCCTATCTCCCTTCAGGAGCAGGGGGAGGTGGAGAAGCCCTGAAGGGCAATCAGGGCCAGCAGCAGCTGCTGGCACCCACTGATGGCATTGAGTGATCAGGGTTAGTGCCAGGTGCTAGCAGTGGGTGTGAGCAGTGGCTCCAGCACCAGCAGTAGGTGCAAGTGTGGCCAGCACTGGCAGAACTGCAGTGCACACAGGAGCAAAGAATTGTTAGTAACCACCAGAAGCTTGCCCTGTTGACAGCGACCAGCACCCCGCCGTGGTCTGATGCCCCCTTTCACCTGCTCTACTGCCACTGTGGCTGACACCTGTCATGTTCTGCACATGTCCCCTGGTGGTCAGCACACATAATACACATAATAGCAACTGATTGTTCAGTTGTTCGGTTGTTTCAGTTGTTCTGCCATTTGGTCTATTTGCATATTAGCCTTTTATTATATAGGATATTATCCTGATACCCAAACCAGGCAAACATATTACAAAAAAGAAAACTATACATTATTATATCCTCATGAATATAGATGCCAAATCTTAACAAAATATTAGCAGATAGAACTGGGCAACATACAAAAAGAATTATACACCATAAGGAAGTGGGTTATATTCTAGAGAAACAAAGCTGGTTCAGTATTTGAAAAAGACAATCAATGTTATCTGCCACGTTAACAGGCTAATAAATATAACCACATGATCATCACCATAGATGAGAAAAAGTATTTGAAAGTTTCAACATCTATGCATAATGAAAAGAACAAAAAGCAAACCCTCCCTTTAAAAAAGAGCATCTACAAAAAATCCAAGTTAACTTTATACTTAATATTGAAAGATTGTGTACCTTCCCATAAGACTGGAAATAAGGTAAGAATATATGCTCTCACTTCTATTATTTAACATAGTTTTAGCTTGTGCAATAAGGAAGGAAAGAGGTAAAAAAAATATTGATATAATAATTGTACATTAAACAATGGTTAAGGTAGAAAATTTTATGTTTTTTTTTTTTTACTAAAATTAAATATTTGAAGATGTAAAGGGAGAATTACAGATATCTTTATTGGCAGATGACATAATTTTCAACACAGAAAATCCCAAAGAACCTACAAAAGTCTAGAACCAATAAACGAGTTCCACAAGGTCTTAGAATACAAGTTAAAATACAAAATTCAATAGTATTTCTATATACTAGCAACAAAAATGTGGGTACCAAAATTCAAAATATAGAACTTATAACTACTTAAAAACTGTTACTTATGTGTAAACCTAGCAAAACATGTACAGGATTTCTATGCTGAGAACTGCACAATGCTGATAAAAGAAATCAAAGAAGACCAACATAAATGGAGACACATACTACGTTAATCAATTAGAAGATTCAGTACAGTAACAATGTCAGTTCTCCCAAATTGATGTACATGTTTAATACAATTTCTATCAAAACCTCAGCAAAATTTTTCTAAAATGTACATGAAAAGGCAAAAGAACTAGAATATCTTCCTTTCAAAAAGAAGAATGAAATGCAGGGAAACGATATACCCAATTTTAACTCATATCATATAGCCATAGCAATCAGGGCAGTATGATATTGACAAAGGAACAGAATAGAGAATGCAGACTCACACAAATATGGCCAACTGTTTGTTGACAAAGGTGGAAAATAGTTCATTGAAGGAAAAATAAAGTTTTTATTAAATGGTGAGGAAGTAATAGGTCATCCCAAACATATTCAGAAATGAGCTCAAAATGGATTATGACTTTAAATGTAAAAAATAAAAGTGTATATTTTTAGAAAAATATATAGGAGACGATTTTCTATGGCTAGAGAAAGAGTGCTTAGGCTTGACACCAAAAATAATCCATAACGAGAAAATTTGATAAATTGAACTTCATCAAAATTAAAAACTTTGCTCTGCAAAAGACCATGTTAACTGCCCTGACTAGGTAGCTCAGTTGGTTAGAGCACTGCTCAGTATGATAAGGCTCTGGGTTCAATCCCTGGTCAGGGCACATATGAAAATCAATCAATGAGTGCAAAAATAGGTAGAACAACAAATGGATGCTTCTCTGTCTCTCTCAAAATTAATAAATAAAAATTTTTTACAAAGACCTTGTTAAGAGGATGAAAAGACAAACTACAGACCAGGAGAGATATTTGAGAATCATATATCTAACAAAAGACTAGGATCTAAAATAACTAAACATCTCTCAAAAACACAATAGTTAAAAAAAAATTCAGAATATGGGGGAAATGCATGAACAGACATTTCATTAAGGGTATAAAGATGGCAAATGAGCCCATGAAAAGATGTTCACATTAGTGGTTAGGGAATGTAAATTAAAATCAAAATGAGATCAGTATGTACCTGTCAGAATGACTAAAATAAAAATAAAAAAAGTGATAATACCAACTGCTGGTGAGGATATGGAGGAATTGGATCACTCATACCTTGGTGGGAATGTAAAATGGAGCAGCCACTCTAAGAAATAGTTGGGCAATTTAAAAAAAAAACAAAAAACTAGGCATGCAGCTATTATATGACCCAGCAATTCTACTCTTGGGGATTTGTCCCAGAGAAATGAACTTAAATGTAAGAAACAGAACATCACTTGTGATAGACAAAAAGTGGAAACCACCCAGACATCCTTCAACAGATGAATGGTTAAACTAACCGTGATTTATCTATACTGTGGAATACTACTTACCAGTAAAAAGGAACGGGCCGTTTATGAAACTTGAAAGAATTATGTTAATTGAAATAAAATCCAATCCTAAAAGGTTACATTCTGTGTAATTCCATTGAACATTCTTCAAAGGACGAAACTATAACAACAGAGACCAGATTAGTGGTAGCCAGTGGTTAAGGGACGAGTGGCCACATAAAAGCATGGGTGCATCTAAAAGGGCAGCATGATAAATCCTTGTGGCAATGAGACTGCCCTGATCTTAATTACTCAATTTCAGCATCCTGATTGTGATACTATCCTAGAGCTTCACAAGATGTGCTGGGGGAAACTGGAAAGAGGGCATGCATAATCTCTCTGTAATATTTCTCACAAGTGCATCCTAATCTACACTTATCTCAAAATAAAAACTTGATTAAAAATAAACAAAAAGTAGATTCCTGGGTGGGAAAAAAAATGGTTGCGGGTTCTCTGGAAGTAAGACCTAGCCATTTTGTCCGAATGCTACCCTCATGTATGGGTGTTCTAGCAACATATTCCTTGCATTAAGGAATACAGAGTCTCCAACACCTTGAAGCTAGGACATGAATACGTTTTGCCAGATCGTGATGCTCAGGTTAGAGCGGACATGGATGTTCACTCTACGGTGCCAGTGTGCCTATGTCTACAGGGCATGGGAACCATTAAAAGAAAAACTCCTCGCTAAGCAATGCACCTTATCATAATGACCTCCTAGGTATTTTAAGTGAAAAACCTATGACTCTAGTAAGTATGAAACTGTGAGGTGTAAATTGAGTGATTCAATCTTCTGATGCATTTTTTAAAAATAAAAAGCAAGGTAAGAATCCTCATATATTAATACTTTGTAAAATATCCTTTTCCTTTCCCTCTAATTGTCCTCACTCCCCTCTCCTCTCTTCAGCAAATGAGTCAGGGGAAACTTAATTTAAGTAGATGTAAGTTAACTTTGTCTTTTTTTTTTTTAAATAAAAAATGGTGCCATTCTGGGGTCAGAATCACCTGCACAATTTTTAGAATCATTTCCAGGATTTTATAATCAAAAGAGCTTTCCACCAGGCACATGATGAAGAGTTTGATGTGCAGTCAAAGGAACTACGCCAGCCTCTCTTTTCCTTCCTGTCCGTTTTCCTGAGAGGTTTATCTTTTTGTTCCAGAAATATTCTCAAGAAGTCTCTAAAACTGATAACTTTTTCTTCCCAAGAATAACACCGAACTGAGTTAATCATTTATCTTTGAGGAGCCTCAGAAGTGAAAAGAATCATAAACTGCACGTGCCCTTATCCGCCCCACTCAATGATGACATAATTCTCCTGACCTTCGCTCCAGTAAATCCCAGGGCTGGCTGGGTGCTCATTTCTCTAAATCCCTGTAGGTTTGTTTATAACTGGCAGCTGCGTTGTTCATGACAGGCACTAAGTCACCTCTGCTTAGAGTGTCCATAGAATGGATGCAGCACAGGAAAGCTAAGTAAAATTTTCTTACAAATGCTCATACGTTTCTGGTTTTGAACACCCAAATTCCATTTCAGAGAACTCAGAGTATGGACTCATTTATACATTAGAAGGCTTTACTCATTATACACTCTATCATTAGTTTTTGTAAAAGCCTCTGACTGTGGATATATATATATATATATATATACACACACATATACACGTATATGGGTATATACATGTACACACATATATATATATATATATATATATATATATATATATATCCTCACATATATATTTATAATATTCTAGGTCTTGTTCATTCTCAGGATTCCCTTAATCATTATGAAAACCTTGGAATGGGATGAACACAGACTTATTAACTGGTTTAGAGATTTTCAGAGGGGTTGACCAAGGCAGTTATTTCCCTTTCACTAGTATTTTCAAAGTTAAAACAAAATCCAGAAACATTTATTAAGTTCCTACTATGTGGAAGATATTGTTCCAGGCTTCAGGCGGTATAAGCAAGCAGCTTAAATCCAGTACTTGGCCTCAAGTAGCTTGCAATGTACTAGCATGAAAAACAAATATCTGTGTATTTACACCGAGTATATATACTGTATATACTCGATGTATTCTAATACAAATACATTTACATCGATATATATATATATCCTTATCCATATATAATGTATATATATATGTGTGTGTGTATGTATATACTCGATGTAAATGTATTCAATAAAGGTATTGAATAATAGTGCAAGGTGGCAATAAAATCTGTCACAGATAACAGTCTGTTCTGAATTAAATGAATTATATAATACTTTGATACTTGCTTTGAGGTCAGTAGAGGGGAGAACACTTCCAGCCTGGTCACAAAAGGAAGTCCTGATAGAAAGCAGGAAGCTTGTGGGGTGAGAGCATCTATACTGAAGAGGCTGTTTTCTGATTTTCTAAAGAAATGGACTCCATATCATTTATCTTGTCCCTGAGGATCAGGGCAGTCATCAACCAACGTGTTAATTTTCTAATTATAAAGTTCCTTATTTCCTAAAATCGATTTCCTCCCCTCCCTGCCCCTGCCAATCCCAAACGCTATGCCTCAGCGTGATAGAGGAGTTGGAAAATGCTTGGAGCTTTTTTGCTGTTCCCCATAAGTTCTTTAGCTTCAACCTTAGAAAGCGCCCTGGAGAGTGAACTTCCTGGGCTGGAGTCAGCAGAAAGGCTCTGCCAATACAGCGCTTTTCTGCCTCTGTGGGAAGATGACATTCCTCACAGTGTCTCTCTGAGATGGAAGACTTGCAGAGCGGCTTGGATTCCTGAAGGAGGGAGAGTAAGCCTCCTGATTTACAGCACACATCTCCCTGTCGCTGTGATTACGTATCACTGCACAGAGAGCCCGAGTGAAGGGGCCTCAGTGGACAGAGTACTGGGCTGCCACCGAGGGCCCTGGGCTTCCAACAAGCCTAGCATCTCGGCCTGCAAAAATGAAGGGGGTTAGGCATCTCGATTGTGATTGGTACCTTGAGATCTATTGACGGATTTTTATTCTTTTTTGATTGTTCATAATCCTATATAGATTAAAAAAAACACTTATCCATATTTAATAGATATGTATAATACATGTATTTAAATTTCTCTGTACCCACAAATGTAATCTTTGGTAGCTTGATCCTCCTTGAGAGTCTTACAATTTTCTCTTTTGAAGGTTGATGGACATTGAAAGTGAAATGGTCAAATTTGCCAGTTACTATGCTGCAACCGCTGTCGCAGTTCTTATCGCAGGATATATTCAAGTTAGTAGCACCTATATTTTACTTCATTTTTTACCATCGTGGGCTTTTTTTGTTTTTGTTCATTTAAAAAGATGTGTTTGTTTATTTTTTAGAGAGAGAGGAAGGGAAAGGGAGAGGAGGGGAGAGGGAGAGAGAAAGAAATATAGATCGGGTTGCCTCCTGCACGCTCCCCACTGGGGAAACCCACAGCCCAGGCATGTGCCCTCACAAGGGACTCAAACCAGTGCCTTTGACTCCTGGGCCAATGCTCAACCACCGAGCCACTCCGGCCATTTTACTTCTTGATCAACATCTGGGTTTAAAGGCACGACAATGAGATGCAACGTGTATTCTTTTAACTTTTAAGTTACTCAGAAATCCTGAGGACTACAGTGGTGTGTTTGTTTTTCCGGGTTGGGGGGGGGGGCGGGGGGAGAGGAGCCAGGAGAGAATGAGAAAGCTCTTCCTCTCAGTTGGAGAGGATATAAGCAGCTCTCTAGAGCACATGTGTCAAACACAAGGCCCGCGGGCCAAATCTGTCCCGCCAGGCCTTGCAATGTGGCCCGCACCGCGCTGTCATCACTGCACTCCGCTGCATTTCCATCACAATGACAGTTTATGACTGTTCAGTAAACCATTCGGCCCGCGATTTAGGCTGGATTTTAGATTTTGGCCCCTTCTCTGATTGAGTTCGACACCCCTACTCTAGAGAGACAGAGACAGACCTTTAATTTCAATGTCCTGTCCATCCCTGCCCTCCCTACTTCACACTCTCTTCTAAACTCAGAAATAGACACTGCAGGTGAGTTTGCAGAGGGCGAGTGAGTGGTCTGGAGAAAGCCAGACATGGGGAATTGGAAGAAAGCAAACTTTACTCTCTGTTTCTCTTTCATGCTAAAGTCTCACTCAACTGCATTTCAAACCAAATTCTGTAAACTAAATGTAGAGCACATTCTAGATTTAAGCTATGGAAAGACCTAGAGTCACTTAACCCTTATTAAGGGGAAAAGTAATCTTTTGCCACCTCCTGTAGAAAAAAATAATCCCCCCCCCCACCCCCACCCCAGCCAAAGGTTCGGCAAGCCTGAGCTGGGGCAATGAAGGACGGAGAAATGATAGACAAAGAGACCCATTTGGGTCTAGGTGGATCTTCTGTACCTGGCTGAGGCCACAGAATGATCCAGACTGCAAAGCTGAGGCTTTATTTATAGTCGGGGACAAACAAGGTAATTTACAATGTTGCTGTAAGTTTCACTTGTTTTGGCAGCACTTGCTGCCTCTCCCACAGCCCATTAGCTACCCAGGAACCATCTAGGGAGCAGTCACAAGATCAAGCTTAATGGACTGTGCCCTCCAAGCTGGGACTTGTTTGTGACTTTGCCAGCAGGTCAGTCCGAGGCTTAACCCTACAACCGCTTTCTACAACCCTCCATCCCTTTCAATCAATAATTCTAGGAAGTTAGTGCTAGTTGAAGAGAGAAATGCATTAGTTTTTCCCATTTGGCGCTGGGAGTTTTAATTATAGGCTTACTTTGCTTGGTTGGGGGAAACAATTAGTTTATGTCATACTTGTTGTCGAAAAGCTTGAAAACTATGCATAGAAGCTTGTTGGTAAGCCTCTGGGGAAAAATTCACTCAGAAGTGGTATGCAAGACTAGTGAGTTAAAAGCAATAATTATTTTTGGTGCTTCGAGTCTTATTTTACACACGAAAAAAATGAAGCTCAGGAAGGTTAAGGCTAAAAGTGGCAGAGCTGGATTCAAACCCAGGACTTCTGGCTTCCCTGCAACGGGAGCAGATGCCAGCACTTACACTCAGATCCCCAAAAGAGGCATTTTGTGAATTACTTCCCTCCTTTTCTCAACTGTTACATTGGAAGTGTTTTCTTCTGGAGAGAGGAGGAATTAATAATGTTAACTGCAATGTGAAGCATGCCTTGCTCCATTTCCAGATATGCTCGTGGGTAATTGCCTCAGCGCGTCAAATACAGAAAATGAGAAAACTTTACTTTAGAAAAATAATGAGAATGGAAATAGGATGGTTCGACTGCAATTCAGTGGGAGAGCTGAATACAAGATTTTCTGAGTAAGTGGCTGGTAGGACATTTTATGTATGTATTTATGTATGATTTTTTTGTAATAAACTCTAATTTCTAAATTAAATAACAATTGGAAACATTCTCAGTTATTTTTTAATTGGGGTGGCATTGGATAATAAAATTATTTAAGTTTCAGGTATACAATCCTACAATATAGCATCTGTATATTGTATTGTGTGTTTACCATCCCAAGATGAGTCTCCTTCCATCACCATTTATCCCCGTTTTACCCTTTTCTACCTCCCCCCAGCACCCTTCTTTCCTCTGGCAATCGCTATACTGTTGTTTGTGTTTGTGAGTCTTTTTTTTTTCTTTCTTTGCTGAATCCTTTCCTCCATTTTACTCAGTCCCCACCCCCTGACAGCTGTCAGTCTGTTCTCTGTATTTATGAGTCTGTCTCCACTTTGTTAGTTTATTTTATCATTCTTAGCTATTTTTATGTTTTGTTTCTTAAGTTAGGCTTTTATAGGTGATGGCTTTTTCATGGGTGATGTTTTATCAAATATGGTCATTATAAATTGAAAGCCAGGATACTATAATTTGGTTTGTAAGTCTTTGATTAAACTACTGGAAATGACATTATAGAAGAGAGTTAAAAGAAGTAGGTTATTTGGCCTCAAAAGGAGAAATTGAGGGACGTCACAATCTAGGTGTCTATAAGGTATCTAACAATATAACTAGAACAAATTCCCTTGCTTTGACTGTTGAGGTAATTTTTATGCACATAAAAACAAAAATTAAAAATCCATAATTTTTAGATTCAAGCTAAAAAACTGTCTGTAAATCTAGTTTACTCCTGAATACTAGTTTGGGTCATTAATAGCCCCCTCAGGGATTCTGAATGAGCTCTGAGTAATTAGTTGAACCATGAAGAATTAGACCTAGTTCAATGGAATGAAACTTTGAAGTCCCATTAAAGATAGTGTGCAATGTAGTGAAAATAAAGTAGACTGAATGTTGCGACCCTTAGATTCCAGCACCCATTCTGCCTCTTACTATGACCTTGGACAGATACATAGCCTTGCTAGAATACAATTGTCCAATCTCTGCATATCTCAGGTCATTTTTTGCTACCAAGTCCTAAATGTTTATTTGCTCCATCTCGACAAAAAATTATGGGGATGTTAATTTAATGTAACTGTATTATGGAGCATTATCTCTATGCAAAGCATAAACATAAAGCACGGAACTCCTCATTTCAAGGAACTTACAGCCTATTAGGATAATAAAAGGTACAAGCACATAAATAACCAGAACATACACAGATTGACTGCTTTCTATATCCTAGGTACAGTTTTACATGCTTTACATATATTAGCTAATCCAAATTACTACCCTTTGAGGTAGGATCTGTCATTCTCTCCATTTTACAGATGAGGAAACTGAGGAACAGAATGGTTAAGTAACTTGCTCAAGAAAGGCTTGTGCTTAAGCTCAGAGTCTGGCTCTAGAGTGTGACCTCTTTTTTTATATATATATTTTTTATTGATTTTTTACAGAGAGGAAGGGAGAGGGATAGAGAGAAACATCAATCAGTTGCCTCCTTCACACCTCCCACTGGAGATATGCACGCAACCAAGATACATGTCCTTGACCAGAATCGAACCTGAGACCTTTTAGTCCACAGGCTAATGCTCTATCACTTAGCCAAACCAGTTAGGGCTAGAGTCTGACCTCTTAACCATGATTCTATACTGCCTATGAGCAGATTGCAACAATACACACACACACACACACACACACACACAGTTACATTGCTAAGGAACTATAGGGAAGAAAATATTACTTCTTTCTGGGGAGTTACATAACTTTTTATTAATTAGTTGTTATGTGACCAGAACCTAAAAGGACTTAATAGAAGTAAAGAAGGGAAGAATGGCTCTGCAGGACATATCAAGGGTATCTATAATAATAAAAGCATAATATGCTAATTAGACCAGACAGCTGAACAACCTTCCAGACGTCATTCTGGATGTTCTTCCAAATGAAGCTGCGGCAGTGGTGCTGAGGCAGAGGCAGTTAGGGGTGATCAGGCAGGTATGCAGAGTGGGTAGGGGCAATCAGGGAGGCAGGCAAGTGGTTAGGGGCGATAAGGCAGAGTGGTTAGGAGTGATCAGGCAGGCAGGCAGGCAGGTGAGGGGTTAGGGAGCCAGCAGTCCTGGATTGCAAGAGGGTGCAGGCCGGGCTGAGGGGCCCCTGTCCATGCACAAATTTTGTGCACTGGCTTCTAGTATTAACTATAAAAAAGATATAAATAAGATGGTTTTAAAAAGTTTTTGCCAATATTTAATGGACTTCAGTTGGGAAAACTGGGTTTAGGACAAACTTTCTTGGTTGTGAGAGGAGAGGCTTGATGACTTCCCAAGCTGCAGCAGGTTTTTCCAGATGTGAGAGTCAGTTATGTTTCCCAAGGGCGATGGGGTACGGAGATGGAAGGGAAAGACTGAGATTTCTCAGTGAGACATTTGAATTGACCAATGCCATTGTAGTGATCAAAGCCTTTCTTATTTCTAGTGATATTAATAAAATCAATGATGCCATTGCTGATCAAATGGCCATTTTCATCCAGCGCATGACCACAAGCATCTGTGGGTTCCTGTTGGGATTTTATCAGGGTTGGAAACTGACCTTGGTCATCATTTCCGTCAGCCCTCTCATTGGCCTGGGAGCAGCCGTCATTGGTCTGGTAAGGGTGTCTTCTCTTTGCTTTCCGTGGGGAGATACTGGCTCTGAGGAACAGTTGAAAATATAACTTTGAGTCCCTTCTCTTGAGTATGGCTTGTCAACATCTTTATCACTATTTTGACTGGTTATTCCTCAGTATCAAATAACATTCTATAGGTTAGGGATTAATGATATTTTAATAACATGAATATTACTGTATTAATAACAATAACAACTACACTTATTGAGCATTTACTGTTTTGCCAGACACTACGAGGAGCTTTATATACATATCTTTAATCTTTACGACAATCTTATGAAGTGTTGATGCCATTTTAAATATAAGAAATGGAGACTCAGAGGGGTAAAGGGACTCACAGATAGTGGGTGACAGGATAGAATTCAAATTCAAGGGAGACTGACCCTAATGTTCTACACACTTTCTAATTGCCTATTGCTTCCCTGCTCTCCCAACCTCAGATGCTCCCTCAAAAAGGCCCAACAAATATACGCATATTGATAACAAGCATCTAAAAGAAATTTCTGCAATCACAACTGTGTTCTCTCTCCATTCCATCTGATCAGTTTCAGAGAGAGATTTCTTGGTCCATTTCCAGCAGTTTCCCAAGAGCAGACTCCATTGCCCAGGTGCACAGGCCAAAAAAAAGTGTAGGAGTAGGAATTTTGGGTTATCCCAGTTAAAACGCACTCCCAAGGATTGAGAAATGATTATAGCTCACTATCAGAGAAACCACATTAGATAGCAAATCCTGGGACCAGGCAACACTAATAATTTGCTGTAAATGAGAGTAGAATTAAAGTGGCATTATTGAGCAACATGTACCAATCTCCAGGTGATATTTTTCTAGAAAAATATTCTCTACAGTCCATTTGCTCTATTATTCAATAGAGCCAGGTCATACGGAGGGACAATAACAAAGAGCTCACTGCACTTAACTAGGTTCCAACCTGGCTTAACAAAGGTATGTGTAACTCATCAAAACTTCAGTCTTCTCATCTTAAAAACAAGGATACTACCTGCCAAAGTCACCATGATGACTCAAGACATAATCCCTGTTATGCACTTAGCACAGCACCTGACACAGAATTAATTACTAAAGAGATATTAGCTTTTATTTGTTCCCAATCCACCATGGCGTGCAAGCTTTCCATAAGTCTTTTCTACCAAATGCTCCCCAGCTGCACTCCAGAGGTGCCTCAGTTTCTGTGAGGGTCTGTGGGGATTCTGCAAACATTTGATTAAAAAATTTTCCTGCCATATACATGTAGTCTCTTTCTTTAAACCCATGATACATTAATGTTCACACTCTACCGGATCACATGACACATTTTAAGAGACCAACAATGTGGCCTGGTTTCCTTGGCTTTACACAGGCTGAGAGCACGGCTTCCCTTGTCTCAGTGCCCACTTTTCAACTTCAAGTAATTTGCAACGTGATGGTTTTGTGCTGGTTTCTTCTTGACTTCAAGTCTGTGCCTGTTTGTGGAAAATGATACAGGCATCTTCCCTGGGCTCAATTCAAAACAAGACAAGAAAAGGTGGAGGGACAATATATGACATGATAGAAGATATTATGTTGTTGTTGTTTTTTAAAAATATTTTATTGATATTTTACAGAGAGGAAGGGAGAGGGATAGAAAGCTAGAAACGTCGATAAGAGAGAAACATCGACCAGCTGCCTCCTGCACACCCCCTACTTGGGATGTGCCTGCAACCAATGTACATGCCCTTGACCAGAATTGAACCTGGGACCCTTCAGTCCGCAGACTGAATTATCTAGTTATCTCTTTTCCTCTATCCATTGAGCCAAACCAGTTTCGGCTTGATATTATGGGTTTTGTTTGCCTTTGACTTTTATACTTAAGATGAGAAACACGAGCAATTGTTAGATATTCCCCAATTTACATTTTTTTAAAGTTCCCGTATCAATTTCAGTGAGATTATTATTGTGTAATTACAGCAAAAATAGATAACATTCGTTACTACTTAATTATCTCATTACCATGCTGCCAGTACATATTTGTGAAACAAATTAGAAACGGATTGCGGTAAAAACTACAGTTACCCATAACACCCAAATTTAAATGTTAATGAAAGAAGCCTCACTTTTCTTACTGTTGCCTTTTCAATTCACAAAAGTTTTATAAAATGTGGACTTGTGAGATAAATATATTGCAATAAAATACTACTTTTACTTATTTTATATCCGAGAATTGTGCTTAAGAGTTTGTTTGATAGGAGTTTTGCTGCTAAAGGTTTAGAAAAACTTGGAAGAGAAATATTTAGTGTGGGTACTCGATGTTTTTTTAGGTTTGCTGAATAGGATGATTTTCCACAATATTTGCCTTTCCCCCTCTTTGTCTCTTCATCTGTGCCAGGAATTTTGTTGGTAGTTAATTCTAACTAGGATTCGATCTAAGTCCAATTTTAGAAAAAGTAACTTGTTTAATATTAAGTACAATGTCTTTTTATTTTTTTTTTTTTTGTGGAAAGCAAAGGCAGTTGGTAGATGAATAGTGTAGTATTTATCTGAAGCTTTCTCCTGTGGAATTACCTCTGCCTCATTATGCCTTTGCAGGCTCGGTACCTCTCTATATTCTAACAATGTGATGCCTGCACTGACCTTTGGTCTTTGCCTCTGATGTTTGTCTGTGAATTGTGCAATGGGCTTTGGCCAGTAGCAAAGAAATGTGACTTTTTTTTTTTTTAAGAAAAATAATCTTTTTTTATTTTATTGATTTTTTACAGAGAGGAAGAGAGAGAAATAGAAAGTTAGAATCATCGATCAGCTGCCTCTTGCACAACCCCTACTGGGGATGTGCCCGCAACCAAGGTACATGCCCTTGACCGGAATCGAATCTGGGATCTTTCAGTCCGCAGGCCAATGCCCTATCCACTGAGCCAAACCGGTTTCAGCAATGAAATGTGACTTTTTAAAAATAATTAATAATGGATGTATTTTGTTTTATTTTTTAAAACTTTATTGTTGAAATTATTACATATGTCCCTCTTTTCCCCCCATTGACCACTTCTAGCCCACCCCCTACCCCTTCACCGCCCTGATGTCTGTGTGCATGGATTATGCATATATGCATACAAGTTATTTGGTTGGAATCTTCCTACCCACCCATCCACCAACACAGCCATTTGCCCATCCACCCCCACCCTGTTCGACTAGAAAACATCTTGACTAGAATGATGAAACACTGTGGTCTCACAGAATGCCCTAGTTGGGACTTACTCTGCGAGAGGGGTTTTGAGGCTGAATGTTTGTTTGTTTTTTAGTTTGAGCAGTATCATTTATTTTTTATTTTACTTTTTATTGTTTAAAGTATTACATATGTCTCCTTTTCCCCTGGTTGACCCGCCCAGACACTCCCACCCCTGAGGGCAGCCCTCACTGCCCCAGTGTCTGTGTCCATTGACTATGCTAATGTGTATGCATACAAGTCCTTTGGTTGATCTCTAATGCCCTCTCCCCTGCCCCTTGTCTCTGGGTCTATTTTTGTTCATCAGTTTATGTTGATCTTTATATCCCACATATGTGTGAGATCATGTGATATTTATCTTTCTCCAACTTGCTTATTTCGCTTAGCATAATGCCCTTCAGTTCCATTCATGCTGTTGCAAATGGTAAAAGTTCTTTTTTTTTTTTTTACAGCAGTATAGTATTCCATTGTATAGATGTACCATAATTTTTAATCCATTCATCTGCTGATGGGCACTTAGGCTGTTTCCAAGTCTTAGCTATTATAAATTGTGTTGCTATGAGCATAGGAGTGCATATATCTTTTCTGATTGGTGTTTCTGGTTTCTTGGGATATGGTCCTAGAAGAGGGATTACTGGGTCAAATGAAAGTTTCATTTTTAACTTTCTGAAGAAACTCCATACTGTCTTCCACAGTGGCTGCGCCAATCTGCATTCCCACCACAGTGCACGAGAGTTCCTTTTTCTCCACATCCTCGCCAGCACTTGTTTGTTGATTTGTTGATGATAGCCATTCTGACAGGTGTGAGAGATACCGCATTGTTATTTTGATTTGCAACTCTGATTAGTGACTTTGAGCATGTTTTCTTATGTCTCTCGGCATTCTTTCTGTATGTCCTTTTACAAAAAGTGTCTATTTAGATCCTTTGCCAATTTTAAAAAATATATATTTTATTGATTTTTTTACAGAGAGGAAGGGAGAGGAATAGAGAGTTAGAAACATCGATGAGAGAGAAACATTGATGAGCTGCCTCCTTCACACACTCTACTGGGGATGTGCCCGCAACCAAGGTACATGCCCTTGACCGGAATTGAACCTGGGACCTTTTGGTCTGCAGGCTGATGTTCTATCCACTGAGCTAAACCGGTTTCGGCTGCCCATTTTTATTTTTTGTTTTTATTGGATTGTTTATCTTCCTTTTGTTAAGTTGTATAAGTTCTCTGTAAATTTTGGAGATTAAACCCTTATCTGAAATAGCATTAGCAAATATGGTCTTCCATGTAGTGGGCTTTCTTGTTGTTTTGTTGATGGTTGTGAGGCTGACTTTTAATGCAACAACCAAACACGCATCAGCTTTAGACCAAATCCTTCCTTGGTGAGAATGTAGTCTTGTGTTAAACTATGACACACCTGTTTACTCACCTAAATGAATCATTGAGTGACAGACTGACTTAATTACCTGGTCTTCAGATATTGTTTTCTTTTGGATTTTAGAGTGTGTCCACGTTTACTGACCATGAATTGAAGGCCTATGCGAAAGCAGGGTCAGTGGCTGATGAAGTCATTTCATCCATTCGAACAGTGGCTGCTTTTGGTGGTGAGAAAAAAGAGGTTGAAAGGTTGGTTAATTGAAATGTTTGCCACTTTCCTGAATTTCCTTGATCCATATACTACTCTGAAGCTTCCCCATTTTTTTGTGTAAAGCGGCATATTCACCTTTGTCTATGGTACTCAGAGGAGCTTTTGTTCAGAGGTAGCTTGGCAGAGTAATGAGAGCGATCAGAGCACTACAAGGACTCCTAAGCCCTTAGCTATGTGTTTTGGAAGATGTTAGAGTTGGTAATTTTTAAAAATCCACCTTGGGTTAGGTATTTACTTCTAATTCTGGTGGGGTGTATGCACACATACTATACAGCATACCCAGCTGTAACAGTTTATGCCTCAAGGAAAGGCCATGATCTAAAGTGCAATTTCACACAGTTTTATCGAACACTTTTTTATTCAATGTGTTTTATTCAGCTACTCAACTACACATTCTCAATTGCTAGCAAATTCACCAAATAAAAAAAGAGAATAGGATTTACAGTCTCTAATTATCTCTTTTCCTCTTTTATTTTTCATTTGCTTCTTTTGGTTTGTGGAATAAAGTTTTCTTATTTCTCATTAAAAAAATTCCAGTTGCATATTTCCTCCACTATGAAAGATATCTTCTTCTATTGTTCATAAAACAAGCAGCGTGAGTGTTTTAAAAATTAACAAACATAGGCTAGACATTCCGTTTTGTCATATGAAATGTTAAAATTATCCACAAATTTACTTTTTGAGATGTAGGAAGGCAGTTACAGAACGACTATGCTTTAAGACAATGCCCATTAATGGCTAAATGATAGAAATACTGAAGCTTAGTGTTTGGAATGAATTTCCACTTAGTTATCCATGTACCAAGGCTGTGAATCTTACCCGTCATGTTACAACATAGCATTCTTGGTCACAGGGAGGATAGGTGAGTACATGCAGATGAGTTGGTGCGAACACTATTTTCAAACCTGGAAGAAAACTGATAGAAAGCATGTCATGTGACTTAATGAAACAATGTAAGCACAAACAGTACTGGATCCGTCATGTTTAGACATGTGTGCTAAACAATTCTTTTCTCTTGGAGGCAAAGCTTACACCCCTGTACTCATCCCTGAAGTGATCAACTATGAGATTTTGTTTGGCATCATCCTTTAAACTCATTTCATTGCCAGGTTGAGACAAGCATTAAGTAACTACACAGAAGTTATTGTTTTCTTTTCCTAAAGCTGTTCTGTGTTTGGATGCCTTTATCATCATTGGCTTTCCTGAATTAAACATTCCAACTTGAGCTGCTACTGATGCTGATGAAATAGACCCAAATGTTTTCTCTTCACAGGTATGAGAAAAACCTTGTGTTTGCCCAGCGTTGGGGGATTAGAAAAGGGATCGTGATGGGATTTTTTACTGGATTCATGTGGTGTCTCATCTTCCTGTGCTATGCACTGGCCTTCTGGTACGGCTCCAAGCTTGTCCTGGACGATGGAGAATATACAGCTGGAGCCCTTGTCCAGGTACTTGGTTCTTGATGACCCACGTGTAGCATTTCCTGTTGGTATCTCAGAAAAGCCCACCGTTAAGGCATTTTGTTTATTCCTTTACTGTCTGAGGGAGGACAGTGTCAATGATTCGGCAGAGTCCACCTGCAGAAATGAGCAACACGAATGCATTTTATAGTAAAGGGATGCTGAGCATTCGAATTGATGAGACCACCAACTTAATGATTTTCAATTAAATAAAGATTTTATAGCTGCAAAACAACCATTTTTCTGACTGAATCCAAAAGATAATATGGCATGAAAATTGAAAGTCAGTGATTTCTCAGCTAAAAATTAACAGCTCATATAACTGAGATTAATAGTAGCACAATATATGTGCTAATGAACATATTTGTGGAAACATAATTAAAATGCCAAGCCAATAAAATGCTCAGCTGAGCAGTAATGCAAACGTATTTTATTGGTCACATGCTTATATCTGCTCATTCTGCAGAAGTACAAGCATTGAGAAAAGACATCTTTCCTTTCATTCTATGCCTGCAAGGAGAGGACAGAAAAAAATAACTTGGTAAATCAAAAATTAAATTGGGAAGAGTGAGTTTAAAAAAAAACCCTTGGAGCTCTCTTTACAATAATCCAATTTTATGGTTCTGTTAAAAGAAAAACTGAGGCATATTAAAACTTTTAGGAGTTTATTTCAGCAAAAATAATACTAATTAAGTGGTGTCAACATAGAAGGTGTTAGAAGGGCTTCACTGATAGAAGTGAGGGCAAAGACTTTTATAGAGAAGAGGTTGAAGCAACACAAAAACATTATTTGATTGGTTATAGCAGTGGTTGGCTAATTGTGGCTCAAGAGCCACATGCGGCTCTTTGGCCCCTTGAGTGTGGCTTTTCCACAAAATATCTGTACTATTGAAACTTCGTGGCCCATGCACAGAGTTGGTTTTCGGCTCTCAAAAGAAATTTCAATCATTGTACTGTTGATATTTGGCTCTGTTTACTGAGTTTGTCGACCACTGGGTTATAGCATACCCAGTTGTCTTATTTGAAAAAACCTAATTGGCTCTTTGTGATTGGTTGCTTGTGTTTTGATTTCTTAACCTTGAGGCAATTTCAGGCTTAGGTTTTGGTTTGCTTATGTAAGCTACTAAGACATAAAACCACTTCAGTCTAATGACCCCCTTGTTTAATTAACAATTCTCACCTATGAGTTTCCAGTTTGTGGACTATTCTTACCTTCTGTAGATAATTAATTCTCCCAGTTAATATTTAAGTACTTACCGTGTTTCCCCGAAAATAAGACATCCTCCAAAAATAAGACCTAGCGCAACTTTGGGAGAAAAAATTAATATAAGACACTGTCTTATTTTCGGGGACACAGGGTACTTTATGCAGACATGCATACTACATCTAACATTTTAGTCATCAATACTTCTTTGTTTTGTAAAATTTTTAAACAATTTTATTTTAAAATTATAATATACATTCACAATTATTTTATATTAGTTTCAAGTGTACAGTATAATGATCAGACAGTCAAAAACTTTACAGAGTGCTCCCCTGATATTTCCATTGCCCATCTGGTACCATACATATTCATGAAAATATTATTGACTATATTCTCTATATTAGTCATCAATTATAAACCTGCCTTTTACTTCTAACCTCTTCCTGCAAGCCTCCTCTTACACCTTAAGAAATTTTCTTTGGGAAAGTGGGAGACATCCTTTAACAGAATAAGCATTGATTGTGGTTGTTTTCTTTTTTTCTCTCTTTCTTCTTTCACCCCTCCTCTCTTTCCACCCCCTCTTCTCTTTCACTCATGCTTGAGCAGCAAACTGTGAAGACTGAGTATGCAAGAGTTGAGCTTTTTAATCCACTAAACTAATTAACAATTAGGTTAATTTAATGCATTTTGTGATGCACAAAATCATTATTGGCTGCATAGTAATTGGGCTTAAATGGTAAGGAGTTCACATAAATGATTGTAATTAGTATCAATTGTACCCAGACAAAAATCATACTCTGTGATCTATGAGGGGAAAAATGTAAGGAAACCGAATGGTGAAGAAGGCTGCTCTTTTATGCCCCTCTTAAGTTTCAGGATTCAACAATAAAAGATAATAGCAGTAATAGAAAATAACATTATTAATTATATACATGGAGTGAAGCAGTGAGTGAGGTATTTAATAAAATTATCATAGGTAATATAATTTTATTCTGTAATTGATGTTATTATACTACCACTTAAAAATGAAATAAAGCCATGAGGTTGAGAAATATGTGCCCACAAGAACAGACATATAGATCAATGGAATAGAATCGAGAACCCAGATATCAACCCAAATCAATATGCTCAATTAATATTTGACAAAGGAGGCACGAATATACAATGGAATCAAGACAGTTTCTTCAATAAATGGTGTTGGGAAAATTGGGTAGACACATGCAAAAGAATGAAACTAGATCACCAACTTACACCATACACAAAAATAAACTCAAAATGGATACAGGACTTAAACATCAGACGGGAAACCATAAAAATACTAGAAGCATCCTCAGGCAGCAAAATCTCAGACGTATGCCAAAAGAACTTCTTCACTGATACTGCCCTTAGGGCAATGGAAGCTAAAGAGAAAATAAACAAATGGGACTACATCAAAATAAAAAGCTTTTTTACAGCAAAAGAAACCATCAACAAAACAACAAGAAAGCCCACGGTGTGGGAGAACATATTTGCAAATAACACCACTGATAAAGGTTTAATCTCTAACATCTACAGACAGCTGATACAACTAAATAAAAGGAAGATGAATGATCCAATTAAGAAATGGGCAAGGGACCTAAATAGAATATTTACAAAAGAAGACAGAAGGAAGGCCAAAAGGCACATGAAAACATGCTCAAAGTCACTAATTATATGAGAGATGCAAATCAAAACAACAATGCGGTACCATCTCACACCTGTCAGAATGGCCAACATCAACAAATCGACAAACGACAAGTGTTGGCGAGGTTGCGGAGAAAAAGGAACCCTCGTGCACTGCTGGTGGGAATGCAGACTGGTGCAACCACTGTGGAGAACAGTGTGGAGTTTCCTCAAAAAACTGAAAATGGAACTCCCATTTGACCCAGTAATCCCACTCCTAGGAATATATCCCAAGAAACTAGAAACACCAATCAGAAAGGATATATGCACCCCTATGTTCATAGCAGCACAATCTACAATAGCCAGAATTTGGAAACAGCCTAGGTGCCCGTCAGCAGATGATTGGATCCAAAAACTATGGTACATCTACACAATGGAATACTATGCTGCCATAAAGAAGAAGGAATTCTCATCATTTGCAGCAACCTGGATGGAATTGGAGAACATCATGCTGAGTGAAATAAGCCAATCAATGAAAGAGAAACACCACATGACCTCACTCATTTGTGGATAATAAAGAGCATTATAAACTGATGAACCAAAAGATAGATATAGAGACAGTAAAGCAACAAGCAGATTGTCAAATTACAGCGGGGAGGGGAGGAGGATCTGGGGGAGATAATAGATCAACCGAAGGACTTGTATACATGCATATAAGTACAACCAATGGACATAAAACTATGGGGAGGGAGGGGATATGGGGGAGGGAGGGAGGGGGGCAAAAAAAAATCATTAAAATATGTAAAAAAAAAAAAATTAATTAATTAAAAAAAAAAGAAAAGAAAAAAAAAGAAATATGTGCCCAGTGTATAAAATCGGATTTGAACTCAAGTGTTGAGGGCCTGACCCATTAACCACTGTGTTCCTGACTCTGGATCTGTCTTCCAAGTAGTCACAGATCCCCTTTTCTCCAGCACATCACATCCACGGGTAGATTGCTTCCCAGTGGTCCTTCCAGCCCTCCCTTTCCCCACACTAGTCCGTAGGGCTAAAGAGTGATATTTGGTGTGAGCAATGAGGGTCTATTGGGATGTGAGCCAGCTTTGTGAGGTATTAGTTGCATGTCCCTGACTTATCTCACTCACTGCTCTCCTAAGAACCCTGAGAGAGACCTTTATTTGAGGTAATGCTTGCAAAGCCTAGCTGAGTGAGGATTTAAGCACAAACCTCAGTTTATTACCCTAGTTAGTCAGTCTAGAATCTAGACCCCCAAGGGTTAGCAAACTATGGCCTGCAAGCTAACGCCAGCCTGCTGCCTGTTTTTGTAAGTGAAGGTCTATTGGAACACAGCTGCAGCCATTTGCTTAATGTTGTCTGTGGCTGTTTTTGTTCTAGATAGCAGAGTTGGGCGATCACTGAGCCCATGTGGCCTGAAATGCCTAAACTATTACCATCTGGCACTTTGGAGACAATGTTTATTGACCCCTGAGTTGTACACATGGAAGGGTTTCTTTGCTCGGATAGGAAGACTTTGGAATATGGTGGTCTTAACCCAAACTACACCACAATTACTATTCTGTTTGTTCATCTTATCACTTCCTAACTGTGAAATCATGCTTCTTTCATCATCATCATTATTATTTATATGGCCGAACTGGATTAACCACCCTTAGTGCATTATCTCATTTAATGCTCATAACAATTGCATGAGGTACATGCTCTCATTATCCCTGTGCTATAGATTAAAAAAAAAAAAAAATTGGGGCTTGAAAGATTAAGTAACCTGCCCCTGGGAGGACTTACCTGCCATAATTAAGGAAAAGGAACAAGAAGGACAGATGAAGAGATAATGTTTGCCCCCTACATAGAGTGGGGAATTCAGGGAGAAGTCAAGAGGGGGCTGACCCACATAATCCTGAGTGGAAAGGGGAGGTGACTGAAGAGGGAGGGAGATGACTGGGAGCCTTTGAGAAGCCCTGTGGTCCAGCCATAAGGAAGAGAGTAGTAGAAAGGAACTCTGGGCAGAATCCAGCTCATGGAAATCACCACAGACCAGGATCATCTGAAAATAATTATCCGAAAAAGAATACATTCATGCAAAAGTCAATATTTAGCTCAACAAATAACAGTAGTCCCTTATAGATGGCGACCATTGAAGTGTCCTCCATTTGAGTTAAGTGATGGTCAATCAGTCTTTGGTTGGAAGGGTGGAGAGAAGGAGTCTTGTGCTCCTCCTGGAGGCCAGTGTGAGGAATTTTCTCTTCCTTTATAAACTGATAAAAACAGAGTGCTATTGGGTTATGATCAGGTTGCCTTTACCTAACCTAACGAGATTGTTGAGTTGGTGAATCAATGACAGCGTCCTCAGCTCTGCACAAGAACCTGGCCACTCCACCTGCATGCAACCTCCAGCAGATGAACCTGGGAGGTAGACAGAAAGTCAGTCATGAATGGTCTTAGATACTGCTCTGTCACTTAATATACAATATATTGTGACATATATGAAGTTAGGTGACCTCCACACACCTCTGTTAAGGATTAAATGAAGTAATACAGGATAAAGCACATAGAAACATAACCTTATTATTAATTATTATTATCATCATCATCATCATTATTATTGCTAGTAGTAGTATAATATCAGTAGTAGTAGTAATAGTAGTTATTCTAATAGCTAGTATACTAGTAGGAGTAATATAGCAGTAATAGTAGTGGCAGATCTATATTGTGTGTACCAAGCTCTAGCAGGGGTCCTCAAACTTTTTAAAGTGGGGGCCAGATCACGGTCCCTCAGAGAGCTGGAGGGCCGGACTATATGAACTACTAATTCCTACTGTAACACCTCGGCTGCGTTCACTGCCCAAAAAACCTGGCGGGCCGGATCAGACTCCTCTGCGGGCCGCATGTGGCCCATGGGCCATAGTTTGAAGACGCCTGCAAGCTAATCAAATTGTCTTTATTATTTCAGGGACACTTTGACCAGGAAAACCATAATAAGGCTATTTATATAATGAATCAAATTATCATATCACTATTCTAATCCACTTGGTTTTGCTTAAAATCTCTGAATTCACCTGAATAGCCCCAAAACACATTCACAACATGTTTATCTCTTCTCACTTCAGATTTTCCTGAGTGTCATAGTGGGAGCTTTAAATCTTGGCAATGCATCTTCTTGTTTGGAAGCCTTTGCAACTGGACGTGCAGCAGCCACCAGCATTTTTGAGACAATAGACCAGGTATGTAAAGGCCAAAGGTAAAGGCTATTCATAGGTTGGGGGTGGGAAGAAGAATGAACTCCTAAGGAATTTACCCTCAGTGTTGAAAACTATCAGAAACTATCGAATGCCCTTAATTCAGCAGTATTCAATAAGTGCTGTCATGAGTCTCACCCTGTTCTGAATTGGGAGTGCAAGAGTGAAACAGAACCGATAAGGCACCTGCTTTCATATCATAACCAGGAAACAGGCACTAAAAAAGTAAACACATTTATCGGGCTGGCATAGCTCAGGTGGTTGAGCATGGACCTATGAACCAGGAGAATACTATTTAATTCTCAGTCAGGGCACATTCCTGGATTGCAGGCTTGATCCCCAGTGTAGGGTATGCAGGAGGCAGCTGATCAATGATTCTCTCTCATAATTTATGTTCTTATCTTTCTACATCTCCCTTCCTCTATGAAATGAATAAAAATATTTTTTAAAAGAAATAAGCACATTCAAAGAGAAAATAATATTAAATAGTACACTGAAGGAATTTAAATAGTCAATGTGATAGTGATTGGGGGTGGGAAGGAGTGTTTAAATTAAGTGATGATGATGGCATTATCTCTGAGGAGGTGGTATATGAGCTGAGAACCAAAGGAAAGAGAGTTGGCCCTGCCAAGGGAGACTGAGGGTGGTGAATGGGAGGTAAGAGCAGGGAGGGTATTCATGGAAGAAAGGCCTTCGGTTTGGAAAATAGCTTGGTGAATGCAAGAAGCTAAAACAAGGCCAGTGTGGTGAAACTGAGTGAGCAGGAGATAGAGGCTAGCGGGATGGGAAGGGGCCAGATCATGCAGGACTTTAAGGCCAAGTTCACATGATTGGATTATTTTGTAAATGTGACGGAAAGTCTGTACCAGCTTGAAAAGGACAATGATAGCGTGGCTAGGATTTTTCTGGTTAATCTATTAAATCATCGGAGGTCAAGGTAGAAAGTCAAAATCTAAGAACAGAAGGGGAAAATGCCAACATGTTCTCTCCCTCTGAAAAAAATGCCCTAGGGTAAGTCAGAAGCCCAGTAAATCCAAGAATGCTTTGTGAGTTCCCTAAATCATAGCTACTTATGAGGCATATAACCTTCCTGAGAAAATTTCTCATCACTTCATCTGTTTTATACTTTGGGATTTTATGTATTCGGATATGAAGAGATTATTGAAAACCATATAGGCCTGTTGAATGATCCAAATTCTCATGCTTGAGTTGTTATATGCTCAAGTAAGATGATGAGTCTAAAAAGCCCCTTAAACTGTGTCAAAAATTAAGGCATTTGAAAATTATTTTATTATCTTTATTAGAGACCCAAGAAGAAAGTAGGTTACATTATAGCCCCAAATAGAGATATGGTGATGAATTTCTCTCTCTCGTGTGAAAGAGTAAAAAGCTGACCTGGGGATGTCCTGGTAGCAGGAGAGGACCTTGTCTGAGGAACTGGAATGGTTAAGTTCTAGATTAGGCAAACTACTAACAACAGCAGAGGTGAAATTCAGCAAATCAACTGAAAGTTGATAGTGTTTGAAGACATCCCCTGAGGACATTCAGTTACTCAAATCTTAGACCCCAGAGTGGTTGGCCAGTTGTGTGGCCTTAGGCAAGATACTTACCTCTGAGATTTCTCAACATCCTCAAGTGAAAAAATGTCTTGTTAGGTTATAGTGACAATTACATAAATGAAAAAAAGCACACTAAAACAGTGCATTGTCTTCCATGGTATCTTAATAATATAATTATACATAGTAATCTTAATATATAGATCAGTGCTATATATTATATATGTTGTTAAATAATAATGTCATAGTAACATGTCAATAAATAATAAATTAACTAATGTGATATATAATTTTTACTAATTGACATAATATTTTATATAAATTAAAATTAAGTATATATTAGTTACCATATTTTCCGGCGTATAAGACGACGTTTGAAACGAAAAAAAGTCAACCGAAAATTGGCCAGAGTCAGAGAGGCGGTCTATTAAAAAAAGAACTGGTGTTGCCTCATAAGTGGGGGGTAGTCTTATACAGCGAATATAGGCCTAAACCTATGTTTTAACTGTAAAAATTAGGGGGTCGTCTTATAGGCCGGAAAATATGGTATTTATATTATATATTATTATATTATATTATACTAATGGCCCAGTGCATGAAATTTGTGCATGGGGGGCGGTATTCCTCAGCCCAGCCTGAACCCTCTCTAATCTGGGACCCCTCAAAGGATGTCCTACTGCTGGTTTACAGGGATTAGGTCTAAACCAGCAGTCAGACATCCCTCTCACAATCTAGGATTGCTGGCTCCTAACCGTTCACCTGCCTGCCTGCCTGATTGTTCCTAACCACTCTACCTGCTGGCCTGCTCGTCCCCAAATGCTCCCCTCCACCAGCCTGATCACCCCCAATTTCCCCTCATGATAGTGTGCTCGCCCCCACCTCCCCTCCCCACTGGCCTGTTCACTCCCAACTGCCCCCTGCTGGCCTGCTAACTCCAAACTGTGCCCCCCCCCCCCTCCACTGTCCTGATCACCTCCAACTGACCCCCCAGGATGGCCTGCTCACCCCCAATTGGCCCCCCTGCTGGTCTGCTTACCCCCAACAGCCCTGCCTCCCACCAGCCTGATCACCCACAACTGCCATCCCATCCTGGCCTGATCATCCACAACTGCCATCCCATCCTGGCCTCTAACCACCTAAAACCTTGGCCCTGCCACCATGGCTTTGTCCAGAAGGATGTCCAAAAGGTCTCCCAGTCTAATTAGCATATTACCCTTTTATTAGTATAGAGGCCTTGTGCATGAGTGGGGGCCAGCTGATTTGCCCTGCAGGGTGTCCCGGATCAGGGTGGGGGTCCCATTGGGGTGCCTGGCCAGCCTGGGTGAGGGCCTGATGACTGTTTGAAGTCTGGCCAAGCCCCCCAGTGTGGACCCTCAACCCATGGGGGTGTGACTAGCCTGGGTGAGGGACTGATGGCTGTTTGCAAGCTGGCCATGGCCCCAGGTGACCCAAGCTCCCAGCTTCTCCTTTTTTTTTTTTTCCCCCTTCAGAGCCTCCTTGAGCGGAGGCCTATGCCAGCTGGAAGCAGGTATCTGTGATTTATTTATCTTCTATAATTGAAACTTTGTAGCCTTGAGCAGAGGCAAGGGCCGGCCAGGGCAGGCAGGAGGCTTGGCTTCCTCCATTGCCAGGGGCAACCCAAGCCTCCTGCTTGCCCCAGCTCTGTGGTCACCACCATCTTGGTTAGGTTAATTTGCATACTCACTCTTGATTAGCTGGTGGGCATGGCTTGTGGGTGTAGCAGAGGTACCATCAATTTGCATGTTTCTCTTTTATTAGATACAATGTTAACATATATAATATAATACAGATAAAATGTATATGTACTTTAATATATAACATAATACATATAACATATTATATACTAATATACTATATAGTAACATAGCATAATACCATTAATATATCATAATATAATATCTCCATAAATGCTAATTATTATTATTAATAATTATTTAATGTGGAAGAAACTTATATTTAGCATATCTCTGCAATGTCTTATCTGGTTGTTATTCTCTTTTATGAGTAGATTCAAACTGGGATGGACAGTAAATGCATCTAATACATGTTGCTATATCCCTTTTACATTCTCTTCCAGAAACCTGTTATTGACTGCATGTCAGAAGATGGTTACAAGTTGGATCGAATTAAAGGTGAAATTCAATTCCACAATGTGACCTTCCACTATCCTTCCAGACCAGAGGTGAAGGTAAGTGCCAATCTTTTCTTCAGGAACAACAGCATTTTATTCCTGATGATTCATTTCCAGAGCCATGAATTGTTTGTTTTTCTGAAGCATGATTCAGTTTCCAGGAACATGGACTAGAAGCATGTTTCTCTGGAAGTGTCCTTGGGTGTCGTATTATTTCTCAGGCAGCAAACCACATTCCGTCATGATGATAATACTGTGCAAACCCCTTTGGTAAGAACACAGTCTGGCAGCACTTTCTGGTTAAGTCACCTTTATGACTCTGTTGAAATGAGTGTGTCAGGCCCTGTCATTGTAACCATGAGTTCAATAAAATGCAAGGCAATCAGAACAATTAAGAAGTACAACTATGTCAAACCACCTCCTTAGAGAATGCAGAAGGTAGAACACTCAGAGGGGCCAGGATATGAAGTGGCAAAGGAAAGCTGCTGTCTTTGCAGTTTTTTACTTCCTATCTGTAATTTCATCAGGGCCAATATATCATCAGTCTTTGGTGCAAAGGTAAACTTGTAATATGCTCATAGTCACCCATAGTGAAGAAAATTTGGTTTTCCTGTATATATTGAACAAATATCTTTAAAGGCAATTTACTCTACAGAAAATTAGGATCTACTTTCCCTGAGTGAATTGGCTTTGAAATGAGACTTATTCCTAATTTTAACAGAGTACCTCTAGCCACCTTTTCTTAATAATATTTCTGTTATCCCCATAGTACTAAATCCCATGAAATTAATTTTGATAATGCATATCTATAACGCAGATAAACACAAACATATATGCATATATACTTTCATTATACTATATGATAAAGAGGTAATATGCAAATTGACCCTCACACCTGCACAACACAAAGATGGCTACCCTCACATCATCACAAGTGGCCACCCCCACATCATCACAAGATGGCCACCACAATATGGCTGCCCCCACATTGTCACAAGATGGCCAGCAGGGGAGGACAGTTGGGGGTGACCAGGCCTGCAGGGGAGGGCAGTTGGGGACAATCAGGCTGGCAGGAGAGCGGGTAGGGGGTGATCAGGCTGGCAGGCAGAAGTGGTTAGGGGCAATCAGGCAGGCAGGCAGGTGAGTGGTTAGGAAGCAGTAGTCCCGGATTGTGAGAGGGAGGTCCGACTGCCAGTTTAGGCCTCAATCCAAAGCATTGGGTCTAAACCGGCAGTTGGACATTTGCTGAGGAGTCCCAGATTGGAGAAAGTGCAGGCTGGGCTGAGGGACCCTCCCCCCTAATACACAAATTTTGTGCACTGGGCCTATGGTATGTATATATAAAGTATAAGTACATTTATTATGATTATTTTATGAAGTAAATTTTTTATTAATGTTATATATTAATATATATGTAAACATTAACTGTCATAACAAATATAAAAGTACTTGTGAAATATAAACCACAAGGTGATGTTCATTCAATAATGATCTTTGAAGGGATGGCTCAATACTTTCTTTTTAATATTTGTTCAGAACCAGCTCATAATAGCTGTTCAACAAATATCAGTTGAAGTGAAACACAGTTATTTCATTTGTTTTATCTGCTATTTCCAATGCCAAGAGTTTGTTTTAAGAAAATATTCTTATTTAGACCTGTAAATATTCTTCATTCATATCACAAGGGTGTATTTAGCCTTGCTGGGTGCCATGATGTACTTAGACTATAGTGATAATAAAAATTAAAAAAAAAAAAGGAGCATACTCACTCCAGTAAGTAAAAATTTGTAAGCCTGACCCTATAGTGTGGAATGAAAGATTCTTGAGATTTTGAAACATAGAGAACCCCAAGCCACCTCTACATAATAAGTACAAAAATCATCACTGAATTAGTGAAAATATCCAACACATGGTTATCACTTAGCTTTCTTTTTCTTTCCTTTCTAGGCTTACCAGCATTCAACCTCTACTTTGAACAGAGTTTTGTATCTAGCAAATATACCACAAACATCTGCTAGACACAGTTATTCATTCAAATAATATGCTCACACACAATACAAGTGTATGACAGCTTAAACTTTGAAAACTGGCTTATTAATATGTGATTAGTAAATTTGTATTATTTTTCTAACTTAATGGCTTTCTTCCCTTAAATAATTGGAACCGTCCTCTTGAGGTATCCTAGTATGTCAGGATGTTTTAAATGAGATTCAGGAACATTTAAAAGTGGACGAGGTTGATTTACTTCAACTTCAAGTGTTACCACACATCATTTTATTTGTTGGCCATGGCTTTCAGCTAAATAATAAGTAATGTGTTAAATGTTAAAACTTCATCCTAGGCACTGTTTACTAATTTGCTGCTTACTCATGGATGCAGGATATAATTAAACAAACACAATATCCTCACAAAACATCCTAACTTGCAGCCTAGCTGTTAACATTGTTCTTTTCTTTTCTCTGCAGATTTTAAATAACCTCAGCATGGTCATCAAACCAGGGGAAATGACGGCTGTGGTAGGATCCAGCGGAGCTGGGAAGAGCACAGCCCTGCAGCTCATCCAACGATTCTACGACCCCAGTAAAGGCATGGTGTGTGTCTTCCAGAAACTTCTCACTACAGGGGATTGGAAAGTGCAAGTGGTGATAACTTAATCAAGCCCAAAGGCTTAGCATACACCGAGACCATCCTGACACATGCGGGGTTGACTTACTGATTTTGACGGCTGTGGCTGCACTAATTCCCTATATGACCATGTTCACTGAACAACCAGTCCATTCTCTGATGGACACATTCCAAGTGGCTGCCTCCTCAGTGAACTGAAGTTTTCATTTATTTCTTTGTATAATAACAAAATTATTATAGTCCTCCTGAAGCTCTTCAAATGCTAAGTATAGGAAAGCTTCCATGGCCGGAATTAACAGAGAACAGTTATTTATTACAGCTTTGAGAAGTTAGGTTTTTAAAAAATTATATAAATTCACAAACTACTTAGTCTTTTTTTCCTTGTGTTTATTTGATTATAAACATAAGCTGAAAGTAAGAAAATAAATATGATAGTTTCCATTTATTTATAACATATTATAATTAAAATACTTTATAAAAATGATTACTTGTTTTCACAATGATTATCAAAGGTAAATATCATTTTACAAATGAGGAAGAAGAGTCAGAGAGATTGAGCATTGCATCCACCCTATTTGAACCCAGATCTGTTAAGTACTGAGGGCTTTTCACTCTCTAAATTAGGGGTGTCGAACTCAATCAGAGAAGGGGCCAAAATCTAAAATCCAGCCTAAATCGCGGGCCGAATGGTTTACTGAACAGTCATAAACTGTCATTGTGATGGAAACGCAGCGGAGTGCAGTGATGACAGCGCGGTGCGGGCCACATTGCAAGGCCTGGTGGGACGGATTTGGCCCGCGGGCCTTGTGTTTGACACATGTGCTCTAAATCATTCTAATCAAGATAGAATCGTTTGAGTACATATTAAATACTCGAATGCAATGAATTCTCTATAGTGCATGTACTATTACACTAACATGGCAAACAAACAAGAATTTTCCTATGTCACACACATATCATTTTTGATTGTATATTCTTGGCCTCATACCAGCATAACTATACTCTAAATATATTAAAATCATGGTTCTTTGATGTAATATTTTAATATTTTTGCTCATAGTAATTTTAATTTTCTCATCCCACTCACAGTTTCAATTCCTGTTGAATTAGCAAAGTATTATTTTAGTGAATCTAGCTAGAAAGTAAGCTTTATTATAAAGCATATATACAAGATAGGAATCATTGCTTATTTTCATTGCATCTTTTGAAGTCCATTTTAGGTCACAAGTCAAAACATAGTGCCTGGCCACTGTGGCTCAGTCGTTGGCCATTGACCTATGAACCAGGAGGTCACAGTTCAAGTCCCAGTAGAGCACATGCTGAGGTTGGGGGCTTGGTCCTCAGAGGGGGGCGTATAGGAGTTAGCTGACCAATGATTTTCTCGTCATTGATGTTTCTATCTCTCTCTTCCTCTCAGGAATCAATAAAAATATATATTTAAAAAAACATAGTAATATATTCACAGTATGTTATTCAAAGAATAACTGACTGTACTCTTTTTTGTTGTTGTTAATCCTCACCTAAGGATATTTTTCCATTGATTTTTTTTTTTAATAGTTAGTAGAAGGGAGAGAGACACACACGTGACTGTACTCTTTATTGAGGAAGTAAAACCCTTTGCCAATCACGTTAAATTAGGTGATCTTAATATCATTTATGTTTCTACAATGAATTGTCCTATAACTATATTTGATTTCAATTATACTAGTATATTGTCATTCTTATATAAGCAACCATATTATAAGAGGAATTGTTTTCGTTATCATCTTGTTGGTCTCTACTTTTTCTCCCCATGGGTTAAGTACAACATAGTATTACGATCCAGACCCTGAAGAGTTCTGAGAGATGTGATGTTGTGCTCATGTTCTCTAGGTGACTTTGGATGGCCATGACATTCGCTCTCTTAACATTCAGTGGCTTAGAGCTCAGATTGGAATTGTGGAGCAAGAGCCTGTTCTGTTCTCCACCACCATTGCAGAGAATATTCGCTATGGCAGAGAGGGGGCGACGATGGAAGATATAGTCCGAGCTGCCAAGGAAGCCAATGCCTATAACTTCATCATGGGGCTGCCACAGGTACCCTTCACCTCTCATTCCAGAGGGAAACCCATGAATGGTAGAAGGGGAAAAAAGTTCTAGGAGATGTATTTATTTTCATTTGAATTCTAAATCGTTAAATTCTTAATGTCATGTTTTTGGGTCAGGCCGGAAAAGTATCGAGTTTTCCCCTTTGTTTGAAACCATGTTGTGAATCTACTAAAAGTCTACTAAGCTGGGGAACGTCCGTTTAAAAGCTCCCTTTGACATAGATACAATTTCTTTATTCTATCTACTAAGCATTTGTCAAAGAGATGATAAATTTGTTATGTGGCAATAACTTGCACAATGCTCTTTTGATTCTCCCCTTGTTGTTTAATTTTCTTGAACTTAGGTGGCTAACATGTGTCCTCAGCACTGTATCTAACACATTCCAAAATTCTTCCTTTTTCTTCATTTTCAGCAACAATGACAACAAAAACAATTCCATATTATTATATGAATTTTGCTTGCTGCTAATGGTTAGCTAAGTCAAAGAAGCAGTGTTATTCACTAAAACATATGCTAGTATAGTGCTTACTACAAATCAGGCATTCTTCTAAGCACTTGAACCTATTCAGTTAGCCCTCTGAAAGGTCAAATAACTTGCTTAAGGCAGGAGAGACAAGGTTCATACTCAGGTGGTCTGGCTTCAGAATCAGTACTCTAGAGCAATATCTAGCCCACCTTCTAAATTTTCTGTGTGAATAGGATTACAACCATGTAGTGGTAATATAACATAATGATTAAAGAGCATAAAACTCTGGCATCAGACTTCCTCCATATAGGCCCCAGCTTCTCTCCACTTGCCAGCTCTATAAACTTGGAGAAGTTACCTTACCCCTTGCTCCTCAGCATTGCCTTATCAATTGAGGGGAATAGTAGTACCTATTGGGACATCTGTGAGGACTAAATGAGATGATATGTATAAAGCTCAGCTCTGTGCTTTCTTTATACATGGCGGATGCTCAACTCACATTGGTTAATATTATGCAAGATAAGCCGAAACCGGTTTGGCTCAGTGGATAGAGCGTCGGCCTGCGGACTCAAGGGTCCCGGGTTCAATTCTGGTCAAGGGCATGTACCTTGGTTGTGAGCATATCAAATGGCCACCCCCACATTCTGTGTGCAAGAGGTGTGCAAGAGGCAGCTGATCGATGACTCTCTCTCATCGATGTTTCTAACTCTCTATCTCTCTCCCTTCCTCTCTGTAAAAAAATCAATAAAATATATTTTTAAAAAATATGCAAGATAAGAGTCTGACCTGTTGTGAGGTTCCAATATAATGCTAGACATGCAAGATACTTGGCAACTGTTTGCTGTCGATGGTGATGATTATAAAGGTGGTTTGGTATTTCACAATAGAAAGACAGCTTTAGCATTGTGTTTTTCTGTGTTGTGTAGCTAGAGGAAAGAGATGAGACCTGATAAGTGCTCTCATCCACTAAAATGGATTTTTAGGATCTCAACTTTTAGCTTGGTGGAAACATTTTATTTGAAGTCAAGCTAAACAGAAACATTTATACAGCCAGTGAACCTGGGAATAAGAGATGACATCGATTTCTTTATCTTAAACACAAATATTGATGAGACCTTTTTCAGGAAAGGGTATTTCAGCAAAAGTTAAACCTCTGAAAATTCATGCTTGAGGAGGAAGCTAGAAAGGTCTCATGATGGATTAGTCAGGAGTCTTCAAATTCTTCCTATTCATTTCTGGGCTCACTTTCTTCCTAGAAATTTGACACTCTTGTTGGAGAAGGAGGAGGCCAGATGAGTGGCGGCCAGAAACAAAGAGTAGCCATTGCTAGAGCCCTGGTTCGAAACCCGAAAATCCTGCTTTTGGACATGGCCACCTCGGCACTGGACAATGAGAGCGAAGCCAAGGTGCAAGAGGCACTGAGTAAGGTTTGTTGAAAGTCTGAGTTCATTTTACATGTGGAAATGTTTGTGCTGTTGTAGGAAAGGTTGCTTATTGAGGGGGGGGGGGGGGGGAGAGAGAGAGAGAGAGAGAGAGAGAGAGAGAGAGAGAGAGAGAGAGAAACAGTGGCTGACTCTAATGTTCCTCACCATTGAACAGAAGACAGTTATGATTTGCTTCCAGAAGTTGCACATGTAAAAGTTAAAATCTTGTTAGGTCTAACTGAAAATCTGTGAGTTTTATTTTATTTCTTTTTTAATCCTCACCCGAGGATATTCCGACATCGATTTTTTTAAAGAGAGAGGGAAAGACAGAGAGAAATATCGATGTGAGAGAAACACAATGATTAGTTGCCTCCTGCCTCATTCTGAGCAGGGTGGAAGCCAGGGAGAATCCTGCAACTGAGGTATGTGCCCTTAACCAGAATCGAATCTGGGAACCTTGGGTCTGCAGGCCAGTGTTGTATGCACTGAGCCAAACTGACTAGGGCAAAATCTGTGAGTTTTAAATTTTCCTTTTTTGTTTTTAGCTATTGAGTAATAGCAACAACTGGACCAACAATGTGAGAAAGTGTGCTGCTGTTTCAATGTCTGCACAGCCTGTTTAAGGATTCTCCCAGGGACTGAGGCTCTGACTTACTTGTGGATTCAGAGATGAAACAAAGGTTGATGCCAGCTCTGTCTCACAGTCTCATTTAATGGTGCACTATGCATTGTTACAGATTCAGCATGGGCATACCATCATTTCAGTCGCTCATCGCCTATCCACAGTTAGAGCTGCAGATGTCATTATTGGTTTTGAACATGGTGCAGCAGTGGAAAGAGGCACACATGAGGAATTGTTAGAAAGAAAAGGAGTTTACTTCACTCTAGTGACTTTGCAAAGTCAAGGAGATCAAGCCCTTAATGAGGAGAGCATAAAGGGTAAGGGCTTTTTAAATTATGCTTATATGTTGTATTAAATAGTTAATGTATTAACACTTTATGTTTTTCTATGCATTTTAATGTACACTGTCTTATTTGTTTTCCCAAAAGCCCTTGAAGGCATTATATAAATTATAAAGGAAAGGACAGGCACTCAGGAGGTTCAGTTATTTGATCAAGTCATAGAGCCCAAGTGTTCTGTTGAAGAACATTCAACTTCATCCCTCCCTCTTGCCCTATCCCCTCCTCCCCCTCCCCACACACACTTTGCAAATAAGAGAGACTCCCTATAGTGTATTGCACACAGTAGGAGCTCTATTCTTGTTAGTTAAGTGAATGAATCAATAATCAAAATGTTTTGTGCTTATTTTCACTAGTGTAAATAGATATTTCAGATTCTAGCACACCTTTTTTTCAATCTGAATTTTCAGTTTTGGTGGTTTATCTCAACGTACATTAATCAACCACTCCATACTTGCTCTACCATGTCAGATATCAATTTTTGAACTCCACTGGGTATAATTGTATGATCTGTAACTATATATAATAAATATAACTATATACATAAAACATGTGTGATTTATTCTGAAAAAAATATATATATATATTAATTTGGTGAGTCTATCTTTTTACCCCCTACTTCTAGTGGGCTTCCCTTAAGATTTTTTTATGATTTATGCAATAAGATATTTGTTTCTGTGGTGATAACACAGGTTATTATACATATGTGGTTTGAAAGATTCAATCTTGCTAAGTATTTTGAAGTTTTTTGTTAGGATGTGCTGGACAAGGGCTATTTTACTTATTGCAATAAAGTATCGATAATAGTTAATGTCTGTTTTAGCATCAGACATGATAATTATGTGCTAGGCAAGCATAGTAAGTAATTTTATTTTGACATGGTTCTGTTTATTGCATACACTAAGGAATCCCTCATGCTGTGTTGAAATAGGAAAAGATGATACTGAAGATGCTTTACTTGAGAGCAAACAGTCCTTTAGCAGAGGGAGCTACCGGGCTAGTTTAAGGTAAGTTTGAGCCATGGGGCAGATTTTAAGGTTTTCAAATATTCTTAGGAGGCTTCTTCAGCTACGACCCTTAGGCAACATTTTGGTTACTACCAGGAGAACGCTAAGCACAGGCCCAAGTCTTGTCATTCTTGCAAATAAATTCTTGGTGGCTATAGTGACAGTCCAGTTTCTAATTAATGGTGAGTTTTTGTTTAACGTTAGCTTCTCATCTTATTAGGGTTAGGGTCATGATAGAGATGCTCTATAGTTAAAATGTTGTTTATTAAACTTAGAAATGTGGTTGTTTTAGAAAATATCTGTATTGAGTCTTCATATCAAAGCTAACTGTGGAATGAATTGCCACCTTACCTGGAGGTCAGATTCATTTCTTTAGCTCTTCTGAGTTGCAATTGAATTCAAATATTTCTTTCAGAGTAACCCTCTAAAGTCAAACATGCTTTAATTAGATGAAATAAGAACTGCATTCTATATAATAAAGAGGTAATATGCAAATTGACAGTCACTCCAACACACAAGATGGCTGCCCCCATGTGGACACAAAATGGCCACCACAAGATGGCCAGCAGGGGAGGGCAGTTGAGGGTGATCAGGCCAACAGGGGAGGGCAGTTGGGAGGGACCAGGCCTGCAAGAGAGGGCAGCTAGGGGTGACCAGGCTGGCAGAGGAGGGCAGTTAGGGTCAGCCAGGCTGGCAAGGGAGGATAGTTAGGGGTGACCGGGCCAGCAGGGAAGGGCAGTTAGGGGCAATTGGGCCAGCAGGGAAGCACTTAAGCATCGATCAGACTGGCAGGGGAGTGGTTAGGGGGTGGTCAGGCTGGCAGGCAGAATGGTTAGAGGCAATCAGGCAGGCTGGCAGGCAAGCAGTTGGGAGCCAGCAGTCCTGGATGGTGAGAGGGCTATCTGACTGTCTCTCTCACAATGGGCAGTCAGTCATCCCTTGAGGGGTCCCAAATTGGAGAGGGTGGAGGCTGGGCTGAGGATCACCATGTCCTAATTTCATGCACCGGGCCTCTAGTCCTAATATATAAAAAGCCACGGGCCATCATGGCCTAAATGACTGTTCAGTCGAACAGCAGGCTGGTGATGGGAGGGAGCTCCCCCTGGGTCCCAGGTGGGGTGTGGCAGCGGTGGGAAGAAGCTCTGAGCCCCAGCTGGGGCATGACAGAACTCTGGGTCTCTCGCATTCAGGGGCGTGGCCAGCCTTTAAACTGGACCTTGACAAAAGGGAGCCCCATTCTTCGTAGAATCAGCCATTGGACAGCTTGCTGTCGGTGGCCTGCTAGCCAGGAATCCCATTCCTCTGCACTCTGGACCCTTACAAGAGGGAGGAGGGAGCCTCCTGGCTTTTTCACAAATGATTGTTTGCATCAGTGTTGTTTTTTTACAACATGTTTTTGTTGTTGTTATATCATGTTGTGATTGTTTATTAATAAATGTATATGTTATTTTCATATACATTTTACTAATTTTCTTTCGTCTCTGACAGTTCTATTATGGAGAAAGGGAAAATAGCAATGTTAAAATATTCCTCTAATTAATTCCCTTTTAATGTGCATGAATTTCATGCACCAGGTCACTAGTTTTCTAATGTTTAAAGATAATTTCCCCAAACATCAGCTATGTATTTATTTAATATTTAGTTTTTATTTTTAGGTATTTATTTTTATATGGATAAATATATGGGTATTCATTCTCAAAACAATCATTTGTTGTTGTATGCTATTAGCAAAACTGTAAATTTAGGCTTTCATTCTGGTTTAACAGTTTTAATAAAATAATTTTTTTAAATATTAAAAGACTGTGAATTAAGAAGAATTCTGCTCAGGAACATTGTCCATATTAATGAAAATTTTATTAAAGATTCTTTTCCTAAAGTTAGGATACTACAGTAGGCAATGAACTAACACCATATTTCTCTAACATTTTCTTACATTTCTAGCTCGTTTAATTCAGGACTTGCTCATTCAAGATAACTAGCTAATCATTTATTGAAAAGTGGCTTAAGAGCTTAAAACAAAACATTCAGGCAACAACTTCAAGTCGCACAAACATAAATTTATTTATTTTTAATATTCAAAAGGTAGTTCATTAAGTTTATGCTTAGAGTTTTTTATTTTTCCTTTGGAGAACATATCACTCATGAAACGCTACTTTTATTGAATTTAGAAATGAATAAATCGATAACTTGATGAACCAAATTCCACCTGTTCTAAGTAGTCTACTTACAATCTATTATTAGGACCAGATAACCATTTTAATACAAACTTTTTGTATTTGAGCATTTGTTCTCACAAAGTCTAGATTTTGGTGACTAGGATGAGAAATCCAGAAATACAATCTATATCCAGAACGAAGCTATTAACTTTCTGCAGAGAAAGATTTATAAATTAAATGAGAAGATAGTTAAAAATATCTCATTGTGTAGGCTGACAGATTTTTTTTTTTTTTTTGCTAACAGATGACTAAATAGAATGTTAATTTGTATCTTTCCTTGCCTAAGTTCTTTCTGAAGGCTAAGTCTCTCTTTAATTATAGATTTTAGGTTCAAGAACAATTTAATGGATGAAGAAATTAATTTTCTAAATAATAATGTTGAGAGCAAGTATTATTTATTCAGCTAATTTATCTTCTAGCTTAGCTGCTTTTGTTTGCATTGAGAAGTACTAAAGCAGCTTCTGAGAAAGGGAGTGGCAGATGTTGTGGGTTTCTGGAAGGGCTGAGAATTATAACTCTGGTGTTTATAGTAGATCATAAGGAGAACTGCCTGGCAGGTAGGGTGCCTGCCTAGCTGTCTCATTGGGACAGCCTATCCTATACAGGTGGAATAGTGTGTGTGTGTGTGTGTGTGTGTGTGTGTGTGTGTGTGTGTGAGAGAGAGAGAGAGAGAGAGAGAGAGAGAGAGAGAGAGAGAGAGAGAGAGAGAGAGAGAGAGAGATTTATGAAATGTAAGATTAAAGTAGTAGAAATCCGAGGGGACAAGGATATAGGTCTTCCCATGCTCAGACTGTGTGTTAGTCAAGTATATCTTGATGCCTTCTTCTCTTCATATAATCCTACTATGGCTTTTAATGCTCTGAGTTTTATTTTAGACCCATGAACTTAAGACTGAGCCCAATCATGCACTCTGCTCTCTCCAGGTGACACAAGCCTATTCCTTACACCATCTGGAGAAGACAATTCCACCTTAGTTACCAAAACCAAAGAAATAACTCTGTTGCTGTAGAGCACATGTGTCAAACACAAGGCCCGCGGGCCAAATCCGTCCCGCCAGGCCTTGCAATGTGGCCCGCACCGCGCTGTCATCACTGCACTCCGCTGCGTTTCCATCACAATGACAGTTTATGACTTTTCAGTAAACCATTCGGCCCGAGATTTAGGCTGGATTTTAGATTTTGGCCCCTTCTCTGATTGAGTTCGACACCCCTACTGTAGAGCTTCAGGTCAGATTGAGAGGGAAAAGGGGTGCCCAGAAGAAGCCAGCTTGGTAGCAGGCAGTAGGGGTAAGGAGTGGTTCATGCCTGTTCATAATGAGGTTTGGCAAGAGTTTGAATATTAAGAGCAAAGGAACAGGGAGGAATTGAGATAAATGCACCTTGTTGAAACTGGGTGACTAAGAGGATGGTAGTACCATTAACAGAACGCGGTAACAAATTAGATTAATTAAGTCAACGTGTTACTGCCTTCTCAGGAAGGCTAAATGAGCATGTGTAATAGGCAGGCTCCACCCTGATAATAGTGTTAGTCCAAGTTCACCTGGATACAAATAATAGAGGCTTGTGAATGGTTCCATCTGGATTGCACTAAGCAGTTAATATAGGTCTCTTCATCTCTTATATTGCTCTCTTACACCATATGACTTACAATTCAGTGCTCCAATAGGGAAACTTGCCTCCTTCCAAGTCTTCAACATTGCCTTTATCACAGAAGACACTATTTTCAAGTGAATGAAAACCTAACTGGACCTGGTTTAACCTTTACAGGGAGAGAAGCAGTTGACATAGCTAAATAGTCCAGGAGGATGCTTTGGCTTCAGGCGAGGCTGGGGTGTCAGTGATTTGTCCAGGTCTCTCTCCTCAGCTCTACTTTCCCCCCTTCCCCTCACTACTGGCTTTATTTTAGGGAAAGCTTCTTTCCTTAAGAGTTTCAACCTAATTGCCATCAGCTCCCAATGTTACATATTCTCAAGCTTAATCTAGAGGAGAGTAGAATCTGTTTCCCAGAAATCACAGGAAAATGAAATAAAACAACCTGGACCAATCACTTCCTACATCTGTCCTGGACTAGGTATAACTAATGAGTGTTCCTGGTCTCTCCTCTCTTCATGCTTCTGTTTACACTGTTCTCTCAATCAGAAATGCTTTTCCTTCTAGTCTGCAAAAACGCAAACCCTACCTTAGTCACCTCTTCCTAGAAGCCTTTTATGGTAACACCTGCCATATATTTATTTTTCCTTTAAATATTCATACTCTTTATAAAAACCTGCCTTACTTAGCACATTCTTCTTTACATCAGGATTGGGTGTACATGTGTTGCTCCTCTATAAGATTTAAGCTTCTTGAGGGAGAAGTCTGTCATTGATCAGTCTTCGAATCACCCATAGCTCCAGGAATATTGCATGTTGTATGTGTCCAGTAAAACTCTGTTGAATGAATGAATGAATGAATACATCAAGTTAGATTATATTTTAATAAGATATTTGTTGATTAAATGCATCAGAAGGGGTGATATATAACCTGGAGAAAATCTCACTAGGGGTTCTATTTCCTCTCAGACTAGCTCATTTGTTTTTTATTTTTCCTGAAAAAACTTTGAAGTAAACAAAACATAAGGTGATTGTTGGGGAAGGAGGAGATGGGTAGATAAAAATACAGTGAGAAGGGAAGTAAAGGCAATGGTCTAGTGCTATTATAGCAATTAGTAGAGCCATGTGGGTTCAGAATGGATTTGAGTCTTACACCTTTTTCTGGTAAACTATTATAGTAGGGCAACCTTGCCCTCCTTCTTTTTCTCCCTTCTGGGTCAAGGTCTAGCTTAGGGCCCGGAGCAAACCCACTGACTAATTCTGCCCTAAGAATAGCTCTGTCTAATCTAACCAGAAAGAATCCTTATCTGGTTACCAGGTGGCCTGGAAAACATTTTTGTTTATTCGACATATGTCTTGTAGACTTGGATACCAGTAGACTTCTGTTCCAACCTGCCCACAATCTACAGACAGTTTCATCTTTTTATTTACAGAGCTTCCATCCGGCAACGCTCCAAGACTCAGCTTTCTTACCTGGCACAGGAACCTTCATTAACTGGTATAGATCATAAATCTACTTATGAAGAAGACGGAAAGGTCAGGCACCAATCACTCATGGGGGAATAAAAGAAGCCTCTCCTAGGAACTATTGTTTGCACTTTAAGACTAGAATATGAGCTTTCAAACCCTTATTTAGTAATATTTCACTGTCATACTAAAGGGGAAAACACATTAAGACCTGATGGAAAAAATCTCAACTTTACACAATGTTTTTAAAGAAAGATATATTAATTAATTACTTTTAAGAATGGGTGGTAACTAAAATTGGACTATTAATGGTTAATAGTTCTTAAATGTACCATTCTTTATGTAGGCATTCTTTAAAAAATTTTAAGAATATCTGAAAACTTTCCCCCCCCATAATTTTAAGTATTATTCTTAAATAGTAATAACCAAAAAGTGTTTGATCAACAAAGGTATTTGATAAGGCTAACCTTATATAAGTTCAACAAAATTTCTTAATTGACATATAACATACCTTACAAAATGATCCCTCAATAAGTCTAGTTACCATCTGTGGTAACTCAACACAAAGATGAAAGAGATAGGAGAGGACTCAACCCATGTCCTATATAATAAAAGACTAATATGCAAATTTTCCCTTTGGGAGTTCGACTGGGAAACTGGGAGTTCCATCACTCACTATGACGTGTGCTGACCACCGGGAGAGGTGAGGAAGGTGACAGGTGGGCGACTAGTGGCAGCAGGGCACTGAGGGAATGAGGGGAGGAGGAGGCAGGGAGGTTGGGAAGTGGGGAAACTGATCAGTCCTGATCTCTGGCCAGGCCTAGGGACTGTACCTGTGCATGAATTTTGTGCACCAAGCCTCTAATAGCAATATAAAACTTTCTTCACTGGGATGCATGAATCCAGAGCTGTTGTGGGCACTCATTTTCACATAAGTGACCATCCTCCTCCTGAAATCATTGCACTTTAATCAATGCACTTTATTCTTCAGCCCTGACACTCTCACTTTCGATCCTCCATTACTCTTCACCTGACTTTTTATGGAACTCTTCTTATTGAACTTTACTAGTATTTGAGGTCAAGTTGTCTTATCCCCTTGCTAAACTATAAGCTTCTTAAAGTTAGTGACTATATATTATTTGTATTTATATCAACTTGGGCACCTTGCTCAGTGGCTGCACCTAGTAGGACATCAGAAGATTTTAAAACTAGTATAAAAAATGGAATTGTTACAATAAAATAAAGCCTAAACCACTATTTATCAAAGCAAATAAGTCGGAGAATATTTTAATTACAAGCACATTTATTATGCATGATGTAATTTCAAATTATCTTTAAAAATTCATTTTGGAAGTAATTGTAAGCATTGGCTCCCAGTGACGGAATTGAAAGAAAGTACAGTACTATTTATGACCTTATGACTAAGAAGGACTCTTAAGGTTCTTTTTGGTTTCAGTGTATTAATCATAAATAAAAAGAGATTCCACTACCTAATATAGAGTTGTTGTAAGTATGTTTCATTGATGAGCAGTAGGATGAATTGCAGTGAGAGAAAACATTTAGCAAGCATGATTGCTCACTGCATTTTGCTGGTAAGGGCTCAAGCCCCCTTCTGGTTCTATAATAGAAACAGGTATTTCATTTACATTCAGGTGCTGCCACTAGTAACTACAAGAAACATGATGGAGGGAGTTTACTAGACCTTCCAGGGAAAAAGATCCAAATTCGACATTGAAATTTCAAACATAGCAGCACCAATCATAGTCAATTTCCACTTTTTTTATGTGCCCCCCCCCCCCCCCCCCCCCCCCCGTTTCTTGGAAAACATTTGACAATAAAAGCAAGAGTTAGGAAGAAGAAAAAGGAAATGGGATTTTGCTGTTGTTGTAGTTGAAACTAGTAGATGGCCCAGCATAGTTGCAGAGAACAATTAGATTCCCTGGAGTCACATTCCCACGGAGTGCTTTTACTGCAGTGAAAACTCCAAAGGGAGCAATTTAAATAAAGGGAAACAAATCAAATAGAGAGATTAGTTTTAGAGATATAACAATGCTCCCTGTGATAGTCTACTCCTTAGAATTGTAAATTAGAATAGAACAATTAAACTCAATTAAATGTTAACCAGTATAATTTTAAAAAGTGCCACTTTCTAGTCTCTTTCTAGTTAAGGGAGATAAAAGAAGAAAGAGGAAGAAAATGACAGGGAAGCCAATGTGGTTTTGTTAAAACTCCAAAAGGAAAAGATCTTATGCTTCTATTAATACTGCTTGCTTGTATGATAATTAAAATAGAGCCTTTTAGATTTAAAAAAATTAAACATTTTAAAGAAGAAAACAGTAGACTACGGGTTAGTAAATTTTAACTCATGGAGTTTCTAATCCTGGTAAATTCTAAAATATTTTAAATATTTGGGTTGTTCTAATCCCAAGTAAATTTTAAAGTATTTTTATAGTTAACTAAATTCTGCCCAAGCATTGGTGAAATTCTTCCTTTTTCTCATTTTGATGTAGAAGCTCTAACCTTATCTTCTATAAAATTGGGAAATGTTATATCTTTTGTTGTCAAAGGTTTAATTACATAAAGAAGTTACCTCCACCTTGTGGTTTCTTAGAGTTTTGACTCCGGAAACTTAGAAGAGAAAGTCTCATAAGTTTGTTTCCAAACTCTAAGTGGTGAGTCTGGTTCAAGGTCTCATCGTTTTGTTAGATGGGTGAGAGCTGAGACTATAACCCATTTCTCCTCACTCTCCGAGCTGTACTTTTGGCTCCCAGAAATGGAGTTTGATTTTAGTGATTATGCTGTTAAAATTCAGCTTAAAATTAGGGGAAACCTGCAGGCTAGAGGTTTCAATCTCTGATATCTAGGCATCTCTTTCAGGAAAACTAGAAAAGACGAGGTAGAATATAGGGGTAGGGTCTTGCGGGTGTGGTTCAGTGGATTGAGTGTCATTCCATACAACAAGAGGTTGCTGGTTCGATTCCTGGTCAGAACACATGCCTGGGTAGGGGCCATGTAGGAAGCAGGCCATCAATGTTTCTCTCTCATTGATGTTTCTATCTCTCTCTCCCTCTCCCTTTCTCTCTCTCTCTAATATCAATAAAAACATATTTTTTAAAAAAGAATACAGGGACAGGAAAAAGTAAGTTAATAATAATAAATAATACAATAATAAATAGCAATACTACAAGAATAAACTCTATGTTTTGCATCCTCACAACTGTGAATCTGCTTTTGCTCATGCCTATATATATGAAATCAATTAAACTTGTTGGGGAGGAACAATGTCTTTCTACCCCTCTTGGTTGTTTGGGCTTTGTCTAAGGATTAAATTGGCATATGGGGGCTTCATGATAATATGAAGTTCAAAGACAGACAGGCAGTTGAGCCTTATATATCATCCAGAGCTGAAGGGAACGGGTTAGGGGTCTGGGACTTCAAAGGACAGGAAACATTTCACAGGAAGACAGGAAAAGCAAATGTTTGGCGAGCTGTGCAAAGACAAGGGACACAAGAAGAATTTTGACTAAGCAGGCCTGTCTAAATTCCCCACTGTCTATCACACCTTGCTTATATTCTTTGTAGATATCTCTGCTTATATAGCTCCATTCCTGGAATAGGCCTCTACTATAAAACTGACTATCAGTATTTATTCATTTGAAGAACCTCTACTTCTTACCATAGTTACCATTTTTTCAAGTCAATATTGAGGCAGAAGTTTCCATGAATTGGCATGCAGAAGCCAGCATAATAAAATATAGATAGAAGGGCATAGAATTTAAATAGAAACTTATATTTTCACCTACCTATACAAGGAGATGGAAGGAAGGAAACTGAGAAAAGCCCAGTGTCTAGCCATCAACATAGTAGATTTCATACATTAAACATGTATTGCACATCTATTATGTGTGAGGTATTGTGTTAGGGATGCAAGGATGAGTGAGGGCCACTGCCCTCCTCCACACTGGAGTTGCTAGCAGGATACTTCTTTACATCTAATAAATAATTGAACACTGTGCAACATGACGTTGCTATCATAGAGGCAAGAACTCTGCATTTTTATAATTTTATTTCTCTCTTTGAGTTACTGGTTTGCCATGATTTTATTCATCTTTCCTTTAGTCATTTTAATTCATCTTTAGCTTTTTTTGGATGAGTAAATTTATCATTGATTTACAAAATCAAAGAGAAAAACATTCCATACATAATTATATTTTGTTTTATTCTTTTACTATGCTTTTAGTTACACCAAATGAAAGTCAATCAAAAGTAAATTACTCAGGGACAGATTTCTTAGTTTTTGCATTATTCACTCTTGATAGCCACTCTTTTTTGGGGTAAGAGGACAGTTTCCTTTAAAATCCAACTTTTAGTAAAAGTGGACAAAAAATTATTCAAATTAACTAAATTTTGGTTCTTGTTAGTTTATCTTGGAATGATAGCTACTACGCAGTTACTTCACATTGCTTTTAAATGTCTTAGATGTTGTTGTTTAGGGTTGGGGAAACCTTCAGGTATCAGAAGGGCAGAGAAGTTTCTGTCATGTAAGGCTATGTGTGGACCATTCTGTGGGGAGGTGGTCCAGGAAATGTTAGAGTTTAATGTTCTAGCTGAGACTTACAAAATGTATAGTCACAGAATACCAGACATTTAGTGCTAGAAGGGGTCTTAGAGGTCATAAACAGTCCCGCTGAGGATCTCACAAAATGGGCTTTATCACCAGAATTAACGAAGGAGTACTTTTTAAAACTCACATTCATATTTAGGCTGGTGATTAGACCCAGGGATCTGTGTATTTAATCATAGATCCACATGAGTCTAGTATGTGTCCAAATCTGGACACCAACCATTGTTGAGAATTGTAAAGAAGTGTGATATTTTGCTCTATTGCAAGTTATCAAGATAGCCTTACACAATTTCATGGATGCTGGCAGAATACACAACAGACCTGAGTCAGAGACAAGAGGTTTTGTTAGAGCAACAGCTGTAGCCAGAGTACATCATTTACCTCACTGATTCCCTAGTCCAGTCCCTTTTTTTCTAAGCTGAATTATGTTGAGCTCCAATGGCATTAAAGATTGCATCACTTTGCTCTGGCCAGTGGTGCTAAATGTTTAGAATTTTGGCCACACCACTGAAGGGTCATGGGTTCGATTCCCTGACAAGGGCATATGTACCTGGGTTGCAGGTCCCATCCCCGGCCCCAGTCAGGATCGATGTGCCAAACATCGGTGTTTCTTTTTCCCCCCTCTCTACCTCCCACCCACTCTTTAAAAATCAATGGAAATAATATCCTTGGGGGAGGATTCACAACAACAAAAAGGTTGTATCACTTTGGAAAATGATCTCTTCTGGGGGACATCAGGAAAGCAAGGGAGGTCTCAGGTCCTAACCTGGGAAATCCTGGTCTGTGATGCATATAGGGCCAGATGATACCCATCAATGAAGGGCGAGGAATCTCAGGCTTAAGGAATCTGATTCTCATAATGGGCAGTAAACACATCTACTCTTTTCTTGGGATGGAGACACCATCTGTGTCCTCCAAGGCTATTTGCCATACAAATGTCCTTGAAAAAATAGTCTGAACAAACGGAGTCAGTGCTTCTGCTCACAAGATGTGCAGAAACATGAGAGAGCTGTGTTTTGGAGAGCTATCTCCTCAAAATAACTTAGTCCAACTCTCATCTTGAGGATGAGGTAACTAAGACTAAAAAAACTGTAGTGCTCAGTGATATATCTCATTGTTGGCTGTGCATAGCTTATCCAAGAATCTTGTTCTTTCTGTGCCTATTCCACTCAGCTTTCCAAAGCTCCTTTCTTCCTCTCTGGCATTGATTCCTAGAGTTAGTAAGCTGTCAGAAATAAAGCCATTGAACAGGAGGATTTGCTGCATGAGTGAGTAGTAATGACAAGTGCAAATGTTGAAGGCAGGCCAAGAGAGAACTTGAAATGAAGGCAGTAACACACTCATCTCCAGCTAAGCTGCCTCCTCCATCCTATTTGGCTTGCAACTATAATGACATAGACATGATGTAAACTTTTATTTAAATTGAATTGGTAATACAGTCTTCAATTTTTTAAGCAAAAAGAAACAATTTGAAAAGAAACCATTGCTGTTGTATGATCATTATGTTCAGCTACAAAAAGGATACATTACTATGTGTATATTTTTCCCCTTTAATTTTTTTTAAAAAAAATATCTTTATTGTTGAAAGTATTATAGTTGTCCTTTTCTTTCCCCCCCCAGTAACCCCTTCCACCCACACCTGCCCCTTCCAAGCCTTCAACACTATATTCTGTTCCATGGACTATGCATATATGCATATAAGTTCCCCGGTTAATACCTCCCCACCCACTCCTCAACCCCTACCTTCCCTCTGAGATTCATCAGTCTGTTCCATGCTTATTTATCTCTGGATTTATATTGTTCAGCAATTTATTTTGTTCATTGGATTCCACATATGAGTGAATACTTATCTTTCTTTGACTAGTTTATTTCACTTAGCATACTTCCCAGGTCTCTCCATGCTGTCTCAAATGGTAAAAGATCCTCCTTCTTTACAGCTGCATAGGATTCCATGTTGTAAATGATTCACAGATAACATGATATTGTATATAGAAAACCTTAAAGACTACACCAAAAATTACTAGATTTAATAAATGAATTTAGCAATGCAGCAGGATACAAAATTAATATCCATAAATAGACAGTATTTTTATGCATCAATAATGAACTCTCAGAAAGAAAAACAAACCAATAAACTAAAAATCTTATTTACCACTGCAACAGAAAAATTAAGATATTAGGGATAAACTTAACCAAGGAGTTAAAAGACCTGTAATCAGAAAACTATAGAATGTTGAATAAAGAGATAGAGGAAGATATAAACAAGTGATAAAATATACTGTGTTCATGGATTGGTAGAATTAACATCATTAAAATGTACATACTACCCAAAGCATTCTATGGGTTCAGTGCAATTCCTATTAAAATACCAACAGCATATTTCACAGATCTAAAACAAATACTCAAAAAATTTATATGGAACCAAAAAAGACCCCAAATAGCCATGGCAATCTTGAGAAAGAAGAACAAAGTTGGAGGAATCACAATACCAGATATTAGGTTAGACTACAAAGCCACTGTACTAAAAACAGTCTGGTACAGAATAGGCATATAGATCAATGAAACAGAATAGAGAACCCAGAAATCAATCCAAGCGCATACAATGGAGTAAAAATAGTCTCTTCAATAAATGGTGTTGGGAAAATTAGACAGATACATGCAAAAACTATATATATATATATATAATCCAGTGCATGGATTCATGCACATTGAAAGGAGATTAATTAGAAGGTGGCCAGGTGGGGCAGGGTTGGGTGAGATGGGCCAGACATGCCCTGGAGTCAACCTTCTGCAGTCCCTCCCCAGTTGGCCTCACTGGGGTGGTGCTGGGGCTCAAAGGCTGTCTGCAAAGTGAGTGGGGCCCCTCTGGCAGGTGAAGTCCCTTGGCCTGACCTGTGGAGATTGGACTGAAACTGGCAGTCTGACATCCCCCAAGGAGTTCCAGAGTACAAGAGGGCACTGTGCACAGTTGCTGTTGCATGGCAGCTCCTGGATTGAGCAGCTGCCCCCTGGTGGTCAGTGTGTGTTCATAGCTACCCGCTGGTTGTCCAGTCGCTTAGGCATATATATATATATATATATATATATATATATATATATATATATACACACACACACACACACACACACACACACACACACACATATATATATATATATATATCTCGATATATAGTATTTTAATAGAAGATGGGAATGGGGGAATAAGGACAATTATGTGAGACCATAATCAATAAAAAAAAAATATTATAGATCTATATAAGCTACCTAAAATCCTTTCTCAAATAAAGTGGGTAATAAATTAAAAAATTATTGACTACATGGGCCTAAGACAAAGCACTGAGTAATATCTATAGCCAAGGAAAAACGATGGTAAAAATTAGGTTCTGAATATAATAGTTGCCTTAAGAAAGATAAAAATTTGCTAACTCTGACACTTTAATGGCAAATAAAAATATCAGAATAGGGAAATAATAAAATAATCTTCACCTCCTGTGAAGCAAATGTGAAATTTAGAAATCCAAATAGATTACAGTTTAATTTTGGTTACTAATTAAGGTAAACCTTACAGAAAACATGTAAATGAGAATTGTTGACACAACTTCACAAATTTCAAGTTATTTTGCCTCTGTTTTAGATACACTGTCTTGCCTTGGGAACTTTGAAAAATTCACAAGTCCTCAAATATGTAAACAATACTACTATAACACAAATACATATTTTTAAGTGAGTTTATTTTTCTCAAAGATCCAACATATTTATTATTCCCCGAGAGTCAATGCATATGCAATTGTGAAATAAGAATTATAAACTCACTTTCAGACGAGTAACCCCTCCAGGCTCCTTCCTTCAGTGACAGCTGGGTCTCAAGAAATTTAAAACCAGTCCTCACAAAATAACAAATCACCACTCCTTATAGATTCTCATAACCAGTCAAAACATGATTCTTCCACCTGTGAATACTGAAGGGTCTTCTATGTAAAAAAAATATATTAAAAAAAAATAGTATGTTAAAAGGTGTCTGTGTGTACATTTGAATGATTAATCTAACCCTCTCTCTCCTCAAGGACAAGAATGTTCCTGTGGAAGAAGAAATTGAACCTGCCCCTGTTCGAAGGATTCTGAAACTCAATGCTCCAGAATGGCCCTACATGGTGGTGGGGTCTGTGGGTGCAGCTGTCAATGGGGCAGTCACACCTCTCTATGCCTTTTTATTCAGCCAGATTCTTGGGGTAAGCAAACGGTTGGACTCTCTTTATTCTCCTTACCTTTGGTGCTTCTGTCTGTGGATATTGTCATTTTTGATAGATTGGCTCTTTACTTAATGTGTTTAGTTTTTTTCTCATCTCTAAAGAATTAAAATGCCTCAAAGCATAGCATCATATAGAAGGTAAGAAGGCGAAGCTAAGCACTGTCATTTGGGCTGGCAGTACACTCATCGTCATCAAGTCTGTAAAAACTGTACTAAGGCTTCAAATTTAATGTTAGAGAGCGCAGTCTATCTACATGCAAACCGAACCAGAATGCAAACAGGTTTGTTGAATAATATAGAAGAGTTTTGGGGCTTTTTTAATCTTGATGAACAGTTGAGGTACAAAGTTTTACTTATAATAGCAAGTATTAGAGTGCATTGTGTAATTTGCTGCTTTCTTGCTGATTAGAGAGAAAATGGGAAAAGGAGAGGGAAGTAAAATAGGAATGGGAAAAGATTAAATTTATGTCAGTTTTTCACTTCCTAGACCTTTTGAATAGTCTCCATTTGACTTCATTGTTATAATAAAAAATAACTACGAACAGTAATTAGACACTAGCTAACCATTTTCATATAACAGTACATTAACCTCTCCTAATAACCACCTGTAGTGGGTGTTCTTATTGTTCCCATTTTACAAAGGAGCAATCTAAGGCATAGAGAACTAAGGACAGCAAGTAGTGAATCTAAGATTCAAATCCAAGCAGTATGACTATAGAGTCAGGTTCTAATAAAACGTTATCATTGCAAAATTATTTATCAAAATGCTATCAAGTTTTCTTAACACACACACACACACACACACACACACACACACACACACACACACTATCTTGTGAGGTCAACAGGAAGGCAAACCTAGAATCTAGAGAACTTTATTAACTTGTTCAAGGTAACACAGGCATTAAGTTATGGGGCCAGGACTATTACCCAGCCTTTCGGAAGCCTAGTCTAAAGGATCTGCCAGCACACCACATTGTCAAAGCTTAGTAGGAGTCCTAAGTTTTAGTTATTCTGTCTCTGTGTCTGTCCTCTGTCTCTGTCTCTCTCTCTCTCTCTCTCTCTCTCTCTCTCTCTCTCTCTCTCTCTCTCTCTCTCTCTCTCTCTCTCTCCCTCCCTCCCTCCCTCCCTCCCTCCCTCCCTCCCTCTCTCTCTCTTTTTGTCTCTCTAGCAGAGCTCCTGACCAGAAAAAATGTCCCCATATGCAAGAGTTGTATAGAAAGACCTGGATAGTTCACAGACAAAATAAAGTCAATTGTGTACAGAGCCCCAGCCTGGGCTTCAATTTTCACACTGCCCCCTTGTGGTAAGTAAGGAAATATGTTCACTTCAGGGAGAAGTGATTGGAAACACAGACCTTCAACTCTGATAAATTGAATTTCTGGGAAAAACTTAGCCTGAGCAATTGGGCTTTTCACTTAAGGGCTGCAGGATCAGAGTAATAGGTGTCTTGGTCTAGTTGGTGAAATCCAAAGTCTACTCATGGTTAATATCCTCACAGAGTTATATTTGCTAAGAGAATGATGCTAAACAAACTACTATTTTTCCTCTCTGGTAAGTAAGATTGTTTCTGTTTGTCTCTTAGCATAATTATCACATATTCCTCAGTATATGCACGATATTTTTATGATCATGAGTCAGATAATAGTCTGCTTTTAATTGCGCTATTTTCATTCTGACATATGTAAAGGGCACAATGTTCACATTTAGTGTATTGAGACAACAGTTTGGCACATGGACTCAGCAAATAACTGGGCATTATTAGAAGCCTGATTGCTAATCTAGTGAAGCCTCAATGTACATATAGGGCATACTTTATCTGGCTCACATTCCCTGGGTCTTTTTGACTTAGAAAATGTGCCAAGTGTTCTAAGCACAGCAGTTTGGACGGGAGAGCATGAACTGTGGCGTTAGTTAACCCTGGATTTTAGTAGGTCTTTGCTCTGAACTCTAAGCATTTGAGCAAGGGGCTTCTCCCTGATGAGGCTTAGTTTCCTCATCTGTTGTATGAGTTTTATCCCAGATAACATTCTCAGATTCTCAAGTAACCTCTCTTCCTTCTTTCTTTCATTCCTTCCATCCATCCTTCCTTCCTTCCTTTATTTTCTTTACCTAATTACATAAAGGATTTGAGGCATTTCATCACATTTTTTCATCTATATCAAAGGAAAGCCAACACAATTGCCTACTCAGACAAAAATTCTATAAATCATAACCATTTATTTTCATTCCTTTCCCACTGGGAATTAAAGTACACACACTGAAAGTTAACTTTGGTTTATTTACTAGTAAACATTAATTACTTTAATGTTTAAAGTGAAATCACTTTTAACTCAATGCTTAAGAAAAATTTCTAAAAGAAATTTGACTTTTTGGTAATAATAAACTTACTTTCTTGCTTACTGTCTTGCAAAGACTTTTTCACTTCCTGATAAAGAAGAACAAAGATCACAGATCAATGGTGTGTGCCTGCTTTTTGTAGCAATGGGCTGTGTATCCCTTTTAACTCAATTTCTGCAGGTAAGGAATTTCATTTTTATAAAAGTGATTTAGCTATTTCCCTCTTTTCCCTGTTAACATATCACTGAAAACTCTTTTATGTTTTAGGGATACGCTTTTGCTAAATCTGGAGAACTCCTCACAAAAAGGCTACGTAAATTTGGTTTCAGAGCGATACTGGGGCAAGACATTGGCTGGTTTGATGACCTCCGAAATAGCCCCGGAGCACTGACTACAAGGCTTGCTACAGATGCTTCTCAAGTTCAAGGGGTAAGCTATGGAGGGGGTGGGGGAGTAGAGGGTATGTGCTAGGGCTGGTGTATCGAGTACATTTTCTTTCATTTGTATTTCCTATGAAATAGGATCTCGCAGGATTGGGATACCCAGAGTCACATTTCCCTGCATTTCCAATGCTGAGAAACAGGCAGTGCTCAGAACTAATGTTACGGCATGAGTCAAAATATACCACGGTTTTGGATTTCCTCTCAGGGTGGAGGCAAAGTGTGTGGGAAGGAGCCTCTTTAAGTAGTTTAGCACATCCTTCATTGTTCTTTGTTCTCAAAGTGTAATCATTGGCTTATGCTGAAAGTGTACATATTTTGAAAGGTTTAATAAGCATTGCCTCACTGCTTAGAGAAAGTCTGTATCAATTTCACTCTCATCATCTGAGTGTTGTAGTGTCTCATTCTTCTTACTCTTGAACTTGGGTTCTGTAAATAAATCATAATCTTTTTCATTTTTGTGTCCTTCAGTCTGCAAGGGGCTCTTAAAGGTTATTCACTCTCACTAGAATTCAGAGAGTAGTATCTGATCATCTTACAAAAACGTTATTTATCCTTTAAATAAAAGGTTTCTAAGAATTTTTCTAATATTTTTTTAAAAATGAGATTACTAATCCAGGTCAAATTTACTTTAATATTGGTGTAAGGTAGAAGTTTGTTTGTTTTTCCTTCAACATGGATAGAAATATTTTAAAAATATTTAATATAAATTCTATTTTCATTGATTTAAAATCTTCTTGCCCATTGTGAATATCAACTTCCCATGTACAATTAGAACTATATGGAGATTCTCTGTTCTATTTCATTGGCCAATTTTATTTATTCTGTGCCTGAACCTGACTGTTTTAATGATTATAACTTTATTATAAGTTTTTATTATCTGGTAAGGCAAATCTCTGCACAATGATGTTTTTCAAAATGTCCTCTTTATCTTTTTCTGGACATTGATTATTCTAAATAAAATTTCAAATTATTTTGATTTCTTTAATTGAATAAAATGTAAAAGGAAACAAAATAATATCACAAAGAAAAATTGCACAGCTGGTTTTCAAATACTCTATGATGCCTAATAGTTCTTTTCAACCAGAAATTCTTGTTTAAAAATTTGTGATAAAATATACATAACATGAAATTTACCATTTTACTCATTTCTAAGCATATAATTTTGTGGCATTAAGCACAGTCACATTGTTATGCAACTATCTCCACTATTCATATCCAGAACTTTTTAATCTGCCCAATAGAAACTCTGGACCCATTAAATAATAACTTTCCAATGTTCTCCCCCACCCCCTAATAACCACATTCTATTCTGTCTCTATAAACTCTGGGAGCCTCATACAAGTGGAATCATACAAAATTTGCCTATTGTCTTCAGGGTTCCATATTGTAGAATGTGTCATACTTTCATTTCTTTTTTAAGGGTGAATAATATACCATTGCATGTGTAGACCAACTTTTTGTCTGTTCCTCCATAGATAGGCATGTTCGCTATTGTGGATAATGATGCCATGAACATAGGTATACAAATAAGAAATTCTTAATTTAGGTTTTATTCCTGTCTTCAAGGCAGTTAGTACCAACACATGGAAATGTGTTTTTAAAAATATATATATTTTATTGATTTTGTACAGAGAGGAAGGGAGAGAGATAGAGAGTTAGAAACATCGATGAGAGTCATCGGTCAGCCGCCTCCTGCATAACCCCTACTGGGGATGTGCCCGCAACCAAGGTACATGCCCCTGACCGGAATCGAACCCGGGACCCTTCAGTCCCCAAGCCGACGTTCTATCCACCGAGCCAAACCGGTTTCTGCCAGAAATGTTTTGACTACAGTGTTCATATTCTGTTTGGGTCTTGAATACAGTTTGAAGATGCCGATTATTTTTTAATAGCACTGCCTTAGCACTTATGGTTGTCTAGTAGCTTACCTTTGGTTGCCTTAAATAATGCTAAAGCCTCTTCAGTTTTGATGAGCAGTCCTGTTCTTGTACCCACCCACATGTTTTCTGCACAGAAGGCACCAACCTTTGGTCATATTTGCATAGCTGCAAGTGAAGTGAAGACTTGGAACTATTGAATACTTTTGATTAATGTAAATAATCACCACAGTGCTCCAGTCTCTACCTATATTGAGACCGAATCCATTCTGTCTCTCTGTGTTGCCTAAATATCTGTGTATTAAGTCAGCTTGTAACTTGGTACCAGTGAGCAGGCTAACTTCAGTGAGAATCAAAGTGGTGTCTTTTCATAGTCTTGTATGAATTTTAAAATGGTAATTATCGAGCAAGTATCAACCTTCACTGAATAATAAGTAATATTACCACAAGCCCAATGCATGAGTATTTTCAAGGAAGCCAAAATGCATAAATACCTGACAGATATGCAGCCCATGCTTAGAACTGAATTAATTTCATACTTCCTATTCTAGCTCTGGCACCCGTGAAATGAGATCAGGCAACAGATCCCAAAACGCTGTGAATAAAATAAATTTTTATTAACCCAGCCTTCAAATGCATTAGGGAAGCCCATTATTTAAAAGAACCTACCTTTTTAAACATAGAACTACTGTATGACCCAATAATTCCATTTCTAGATATATATCCAAAAAAACTTGAAAGCAAGGACACAAACAAATATTTGTCCACCAATATTCATAGCAGGATTATTTGTTATGTCCAAAAGGTAAAAACACCCAAGTGTTTTATCAACAGATGAATGGATAAGCCGAGTGTGGTCTATACATATAATGGAATATTATTCAGCTTTAAAAGAAAAGATCCAGCAATTCCACTTCTGGGAATTTATAAAGAAAATGAAAACACTAATTTGAAAAGATATATGCACCCCTTAATTGCAGTGTTATTTAAACTAACCAAGATACAAAAGCAACCTAAATGTCCATCAACAGATGAATAGATAAAGAAGATATAATATATAGTGAAATACTACTCAGCCATAAAAAAAGAAACACTGCCATTTGCAGCAACAAATGGACCTAGAAAGTATTGTGCTAAGTGAAATGAGTCAGATAAAGACCAAGACCATATAATTTCACTTATATGTTGGATCTAAAAGACAAAACTAATACATAAATGAAACAAAACATGAACAGACTCACAGATATAAAAAAACAAACTGATGGTTGCCAAAGGAGAAGGAAGTGGGTGAATGGGTGAAACAGGTGAAGGGAATTAAGAGGTAAAACTTTCAGTTATGAAATAAGTCATAGGGATGTAATGTGAGACATAGGGAATATAATAACTTTGTATGGTGATAGATGTTTACTAGACTTATCATGGTGATTCTTTTTAAGATATTTAAATGGTAAATCTATGCTACATGCTACAACACAAATAGACCTTAATAACATTATGCTTAGTCAAATAAGGTAGACACAGAAAGATATTGTATAATTTCACTTATATATGGTACCTAGAAAAGGCAAACACATAAAGACAGAAAATAGAACAGTGGTTATCAGGGGGTTGGGAGAGGCAGGAATGGGGGCTATTATTTAATGGGATGATGAAAGGTTTTGGGCATAGATGATGGTGATGGTTACACAACAATGTGACTGTATTTAATGCCACTGAATTGTACACTTATGAATGGGTAAAATAATAAACATGATGCTACATATTTTTACCATAATAATTTTTTTAAATGATCCTTTTGGGATAAAACAGCCTCATCACATGATGGTATTTGTTAAAAAGAGACTGCACGTCTGAGCTTGCTTGATTCCTTTTGGTTTGCAGGCTGCTGGCTCTCAAATCGGGATGATGGTCAATTCTCTCACTAACATCACTGTGGCCATGATCGTTGCCTTCTTCTGTAGCTGGAAGTTAAGCTTGGTCATAGTGTGTTTCCTTCCTTTCCTGGCTTTATCGGGAGCTGTACAGACCAAAATGTTGACAGGATTTGCCTCTCAGGACAAGCAGGCCCTGGAGACAGCGGGACAGGTAACCTTACGGACCCGGTTTTTAGACTGACTATGGCTGAACAGCTGTCACTGTTATGAGAATGAATGTGTAGTATAAAGAATGAGGGTGTAGTACAAACAATGAGTGTGTAGTACAAAGAGACTTAGGAAGCTGTTCACCTACAACTTTCATGTTAACAACCTCCCACTAGCCGTTTTCATATGTGCCTCTGCTCACTCAGAGGCTGTGACAATCAAGTTCTGAACCCGGGTTTGAGTAGGTGTGGATAGATAGTGGGGCATGTTCAGTTTGGTTGCATGTTCAATTTCCTCTCAATATAGTTATTTTTCCCACATCCCAATCTGGTGTATTCTCATTTGCAAGACCAGATAGTTCAGCTTTCTGTCTGTTCAGTTTTTTCATCTTAATGATTTCCCCAGGTCATGCAGCCCACTTGGAGAAGAGTTATCTTTTTTTTTTTTTTTAATATATTTTATTGATTTTTTCAGAGAGGAGGAGAGAGGGATAGAGAGCTAGAAACGTCGGTGAGAGAGAAACATCGACCAGCTGCCTCCTGCACACCCCCTACCAGGGATGTGCCCGCAACCAAGGTACATGCCCTTGACCGGAATCGAACCTGGGACCTTTCAGTCCGCAGACCGACGCTCTACCACTGAGCCAAACCGGTTTCAGCAAGAGTTATCTTTTTAATGGCACACACTTTTAATTTTCACACTTTAGTGCTTGTCAGACTTGTGGCAAATGTCTTTACTAAACATAACCATGAGGTACACCTTAGATTTCAAATACAATTAAGTTTTTGTTATGCACTTTTAAAAAAAATATGTTTTTATTGATTTTTTAAAAAGAAAGGAAGGGAGAGAGATAGAGATAGAAACATTAATGAGAAAGAAATATCATAGATTGACTGCCTCCTGCACCCCCTCCACGCCCCCTACAAAGATTGAGCCTGCAACTTGGACATGCAACTGTGACCTCCTGGTTCCTGGATGGATGCTCAACCACTGAACAACACTGGCCAAGCTTAGTTATGAACTTTTAAAAGTATGTTCTAATTAATATCTGGTTATCAGGGCGCAAATGAGGGAATGGCAGAATGGACATTTATTAAGTATAAGAAATCATGCATATACACACCCTTATTCTTTAAACAAATTTACTATAATCTAGGTTTTGCCTCTTTTAAAAGAGAGGATGTGAACACTGCCTGCGCAGGCAGAAGCCAAAAGGATTACATATGCCAATGGTTGTGTCTTTTTTAGGACAGGACCCTAATTCAGAAACTGATTATTTACCCTGAGTAGGGATTGAAACAAAGTCAGAGTATAAACTAAAAGATAAACTTTACACTTGATTTATCTTAAATAATATTTGGTCAGATAAATTTTTAAGGAAATAGAAGCTATGTTAAATTTATATTATTTAACCTTTTGTCTCAGAAGAACTAAAGATACCATTGTAGACTTTTTTTAAATTTTTTTATTTTTTTTACCATATATATTTTTATTGATTTCAGAGAGGAAGGGAGAGGGAGAGAAAGAGATAGAAACATCAATGATGAGAGAGAATCATCAGTTGGCTGCCTCCTGCACGCGCCCCATTGGGGATTGAGCCTGTAACCCAGGCATGTGCTCTGACCGGGAATTGAACCATGACCTCTTGGTTCACAGGTCGACACTCAACCACTGAGTGACACCTGCCGGCCCATTATAGACATTTTAAATGAATTAACGATGAAGATAAAAAGCTTTCAAGGGTTACCATATATATCTCCCATCTCCACTCTTCAACAAGTGGAAGCAACACAGCTATGTTAGTATGAAGTATGATAGTACTTGAGTTCAGCTGGCAGAACGTCTTGCAGTCCTATTGAGTTGATCTCCAACAACTTCGCTGTGTTCCCCAATGCGATTTGTACCAGATTCTGCCTTTTGCACTAAATCTAATCCATGTAGCAGCTGAAATGCCATGAAAGTAATTTCTCTGCTCTTTTATTCCTAAGTCTCTTTTTCATTCTTCAGATTACAAGTGAAGCCCTCAGTAATATCCGCACTATTGCTGGAATTGGAAAGGAGAGGCAGTTTATTGAAGCATTTGAGAGAGAGCTGGTGAAGCCATACAAGACAGCCATTCGAAAAGCAAATGTTTATGGATTCTGCTTTGGTTTTTCCCAATGCATTGTGTTTGTTGCTAATTCTGCTTCCTACAGATATGGAGGTTACTTAATCTACAATGAGGGGCTCCATTTCAGCTATGTATTCAGGTGAGGACTGTAGGCCAAGGTCATAAAAGACCAATATTCTGGGAAGAATAGCCTGGTTCTGTAAATTACCTTTTTGCTGCTTAAAAACCATCCCAAAGTTGATGTCTTAAACAACTGGTATTTATTATTTCTCAAGATTCTGTAGATTTTCAGGGTGATTCTTCTGGACTGGGTCAACTCAGTCAAGCTTCTGAGTGGGCTTCTGTCTCCATTTATTATTTCTCAAGCATATTTAAAAAAAAGAAGCTATAATAATTGAAGCAGGGTTTGGATGTCTGAGCTTCTCTTGTTTAATCCTCCCCTCACTCCTTTTTCATGGTACACAATTTGAACACTGCTAATCCCTCCAACTCAATTCCCCAAACAAGTCTAAAGTGACCTGTCCAAGGCTGCTCAGTTCTTTGCTAACAGAACCAGGACTAGACCCCCAAACTCCTGCCTTTCAGGCCATCACACCAAACACACCACATTCCTCTCTACTTGGGTGTCTGTCCAATTGCAGGGTGATCTCTTCAGTTGTACTGAGTGGGACAGCTCTTGGAAAAGCCTACTCTTACACCCCAAGTTATGCCAAAGCTAAAATATCAGCTGCACGCTTTTTTCAACTGCTTGACCGACGACCCCCAATCAATGTATACAGCGGTGCAGGTGTAAAATGGGTAAGTACTGAGATGGGGGTATGAGGGCAGTAAGGAAGGGTTGTGCTTATGTGTGTGTGAAGAACAGGTATTGGAGCTGATCTTACACCACACATAGCTTCTAAATTCCTGCAGTGCATGGGTTCATTCATATGCACTCAAAATGAACAGGCAGATTAATAGATGTAAAGAAATGAAGTCAATTAGCATTAAAATCATTTATAAAGCAAATATTTGAAGACAACAAGATCCAGTGAATGCTAGATTCTGTGTACTATAAAACACACTTAATTCCAGAATAATGAAGCTACCCAAACACTGATGTTCTGGTATGGTATGTAGAAAAACCAGTTTTTCCTGTCCAGTGATATTGATGTAATTCATGTTTATCTGTGTTCAAGTTTCAGCTTATTGTATGGGTGGCTAGAAAATTAATTTGATCTTAACAAAATATATCTTCTAATTTATAGTCTCCATAAGAGGCTTTTAATCTTCTCTGTTTGTTTTTAAATATCCTAATATGTTCAGGAGAGCAAAACAAATCTAAACTCTAGTAAAGCTAAACTAAATTCAGAAATCTCTTTAAATTGATCAAATGACCTGTTTCTCTTTTAGTCCAATAAAAGTAAAGTCTCTGTGTGATCTATTACGTAGCTATCCATTTCTAGAATTCATAATTCAGATAGTACAACTGAAGGTATTCATGTTTGCAGTATAGGGCTTAGGTCACTTTTTAGGTCATTCCAAGTGTAATGCTATTATTTAAAATCTTTGGGGGAACAGAGCTAAAAGAATAGCTAGAATATATGATTAGATTATATTAATAGAAGCCAGGCTTCTATTAATATAATCTAATCATATATTCTAGCTATTCTTTTCCATTTGACATTCTTTCAGAATGTCAAGTAATGGACGACAAGCAAATCCCTTGGGTTAGAATGGGAATAAGAGCTCAAATATCTTTAACTTCATGGCTCAAGCCTCCCTTTATTCTGCACCTCTGGAACGGGGAATCCATTAAATAGCTGTCTTTGTGCCTTGCACTTTAGCAGTATGGTGCTGAAGGTATCTTAAACAGGGATTTAAAACTCAGATTTAGGTGCATTTTCCATATTCTAGATTCTAGTAGGTGTATTTATAATCCCAATCTTCCCATCTACAGGACAACTTCCAGGGGCAGATTGACTTTATTGACTGTAAATTTACATATCCCTCTCGACCTGATGTACAAGTTCTGAATGGGCTCTCAATATCGGTTAGTCCAGGGCAAACACTGGCATTTGTTGGAAGCAGTGGATGTGGCAAGAGCACCAGTGTCCAGCTGTTGGAGCGTTTCTATGATCCTGATCAAGGGAAGGTGGTAAGCAATGCAAATGCTTTAGGAGATTTTGCTTTCTGCAGGATATTTCCCACCCCTGAAAGTGGTCTTCAAGATTGCGCCTTGCCAGACTCACTCTAAGGCACTAGCCCTGGCCTTCCCCCATGTGGATAGTTTCCAGTCCCAGTCATTTGCTGGTTGACCTGATTCTACCTCACAATTTCTAATATCAGATTCTTTCCAGTTCCAGATGGCCTGCTGACCAGTTAGACAAGGAAAACCAGGCACACTGCAAAGCTGGAGATGAGTGTATTTAACAGAAGCATTCACTCACCCGTAAATGGAGCAGAAAGTTCAGACTAATCAGGAGACTAATGACTGGGAATGGAAAAAAAGTGGGGGTGATAAGGGACATGGTGATAGATGAGCAAGAATGGGGATTTGAAGAAATCTGAGACAATCCTGGTTTAAGAAGCTTAAGTCTAAATAGCATAAAGAACTCAAATGGTAGTCATGCACCATAAAGCTTTGATGAGAATATTTGAAAAATTGGCAGATTTGCTTTGTTGTTTATTTTCCACAGTATTTCTTTCTCTTTTCTCTCCATTTCTTTTCTTTCTTTCCAAAGAATATATGCAGAAGAGTAAAAAATGAAATGAGAAAGATTTGTAATGAAAAACAAGTTTTTATTCTACCCTTTCTACCACTGCCCCATTTCTCTGCTCAAAGGCAACCACTGATATTCTCAGATCTCCAAAGATTACCTCAGTACCTCTAAATAATATGCTTATGCTGCTGTTTTGTGATTTAACAAATTTAGATTCTGTTGAAGAGATGAAAATTTAGATGGCCCTCACCACTCTTTCTTTTTTTACCCACCCCCTCACAATATAGATATATAAAATCTCCTCTATTTGTAAATTTAACTAATATACTTCTGTTTCTTTTTTACCACATATAGATATTATCTCTGGAATTCTCCCTTTTTAAGATGAGAATATTAGCAATTCTACCTTTATTTTTACCTTTTCCTCCTTTAACGTATAAAGTCCTATTAACTATAATTTTATAGGATCAAGAATACAAAATGCTCACATTCTGTTTATAACATTTCTTATCTTTTATGCTTTCATTCTAGGCTGATTCTTAAAGTTGAAGATCAATGAACAACTTTTATTCTGATTTATAACTATTAATAGTGAGATCTATTAGCATTACATTTTCTTTCTGGTTTTTGTGAAAGACTTTTTTTTCCTGGTATTCTCTACCTTTATAAGTCTTTATGTTCTTCCAGAGTTTGTATCCTGCTACCTATTCTAAGGGATCTGCTTCTTTCCCTCATTTCTGCCACTGTCTTGGCTAATTATAACCTGTATCTGCTAAATAATTTTCACCTTGAGTTTCCTGCAATATTTTCTTAGATTAGATTTGTCATTTCCTAGTCCCTAAATCGTCCTATTTCTTGCTTTTCACTCTTATCTTATTGGAATATATCCACAGTAGTTTTCTAAGATGTGAGGCAGAGGCATGGGTCTGAATATGCTTTATTTTGCTCCACACTTGACTGTTTCATCTTAATATTTTTGAAAAAGACTTTTTTTTATTTCCCTGAATAACTTAATCTTCATTTCAATGAACATAGATAATTTTATGAAGAGAAATGCCTAGAAAAGCACACATATTATGTATATTTCTCTGAATGTTCGAGTCCCAGGTAGAGAGCAATGTCCATGAGGAAATCAAAACGATTCCTTGCATTTTGTGGACTTAATATATTTTGTTGTCATTATAAAACATTTCCATAAACATTTTTAAGTAAGAAAAAAATACCACCTTTTATGCAATCTTGAAAACCCTCTTTGCTCTTAAGGAAGCTACTGAATGCAAGCATTCAATCTTTTCAACATTTAATTGGATACCTATGGTGTGCAGGATTGCACTGGGCCTGGGGGAGACAATAAGGACCATGAAGCACGTGTCTGTCTTCTAGGAGCTTACAATACTAGCACATGTGCAACAATTAGCAAACAGTTCCAGTATTTAATTATGTATTTATTGTGCTTTGCAAGCTATACAAACTATGGAAAATTAATAGAGAAAAATGAGAGAGGGCTAATTGTTGAGAAATGCCTTATGTTCTTTCTATCAGTGTTTGCTTTTCTCATTGCTGAAATATTATCTACAATATAATATGCTCCCACCATTTACCATAGTCTTTTTCTGAAATCAAAGGGCCAAATACTTTACAATAGTATGTTAGTGCTTTTAAGTGAACCAGCTCAAATGGTAGATATTTGAGTTCCTATACTTAACTGCCTAACTAAGGGGTGAGTTCCTTAAAAAAGATTATATTTTCTTTCTATAGTAGGCAAAAGACTGCTTAGCATAGTGCCTCTGTGGTAGGGAATTCAATATATGTTTGTTGACTAGGTGAATACATGTATTCCTTTCTTACTCAGGTCTATTATCTCAGTTATACAGAGGCTTATGTCAGTAAGATTGTGAAATCAGGTTTGATTCTGATGTGGTCCAATTTTATAACCCATGGGGTCTCAAATTTGAGCCGTCCTGCTAAACTTGTGGAGGATGCCCTGCACAAAAGTATAAAGGGACCTTTAAAAAACAAACAGGATGCCAAGATGGCGGCATAGGTAAACACTTGAAATTGCTGCCTCGCACAACCACTTCAAAATTACAACTCAAAGACAAAGTGAACATCATCCAGAACCACAGGAAGGCTGGCTGAGTGGAAATTCTACAACTAGAAGGAAAGAGAAAAGCACTTGGAGACTCAGAGGAGGTGTGGAAGTAAAGTGCAGAGGTACAGAGGCATGCACACATGCGGAAAGGGCTGGAAACTAGGGACACAGTTGTCTTTTTCAATTGGAAGGGAGATACAAGCTCCTGACTGCTCTGAACTCCAGGTCCAGGGAGACTCTGGGGACCCAGGCTCATACAGGGGAAACTAGCCTGTCTGGCATCGGGCAGGAACATGAGAGTGGCTTTCTCTCAAAGGTGCTTGCAGAGATTACTGAGGGACACTGAGGCCTGGGGGCCTCTTAGAGCAGGGCTGAGGATCAACCATAGCTGTTTGCTCTGCCCTGTTAATTCCCTGAGACCCTGCCCCATCCAAGCTGTGCTCAGAAGCTTTTGCATATGAATGGCCTGGCCCTTTGCAATCTAAAATTACCTAACAAACTGCAGCTGGGTCAGAGAGACCCAGATCATCCAAAAGAAGGACCAAGGCCCCACAGCAGCTTGGTTGCTTTACAGGTGGGCCTCATTTTGCACTTCCAAAACCCAAACAAAGAAGAGGAATCAGCAGATATCTCTATAGCTCCTGCTGGATGGCCTCAGGCAGAGGCTAAATTAGCACCTCCTTAGAGATCCAAGAGCCAATGTACCCACTGGTCAGAGTGGGACCATCCAGATTCAACTCCTCAGATCCATAAGAGACACACTCAGGGGGCAGACTCAGTGAGCACCAAAGCCCCATTGAAGCAAGTCTTGCCCCATAAAGGTGTCTCCAGTACAGAAGTTCTCCCATTGTAGACACAGCTGATTCTCACAGCCATTTGGCCTGGAGGCCAATTCCTCCCAACGATACCAACAACAGTCAAGGCTTAACTACAACAAGACTGTGTACACAGCCAAAAAAGGGTGCACCAAGAGTGTTCAACTCAGGTTACTGGGAAGGCTGAGCTACTGGGCCCTATAGGGCACACAAAGCCACTCTGTCAACACAGGGAAGCATCCAAAATGCAGAAACAAAGAAACGGGTCACAATTGACTGAAATGGAGGAAAGCAAACTACTGGATATAGAGTTAAAAACCACGGTTATAAGGTTTTTCAAGGATTTTCTAGAAAGGGTCAATAAATTTAGTGAGACCTTTGAGGACATGTAAAAGGACCAACTAGAAATTAAGCATACACCGACTGAAATAAAGAATAATATACAGAGATCCAACAGCAGACTAGAGGATTGCAAGAATCAAGTCAAAGATTTGGAATACAAAGAGGTAAAGGACACTCCTCTGGAGAAGCAAGAAGAGAAGAGAATCCAGAAAGTTGAAGACAGTGTAAGAAGCCTCTGGGACAACTTCAAGCGAACCAACATCTGAATTATGGGGGTGCCAGAAGAAGAGAGCATGATATTTAAAACCTATTTGAAGAAATATTGACAGAAAACTTCTCCTACCTGGTGAAAGAAATAGACTTACAAGTCCAGGAAGCACAAAGAACCCCAAACAAAAGGAATCCAAAGAGGACCACACCAAGACACATCATAATTAAAATGCTAAGAGCAAAAGACAAAGAGAATATTAAAAGCAGCAAGATAAAAACAGTCAGTTACCTACAAGGGAGCACCCATATGATTGTCAGCTGATTTCTCAACAGAAACTATGCAGGCCAGATGGGAGTGGCAAGAAATATTCAAAGTGATTAATAGCAAGAACCTACAACCAAGATTACTCTATCCAGCAAAGCTATCATTCAGAATTGAAGGTCAGATAAAGAGCTTCACAGATAAGAAAAAGCTAAAGGAGTTCATCAACACCAAACCAGTATTATATGAAATGCTGAAAAGTATTCTTTAAGAAGAGAAAGAAGAAGAAAAAGGTAAATAGCCGAAACTGGTTTGGCTCAGTGGTAGAGCTTCGATCTGCGGACTGAAAGGTCCCAGGTTTGATTCTGGTCAGAAACATGTACGTTGGTTGCCGGCACATCCCCGGTAGGGGGTGTGCAAGAGGCAGCTGGTCGATGTTTCTCTCTCATTGACGTTTCTAGCTCTCTATCTCTCTCCCTTCCTCTCTGTAAAAAATCAATAAAATATATATTTTTAAAAAGGGTAAATAAAAATTATGAACAACAAATACATATCTATCAACAAATGAATCTAAAAATCAAGTGAATAAAAAAATCTGAGGAACAGAATAAACTGGTAAATATAATAGAATCAGGGGCATAGAAAGGGAGTGGACTGACAATTCTGGGGGGAGAGGGGAAGGTGCGGTGCGGGAAGAGATTGTACAAAAATCGTACACTGATCCCATTTTGAAGAGACGGGGAACGGGGCTTCGTCCGGTTACAGGCCTCTGAGCCAAGGAGTGGTGGTGTTTGAGAAGCCAGCAGCTCGGGGTTCTGCGGTATCTGCCCCCTTGGCCAAAGTTGGGGCGGGAGGTGGGGGTCCTGGTCTTGGGCTTCTCAACTGGTCCTGATTCCACAGCGAACATATCTCGGCCTGTCAGAAATAGGAAGGCTGTTGATTATTCAGTTTCAGGAATCTGATGATCCTGATGAAGATTACGGAAGAGATTCAGGTCCTCCAGCTAAGAAAATTCAATCATCTCCACGAGAAGCTCAAAATAAAAGGCGGTCTGGGAAGAATCCACAGGAAGATAGTGAAGACTCAGAAAAAAAAGGTGTGAAGACTCAGAAGGATGATTCTCACTCAGCAGAGGACAGTGAGGATGAAAAGGAAGATCATAAAAATGTGCGCCATCGACGGCAGGCAGCCTTTAAAGCAGCTTCTAACCAGAGAGAGATGCTCTTGGAAGATGGGGGCAGTGAAGAAGAACAGGAAGAAGAGGAGGAGGCACAATTCCAGGAGAACTCCGGCAGCGATGGAGATTTTCTAACGGAAGACGATGATAGTGACTAAGGCAGATCAAAAAAGAAAAACGAAAAGACGGTTAAGAAGTCCAAACCTGAGAGGGAAGAAAAGAAAATGCCCAAACCCAGGCCAAAGGCTACAGTGACGCCAAGTCCTGTGAAAGGCAAAGGGAAAGAGGGTCGCCCCACAGCTCCAAAGGTATCAAAGGAAAAGACTCCTCACAAAGAGGAGGACGAGGAGCCGGAGAGCCCTCCAGGGAAGAAAGCCTCTGCCAGCCGGAGAAGTCTGGGAGTGATGGGTCTGAAGATGAAGCCCAATCTGGGGAGGATTAAAAGTGCTGATGGCCGAAACCGGTTTGGCTCAGTGGATAGAGCGTCAGCCTGCAGACTGGAAGGTCCTGGGTTCGATTCCGGTCAAGGGCAGGTACCTTGGTTGGTTGCCGGCACATCCCCAGTGGGGGGTGTGCAAGAGGCAGCTGATCGATGATTCTCGCTCATCGATGTTTCTAACTCTCTATGCTTCTCTCTTCCTCTCTGTAAAAAATCAATAAAATACATTAAAAACAAAAAACAAAAAAAAAAAGTTAAAAAAAAGTGATGATGGTTTGGGAGAGATTTTATTTAAAAAAAGAAAAGGAAAAAAAAGGATAAAAGGGGCAAAAAAAGAAAATTACGTAAGATAGAACATGGTTTTGGCTTTGGCTTTGACTCATGAGCTTTCGGTGCTTTTTTACCCTTTTGTTGAAAATAACTATTTTTTTTAACTTTTTTTTTTTTTAAAGAAAATCTTTGTATGTTTAATTTTCCTTTTTGTCTATTAGTCTTTTCTTTGCTGCCATCCTCCTCTCCCTCCCCTTTTCAATGAAGGCCATGTCAAATTAATCACTGGATTGACTGCTTCATCTTTTTGTTTTTAAAGGATGGTATACCACAGTTGTAAAGCAATAAGATTTAAGATGAACACTATGGAAATGTTGCTTTTTGCTAAACAGTAGCAGGTTGAACAGTAATAAAAAAACAGAAGGATTTTAGTTAAAAATGATTGCTTCTCTCTCTACTTGAACTTTTAAAAAATTGCCATCTATCGATAATACAAGTTTATTTTTTATCTTGCGAGGCAGGGCAGGGAGTGGGTAACCTGACTTTGTTTGAGAGTGTTGTTGTTGTTTATTTATTTATTTTTTTAATTTCACCACTTGTTATCTCAAAGAGATTCAGAGCCAGTGATCCTTTTATTCTACTACGTCTTTAAGGAATTAAAAAAGGAAAAGGAAAAAACGAGTGCCAAAACTTAAATCACACTTAATTTTCTAGTTTACTCTCTGATGGTTCATGTTTTAAAATACATATGTATCCTGTTTCTTGGATAAATTTTTACCAAAGGTAAAAAAAGAAAGAAAGAAAAGAAACCTAGAATTTAAATGGCAAGATCTATATATCATAGTGGATTTCTTCTCAAACTGACAATGTTTAGGTTATAAGCAAATAAACTACCGGTTAATGTGGGGAGGGGGGGAAATTGTACACCTATGGATGAGGACAGTGGGGCCGGGGGTAATGATAAAGGGTGGGGTGGGTACTGGGTGGAGAGGAGCTATGGGAGGAAAAAAAGAGGAATAATTGTAATAATCTGAACAATAAAGATTTATTTTAAAAAACAAAAACAAATTAGCCTGTGCTGCTCAGTGGTTGAGCATAGACCATGAACCAAGAGATCACTGGTTCAATTCCTGCTCAGGGCATATGCCTGTATGGTGGGCTCCATCCCAGGAGCAGCTGTGCAGGAGGCAGCCAATCTATGATATTTCTCTCTTATTAATATTTCTATCTCTCTAGCCCTCTCCCTTCCTCTCTCTCTAAAAATCAATAAGAACATTAAAAAAAAACAAAAAAAAAAACCACAACTAAATACTGTCCTGAGTACTTTCTCATTTGTACCTCCTGTAGAGCTAAAGTCTGGGAAGCAAACAAACAAAACCATCGTCTAATTATAACTTTGACACCATTCTGACAGACCCTCCAAGGGTCAAAGGCAACATAATTTATTTCTAAGAGTCCTGGGATTGTTGTCTCTTAAGCAAAACAAATGTCCTTCATAATACTAATTCTAGAATATAAACTTTCCTTGCTGCTGGAATTCTAAAACTCAATGCCCTGGTTGTTACCTCTGTTGGCAGATGATAGATGGGCATGACAGCAAAAATGTAAATGTCCAGTTTCTCCGTTCCAACATTGGAATTGTCTCCCAAGAACCGGTGTTGTTTGCCTGTAGCATAACAGACAATATCAAGTATGGGGACAACACCAAAGACATTCCCATGGAAAAAGTCATAGAAGCTTCAAAGCAGGCTCAGCTGCATGACTTCGTCATGGCACTCCCAGAGGTGAGTACTGCGTCAGAGTTATTCCCTAGGGGAGATGGTGATGGGGAGAGAGGGAATAACCAAAGAATATGATGATTTGGGCTCAAGGAGAAAGTCAAAGGCAACACCATTTATTTCTCAGTGCCAGGGGTTCACCTCAGTCCTTTAAACAAAATGAATGCCCATCAACTACTTTTTTACTTTTGGAAAGTATTATATTATCTGGTACAAGGATGCTTTAGTATATAAAGCAGTAGCACATTGAAAATCAGCCTAGCAGAGTGAAAAAAAAAAAAAAAAAAAAAAAACAAAAAAAAAAAAAAAAAAAAAAAAAAAAGTCCTGAGATTTAAAGCAGACTGGTTTGATACCATGCTCTGTTACTTACTAGCTGTGTAACTTTGGTACCATGATTTACCTCATCTGAGACTCAGTCATCTGCAAAGTCATCTATAAAAAATAACATTAAAATGAAAGACTAAATATAATAGCCACACAAAGAAAGCTGCTGCCGTTATTGAGGTTATAATTTCATTACTTGGCAGCATAGACTGCAGCTGGAGAGGTTTCCCAGGAACCAGTGCAGCTGGTGGGGTAAGGTGCATCTGCCTTAGCATATCACACTCTTCCAGAGCCCAGTGTGAACTTTGCACAATATCGACTCAAGTTTTTCATCTATCAAGTCTCTTTTGGTGATGGATCATAAAGGAAATTAAGACGTGGAAACTGGATTTTAGGAGCCAAATATTACATTAAATTTTTCCACTTCTTTCTTTTAAATACCACTTGGAAATTGCTTTTCTTTGTAAGTGATTACATTTATAAATTTTGTGGTGGGCTTTTTTCTTTTAATTTTCTTTTTTTTCCACAAAGGCTTCTAAGTCTTGGGCTCTGACCTCATTCTGTCTTGTAGCCTAATGTGGACATGACTATTTGCTGTAACATGACTTAAAGGCAAAACTTGTGTCCACTGAAAGATTCATTTATTCCACAAATATTTGTTGAGCACCTACTCATTTTGTGGAAGACACTGGCTTAGAGTTAATTTATTGCCTCTTTCTCAGATAGACTTATAGAATACCTTTAATATAATACCTTTTATAGACCTATAATACCTTTCACTGAGCACTTTTCCTCAGTGATGAAAGTAGGACAAGGTAGGTTATTATGAGTCTCACTTGGCTTGGTTGAGCATTTTTCAGGAGGCAAGGCAGGCAGAAGCAGACCTATTGTGGAAGGCAGGCAGAGTAACGGTCAAGGGCAAAAGTTCAGAAGCCAGACACACCCGGATCTAGAATCCACTGTCAGTGCTATTTATTTGTCTATTTTTACACAATTTTCTTAGCTGTGTGTGCCTAAGTGTTGTAACCTGTAAAATAGGGATAAAATGATTTTTGTGATTATTAAATGATAATCTAATTAGAATAGTTATTTGGCACAATACCAATTGCCTAGTAAATAGTCCATCAATGTGTAACTATTTTTATGTATATTGCCAGGAATCTAGCTAAGAATTTTCCTTCCTAATTTCATCTAAAACTCACAACAAATATGTGAACTAGTTAATAACATCTGCATCTTTCAGACTGGTTTGTTCCTCAAAGAAATGTAAATAATGTTCTCACGATCACAGAACTTGTAGCAGCAAAATGAGGATTCACTTCTAGGCTTGCGTGCTGGGATGATGCCTCCTCCACGGGGGACTTGATTAGGAGATCTCTCAAAGGCCCTCCTTTCCTAGGATTATTCTGTCATAGATCTTCCACAGAGGAGTTTGGAAATCAGGGAATCTTGAAGCAATGAGAAATCTCTCTCATGGAGAAAGAGATCAAAATAGGGAAATTAAAGGAAATGCAGAAAAGGGGGTAAAAGGGCCCCCTTTTTCCCAGCGAAAAAGATCACAAACTCTATGTTTGTCACAGATTTCTAGATGGATTTGACATCCAATTCATTCACTATTTCCAATTTCAAAAAACAACAAATTGTTTCAGTTCCCAGAGGGATCATTGATGGGGATAGGAGCAATGGCTGCTACTGGTTTTCAAACTTATCATACTTTTTCCAGAAATATGAAACTAATGTTGGGTCCCAGGGGTCTCAGCTCTCTCGGGGAGAGAAACAACGCATTGCTATTGCTCGGGCCATTGTGAGAGATCCTAAAATATTGCTACTAGATGAAGCTACTTCTGCCTTAGACACAGAAAGTGAAAAGGTATGTATTGATTTTCTGAAGTCTTAGATCATTATAAATGAGTCTTTTCCTATAATATTTGTCCTATTTTCAATTATCTGATTCATTTACAGTAGAAATTGCCAGTACTCTGTGGAGCCAATGACAACAATCTAGAGCAGTTATTTTCAACTTTTTTCATCTCATGACACACATTAACTACTAAAATTCTGTCACACACACACACACACACACACACACACATTTGTTGATCTGATGAAAAATAGATATAATTTTGTTTTGATTCATTCACACTGGATGGCTATTGTTGTGTTGGCTGTTGTCATTTTTTTAATTTGACAATTTAAGGGAAAAGAGGTCAGTGCCCCCGATTGCATAGTCAGGTATTGCATGTTTAAAAAATTCATGCAGCTCAATGGTTAAAAATTGCTGAACTAAAGTAATTTAAAATAGGTTTGCTTCAAATTAAAAAAATATTTTAACTTTAAAATAAAAATTGTTTTTAAGATTCTCTAAGCTTGGTGACATTTTTTTTTCCAAAGGCCAATAATTAGCTTTATTAAGTAAAGTAAAATAATCCAGGTAATTTGTTGGGCATTGCCATTTTTATAGTTCTAAAGTTCTGTGCAGAGCAGGTAGGTAGCATACAACACCAAGTAAGAGGTGGTATCTGTTGTGCAGTTTCAATGAAAGGAGATGCAATTGAGCAAAACACAATTATGAAATTTACTATTTATTAACTCCTTAAAAACCAGGATTCCATTTTGGAGACAGCTAAAATATCTTCGATGAAGAACAAAATCAGGAATGATCAATGACTTCTACCTTACCTTGCTTCCTTGGTTTCATTTTAACAAACTAGACTATCAGGTATTTTGAAATTATTATACATAATGACCTCATAGTTTGGTTCATTCTAGCTTCACTGACGTTTCTCAGCTTATGACTGCAATTCAAACCATTGGTGCATTATATTCAGCAAATATTTATTTCTTTTATGTCAAGCCTTTGGGTTTAAGCCCTGACTACAGCAATGTCACTCAGGCGGAATTAGAACTCTTCAGTGGTGGCCAGGGGAACAAGCATGTATGTTTGCATCATCTTTCTACCTTTGCTTTGCAGACGGTACAGGTTGCCCTGGACAAAGCCAGAGAAGGTCGGACCTGCATTGTCATTGCCCACCGTTTGTCCACCATCCAGAACTCGGATATCATTGCTGTCATGTCACAGGGGACAGTGATTGAGAAGGGCACCCATAAAGAACTGATGGCCCAGAAAGGCGCCTACTACAAACTGGTCACTACAGGAGCCCCTATCAGTTGACCTGACTCTAGAATTCCATGCACAGCTGTTGCACCAATTACAGAAGTGCCATGGGCTATTTTTTTTTTTTCCTTTAAGAAGATAATGATGATTACTTTACTTTTACACACATTATCATACATTGGGATCCAAGCTCACGTCTAATGACCTTTGATAATAATTGAGTTGTAAATGCCTGTATATAGAAAAATGAAATAAGGTAGGTCCAGTGTGAGTGAAAAGCCAATGTCCAGCAGCTTTTCAGACATCACTCAGTGCTTACTCCATGCAGGGGCCAGTCTCCCAACGAGAAGTCTTGGAGTAAATAAGACTTTGAATTCCTCAAGGGCAGAAGAGGGGTTTTGTGTGTGTTTTTATTTTATTTTCTATTTTGAGCCCATAATTTGTTAGTCCCAAGATAATAAAAGTGGGAAATGTTCATTCTTCCCATTAAGATAAAACAGTGTCTTTCAATGGAAATACAATGAGCCACTAATGCAAGCCACATATGTAATTTAAAATTTTCTAGTTATATTAAAGAAAGAAAAACAAAAAGGTAAAATTAATGTTAATAATGTATTTTATTTAAGCTGATATAGCCAAGATATTATCACAACATGTAATAAATATAAAATTATTAATATTTTGTTATTTTATCATTTTAAATTTCCAAACACTGATGTGTATTTACACTTTCTGCATATTTCTGTTTAGAGTAGCCACATGTCAAATTCCCAGTAGCAACATGTGACTCTATCAGACAGATAGGGTTAGAGAATCCAGGTTCATGTATTTTCTGGTCTGAGCCTCAATTATTTCTTTCAAGTCCTATAAAAACATGAGCCCAGCCCTAGCAGGTTTGGCTTAGTGGATAGAGAGTTGGCCTGTGGATTGAAGGGTCCCAGGTTCCATTCCAGTCAAGGGTACATGTCCGGGCTGTAGGCTCTATCCTTAGTTGGGGGCATGCAAGAGACAGCCAATTAATGATTCTCTCTCATTAATGTTTCTATCTTTCTCTCCCTCTCCCTTCCTCTCTGAGATCAATAAAAATATTTTTTAAAATGAAAAATATATTTTTAAAATTTTTACATCATTTATTTTATTTGCATCACCTGTTTGCATTGACTTGCAAAAAGGGAAAGAACTAATGTTGCTTAGTGTAACACAATATAACTTTGAAAATTGGCATATTATTAATTCCACCAAGGTCTTCTTTCCAAAATATGTTTAGTTCCAATTAGCTTATTAGAATTATTTATGCTTTTTTTTTTTCCTATGAAGAATTCTTTTTGAATAATTGGAGCAGCACATCTTCCTACTTATTTTGGGAAGAAACCCTCAGTTCAATTAATGCTTCTCAAAATTATATGGAGGCAGATATCTATAAACCAGAAATGTGACTATGAAAAAAAGTAGAAGAGTTGGCCTCTAGATTTTTTTTTTTTTTTTTTTTTTTTTGGTCTAGAAACTATTTTTCATGTAGTTATTGTATGTCTATCCTACATGGCTTTTAGGAAATTATTTCAATGAATAGACACTTTTGATTTAGTGATACATTCATGCATGCAATGTTTGGAAATTAAACACTCACTGAAAAATGTAGATCCTGGAATGTTTTGATTACTATGTCCTGAAAGAGAAAAATACATAGAATCATAATTAAATATGGTTTACCACATATTCATGAATTAAATGTAAATTTCCTATCCTAAGAAAATATCAGGACATTATCATAAAGTTGGTTTAAGATTCCACCTCATATTTCCAGCTGAGAGCTGGATTCTCTTAGATATGTAGATTCTCTCTGAAATCAGGTTATGTAAGGCTGTTAGTGGAGATTAAAAATTTGCAAATTTTATTGCTGTTTTCTAACACATTTTGAGATAAATTTACATATGTGTGCCATTATCAAATAAGCATTATGTCCATTTATATTCGCTTTAAATTTCCAGATCAAATGAGTAATCTCACCTGCTATGTGAGAGATGACAGATGAAAGTAAGTTAAACTGAGAAATGCAATTCCAATTTCTTTCACACTGTGTTCAATTAAATGCCCAATTAATTTAAATGGATGGACTGTAAATAAAGCAGTGCACATGATTATCATCTAATTGGCACTGGCCAGCATTATAATGTGCTCATTAGTGAGTTGTATGGTATCCTAAGGCTCATAATGAGTAATCAGGATACACATGATTGGCATATAGCTGTCTGGATGCAATTACTCAATGCAATAAATCAGCATTTGGACAAAATGTGCAGTAGATTAAGGAAGAAGAATACATAGCCAGATGGTGAATTGGCAATTCCCTACTGTTTGTAATTCAGGTACAGCTTCTACTCTCAGATACAAAGAGATAAATGTGAGGACAACAGAATGGCTGGGGATAAAAAGAGAAATGTTCACCCAACGTGACCCAGAACAGTATCTACGATTATTAACAACTAGAGGCCCAGTGCACGAAATTTGTGCATGGGGGGGCGGGGTTGTTCCTCAGCCCGGCAATTTGGGACCCGTGGGGGGATGTCTGACTGCCCGTAGTCGGACATCCCTAACACAATCAAGACTGCTGGCTCCTAACGACTTGCCTGTCTTCCTGATTACCTCTAATCACTTCTGTTTGCCTCCCTGATTGCTCCTAACCACTGACCTGCCTGCCTGCCTGATCGCCCCTAACCACTTGCCTGCCTGCCTGATCGCCCTTAACTACCTCTGCTTCAGCCCCCACCATTGCAAGCTTTACCCATAAGGACACCTGGAATGACATCTGGAAGGTTGTTCAGCTGTCTGGTTTAATTAGCATATTATGCTTTTATTATTATAGATGATTACTGAAAAGAGAGAAAATAATGCTATCATATTGGTTGAGAATATATACTTCTGTATGCCAAGTTTGGAATTAAAGCCAATTCTTTGGAAGTTGAGAATCCAATTAATCACTTAAATATATCTCAGAGATAACATTCACAAAGCATTCTATAATTTAGAAAGCATTTTTCCTGTATAATCTTTATATGTTATTGTGAAACCAGCTAGTAGACTGCAGGGGAGGAATGTAGCTATAAGTTGTATTCATTGTTATATGTATGAGAAATCACTATGTCAGGCATCATAGGTTCGCTCACTTGACACCCATCTTATCCCATTTCCTTTGCTTGCCTCTATTACAGAGGCTGGAAAGTAAATTAGTCACCTTCCCAGACTCCCTTGCAGGGGAGGCCATGTGATACTATTTCGCTCAATGAAATATAAACACAAGTCTCTATGGAGGCTGTCCCTTTTGGAATAAAACATGGGTCAAAAACAATAGCCAATTCTTCTTTCTTTCTTGAATGCATAGCAGCCATGCTATGGTCATTTGGACATGACTACGAACGGCAGAGCAGGTAGACAACTTGAGTCTGATTCCTGGACATCCTTGAGAAGCTGCTCCAGCCTGGGCTGCCTAACTCCAGCCATCCTATTACACATGAAAAAGACACCTCTCACCTGCTTAAGCCCTGAAGTCATTTTTTTTTTAAATTTTTATTTTTTGGTGGTGGTGGTTGTTCATTTGGGATTAACATAATTAATAGATACAGTTAGATTTTTATTTACAAAAATACTGAAACACAAATATAAAGAAAATAATGCAACATTGAAGTACTGATTTGTGTTTATATGACCTTAAAATATGACCTTTACATCTAGAGGTTTTCCAAAAATATTGATTGAAAGAAAGAATAGTCTTTCTTTTCAAATGTCTTTGCTATGAAAAGAGATATAACTGGATGGAAGTCCTCACAGCTCATTCTAGTGGTTTTCCAAGAACATTTCATGTACCTTCCTTTATTTTGCTTTAAGTGAAGAGGTTTTTACTTAGGGACTTGGTGTTTTGTGATTATGCTTTCGCATCCTCTCATATCATAAAATTGGTGTTAGTCTAGGAATGATCCAAACTCCATTGGCAGGATATAGCCAGAGTTGAAAAGAAAGTGATTTAAGTGTGGCTCAGCAGTTGAGAGTCAACCTGTGAACCAGGAGGTCACGGTTCAATTTCTGCTCAGAGCATATGCCTGGGTTGTGAGGTCAATCCCCATTGTGGGCTCGATCTCCAGTGTGGAGCATGTAGGAGGCAGCTGAGTGATTATTCTCTCTCATCATTGATGTTTCTGTCTCTCTCTCTCCCTCTCTCTTCCTTTCTGAAATCAATCAATAAAAAATAAATTTTTAAAAAAGAGAGAATGAATCTGAAATAGGGTGGGCTAAAAGAGATGGGGAATAATGTTACCAGCTAACTTATAGCTGGGTATGGTCTCAATTCAGTTCTTCCAAGCCCACAGGCCAGAGACAGCCCTGGTGTCCGCCCACAGTTGCAACGGGTAAGCCTGGAACCCCTGCGGGTCTCATCAAGGGAAGGCCTATATCAGAGTCACCCCTTGCATATATAACACCTAACTGACTTTAATAAGTGTTAGACAGTGGGTGGAAGGGAGGTTAGAGAGAAAAGAAAAGCTTGGACAGAAGGGGTTCTGTTTGAGCCTGAAAAGATCTTAGAAGCTACTTGGAACTGGACCTCTACCTGTCATTTAGCATGATCATCCTCAAAAATCTTGCCATCATATAATTTGATGTTAGACTTGTGGTGCATTCAAGAAAAACATAACAGCAGCCATGACATTTAAAAACTAAAACTTATCTTTACATGTTCGAGAGATCTGTAATTAATCCACAATAAACTTACTAACAGGATATTTCAAATTTCTAATCACTTCCCTCATACAGTGCAGTTTAGTTAAGCACCTCCAACTCCTCTCCCACCGAGCAAACTTCTTCTCACTCAGCCTGTTATAAATAACCCCTTAGTATTTCTTCCAGCAAGAACATCTTCCTTCTTAAGTTGTTAAGAAAGGGGACACAGAGCCGGTAATTTCATTATGGGATCTCTTTTGTAAAATAGGTGAGCAGAAAAATCTATGAATATTCTCATGTTAATAATATTGCCCTATAACATCAGCCACATTATTTTATGGCCCCATGCATCTCTTTACATAGCTATAAAATTCAGATTCTAATCGGAATAGAATCTTTTGAAGACTGAAAGGTATTATATAAGTCTAAAATTGCTTATTAAAAAGCAAATTACAAAATGAAGTACTGTTTAGAATTTGCAGCCTTATTCATTGCATGTAAGTAAAATTTAATTTGCTCTGGCTCTCCTCCTCCTCTTCCTCCTCCTCCTCCTCCTCCTCTTCCTCCTCCTCCTCCTCCTCCTTCTTCTTCTTCTTCTATCCTCACCTGAGGATATTTTTCCATTATTTTTAGAGAGGGTGGAAGAGAGAGGGAAAGACAGAGAGAAAAAGCAACATTGATTGGTTACCTCTTGCACACGCCCCAACCAGGGCCCAGGCTGGGAAGGAACCTGCAACCAAGGTACGTGTCTTTGACCAGAATCCACAGGCTGATGCTCTATCCTCTGAGCCATGCTGGGTAGGGCCTCTCTGGCTCTTCTTCCAATTTCATCAAAGAAGATCTTTAGAGCTGCGGAGTATCAGAGCTGGAATGAATCTGCCATCCCAAGTCCACTTGAAAGTCCCGATTTGAGAAATTAATCAACTAAACCCACCAATGTTAAATGGCCTCCCAGCATCACAGTAGTTAGATCCAGAGACAGACTAAAACCTAGGTCCAGTGACTACAGTCTATAATGCTTGCTGCCAAAATCCGCAGTTTTTGTACATCTATTTGTCCTTAAACTTGCTAGCACCTCCCTTCTTGTATTATGACACCCTTTGGGATCCACATAGGGACCTGGCACCACCATCAACATTCCAATACTAAAGGGTAAGAAGCACAAACAAAATCTCACAAACTCAAGCAGAGGCATTTACTTCCCTTTGTGAAGCCAAATGCAGTCTTTATGTAGAAAGATAGCAGGGCCTCTACATTTCTTTCATTTAAAAAAATTGTTAAAATCCAGAGTTTGGAGGGATTCTGCAGAAAAAGAGATCTCTGGGGTCAGATGCTTTGCATGCACAATTCTGAAGGTTGAGGGCAAGGCAGTGATGAGCACATGCAATGTCCAGCTTTAGAAAACTCCTTCCGTTAATGGCAAAATGTGTGAACCAGGATGACAGGCTGCGTCCAGGAAAAAGTCAATTGTCTGAACAGAAATTAGAGTGTGACTGGCCCAATTGATGCGCAAGGGTAGGTGAGAGCTAGAGAAGGAAAGAAGCTCTTAATTAGTTCTGGGTTTCTTTCCCAGACACGCATATGGCCTGCTCCTCCTGCAGGGCACGCAGCTGCGCCTCCCAGGGAGGTGGTTTCTGCCTTTGCTTGTGCCAGCACTGGAAGTGGGCAAGGTGCTGCCAGAGCAAATGCTCCTCTTGGCAGTGCCTGATCTAAGCCACAAGCCCACTCACCGGGACCCCAGCGGCTGCCCTTCCCTCATTACCTGCCGCTGCCCCTGCCCTGACCACTCCTTCAGAACATAGTGCTCTTTGAGGAACTGTCACTTTTTTTTTTTTTTTAACTGAAGCAGATTCTGCTCAGATACCACATGGCAAACGTTAGAAGAAAAAGATTCTAAGAAATTTTAAAATTCACAACAGAAAATAATTAATCAGCTTGACGCTAACCTTTCTGACCTCAATCTTTGAATTTTCTCCCTCCTTGAGAACAATCACTTCTGTGCTGCCAAAGGAAATGAGATATAATTTATTCTAAGCCATTACTGTGATCTCCATCAAAGAGCAGCAGAGACAGTAATTAGTATTAGGACTCCACATCAAACTACCCCAAATTGGACAAAAAAGTACATGTGTCCTTTGCAGAGCTGAAATGAAGCACTTCTAATTCTTAGAATTCTCCCACAAGTTGCCATCTTTTGAAAGAAGTTTTTGGAACTTCTTATAGACCTTTCTTGCTGTTA